GATCTAAAAGAGGGGAAGGAGGGGGCAAGGTGGTGGGATTGGGGCAGAGAGTTCTAAATCCTTACATTTGATATGGAACCTTTCACAGCAGGATGACATTTGAAAGTGCTTCACAGGACGTATTATAAAGTGCAGTGGCTGTGTGTTTTTTTGGGTAATGTGACAGCCAATTCACACACAGCAGTGTCCCACAAACAGTCGTGAAGTGATGGACCAATGTTATCTGGGGGTCTTTGGCCAGGATGCCTGGACAAACTCATGATTGTAGATGTAATGATGAGCAAAGCTAGCTGTGTATTCTCAATAGGGAGGAGGATGGAGAGAGTGAAGAGTTTGCTTGGAAAAGCAGAAGTAAGATGGTCACCTGATAGAGGTGACAGAGGTGTAAGAAATACCACATCCCAACTGAGAAGACAGACAGACATACAGACGACTAATCTTAATCTAACAGCTTGATCTGGATCAAGTGACTCAGAGATGAGTAAATCAAACCAGATCAACTGACTGTTTCCTTTTTTTTTATCATTCTCTCCAGATGATGCCCCTGTTACAAAAGCAGTGTGCAGGCTTGCTGCTTAGAGCAGAGCTGTGGCAAGCTGATTCCCTTCACCTCAATATATTGACAACCCCAGTATTTTGTTGTTGGGGTGCAGCATAATGTCAGTCAACGCACACAATTCCCTAATTCACGATTAGCGGAGGGAGAGAAGTGGAAAGGGAAACTGAGTCACTATGATTTGGGCTCTTTTTACAGAAGAGGAAAGTGATTCATTTTGTGAGCTTGTTTGTCCAGTGTTGTAGGCTATGATCTAATTGGACATCGTCTGGTTATTCACTTGCTTGGGGACCCCAGACTGTTCATTGGAGTACTGCTGGAGTCCAACCAGTTAAAACCACATAGCTTGCCATTGATGTCGAGTGCTGAAAAAAAAGACGTGAAGGGAGGAAAAGAACAGGGCAAATTGTGTGCTTAGGAGAGAAGCAATTGAGATGCCGTCTTTGTGCTGTCACATCGCACCTTCTGGATTGAACCTGAACCCTGCGATCAGTCTTAACGCTGCATTTTTTACAATGATGACAGATTGGAAACACAACCATGACTTTCGCAGTGCATTTTGTTTATTCGCTCAGGCATTAACAGACTGATAGCAATCTGTCCGTGGCAGCCAGCACGCCGATCCCACCCACACCATTTCATGTGGTGATGTGGAGGTTGATCTTCCTCTTGTCAAAAGCCTTCTGGCTGCACGGCTTGGGGACACAAGTACAGCTAGCCAAGGCTCGCGACCCATTCACACATGGTCATCTGCATGCAGTCCTTCCTGATGTAAGTCGTTCCTACAGTAATCAGTGCTAAAGTGTTTGCTTACGGTGCTTGCTTTTCAGAGGCGATGCAAGGTTACACAAATTGGCACTACTCCAAAAGAGAAGGGAGTTTCTCCCGGTCTCCTGGCTGACAATCCCCCCAACCCCCCCCCACCCACCAACCCTCCAGTTAAAATCAGTCATTCACTTCATGGCTATTGCTGCTGCGTTTGCCTACAAAATACAAAGTCACCACACTACATACAGCGTATGCAGTGAAGCACTTTGAGTCATGCTCCAACGGCAAAGGCACTATATCAAATACAAGGATTATTATCCTTTGTCCAAGTGAAGTCGTCTTGTTTATAACACAATTCCTGAGGAAGGACTGTCTGTCACATATAAGGAGAAACTGCAAAATATTAATGACCGATTCCCTTCCTGTGATGAAGCAACTTTTATGCTGTGCTTTAATGGGGAAAGGAAATGAGACCCTTTTAAAAATGTCATTCCTCATCATTTGAAATGGGATCTTGAGAACGTAACAAGGTTTTATATGAAGGTTGTGACACAAGTGAATACACAGGGCTAACCAGCTAGAAGTTAACGTGACCTGGCCCTCCCATGTAATTGTAATACAAAGTATAACATTTAACTAGTTAATTCACAAAGGCGTGTGGTGAGGGGAGGATACTGACGCGCACACAAGGCTTTTTGTGTAGTGACACAGTGAAGACAAGGTTGTGTTGGGTTACCTGGAGCAATCCATTAAATCAGTTGCAGTCTCTGGCACTGGGATATTGCTAAAAAAATGCTCACCATGATCTAGCCGAGCAGTGTTCATTCATTTCAAACCCATTGTCACTGGGGGCAGGGAATGCTCCCACTCAGCTCCTGTTAACCCTGGCAAACCAAAGCCCTAATGGGTAGGTAGGGTGGTCCTAGCTGGACAACCAGCAACGATATCAATGGCAAGCTTTTTTAAGCTGGTTTTCAACCCATCGTTCACTTTTACACTGCACGGCCCATCATTACGTTCTATCGCATTACAATTTCACTTCAATTTGCACCGCCCCGAAGCAGAATTAAAATACAAACCGCCCGCAAAATTGCAAAGGAAAATTCCATTTCCACTTGTGTCCGAGTGGAATTCTACACAGCTTGTTTTCAAAATCGGCGACAATTTTACTTGGCTTCACTGAAACCATATGGTCACGTTCAGAGGTTCTACATAAACTCCTATGCAACTCAACAGGGCATTTTGCTTCCTGTGAGTAAGCAGAGCTCAGATTCTGGTTGTGAAATGGAGTTATATTATAGTCATTACATCTATATCTTAATCTGGCAGCAAACTTGGCAATATTCTTCCATGTACATTTAAATCAGATCAGAGTCCAAAATGAAAATTGCTTTATTTTGAGGCTTCTGAATCTAAAAGCAATGCTCTACGTTGCTAGCTTAAGTCATTACAACAATAATAATCTTTGCATTTGGTACCGCTATCCAGAATTACCATGTTCCATCTCGAAGCACTCACAAGATTTATTTTAGAGTAGTATTTTGTAGGTGAATGTGGCCGCCAATTCGCGCACAGCAACGTCCCACCAACCTTGAAGTGAATAACCAATTTATCTGGGGGATTGATTATCCAGGGTAGTGTTGCAGGCTGCACAGTGGAAGCTTTGTTTGTTTCAGGCAGAGCTGTTGAAGTGTGCAGACCAGTCTCACTTGCTGTGCACTGCACAGGTCTCTCGGCCTTATCATAACCTTATTCACAAAGCTCGACTGAATTGCCTTAGAACTTTGTGAACAGAGCTGGAGCGTAGGCTGAATGCAGTTCCGTTAGAGCTTGTCTTTTTAATTTTTCTACTTTGCTTAAAACTGAAGCAATTTTTTCGTGTCAGGAGAAGACAGTTCATTACTAGAAATGAAGCTTTCTCTGGTAAGATGTAATATCTGAGGTTAACCACTGACCCTCGCCCAAAGCAACGACAGGTAATTCTGAAGACAAGTTTGTTTGCCGGTTGTAACCTGCAGCACTTGCACAACCTTTACACCAGCAACATTGATATTCCCGTTAAAAGCCCATTGAAGTCCAAACAATAACATTTTTGCTTACACTTGATGCCGGCCTTTAATGTCAGTGTCTCAATACACTTCACGGTAATGGATCCCGGTCCCACCCTCTGCTCAGCTAACACTGCTTCATGTCTCTCTCTCCCCCCAACCCCCCACCCCAGGCTTGGGTGCTCTGTGAAGCACTTTGAAACGTCTTCCCAATGTGAAAGCTGAGACATTAATGTACTGTGTTACCATTCCACGGAACTATTCAAAAAGACAAGGGACTTTTTCATAGTGTCTTGGCCAACAGTCCTCCAAACTAAAATAAAATTGGTCACTCACTCCATGGCTATTTGTGGAACACTGCTGTGTGCAACTGGCTGCCGCATTTCGCCAACAACATACACAGCCAATCCACTGTATAGATTATTCTGTGAAGCACTTTGAGATGTCTCAACGACGTGACAAGGTGTTACATCAAATGCAAGGATTATTATTATCATTTCTGCCTGTGAGAGGGAGAAATGGAACCAGAGGTGCTCTGGGAATGGCCTGGTCACTCCTCATGAAGAAGAAAGGAAAATATCAGACAGTGAGTTGTACCATTTAGAGAGGAATTTCTTCTTATGTATGTCTTCCTGTTCAGTTACCTCTATGAGCATCGACGGAGAGGAAACTGGCTTGCCTGGCACTCCAGTACTGTATTGGGCAACACTGCAGTGTCAGAGGTGCTGTCCTTCAGATAAGAGGAACCAAGATCCCCTCTGCCAGCTGAGGTAGATTTTAAAATATCCTATGATCCTGTTCGAAATGAGAGGGTAGTTTCTCCTGGTGTTCGGGCAACAATTCTCCAGATAAAATGATCATTTACTGCAGTGTTCCCCAATGCAACATTGGAGTTGTCAGCCAAAAATGTTCCCCTCTGTTCCTAACTGAACAGCATCCCACCTATACATGGAATTCCAGAGATATTTATTGGAATGGAATGCACACACTCTCCCTCGAAGGACGCACCCTGCTTACCTATTTCCGGAGAGTATTGGGTGCAGGTTGGCAAGTGCCAAAACTTTGGGCTTTGCCAATGCTAGGGAGAAAAGGGACATTGGCCAACAGTGGCTTAAAGTTGGTCTGACCATCTGACCCTCGGACATGGAGAACTGAACTGATGCCTGAGCAAACCAATAACCATTCTACTTGAAACTGTTGAGATATCTTGCAGTATAATAATAATAATAATCCTTGCATTTGATACAGTGCTTTTCATGTTGGGAGGACGTCCCAAAGCGCTTCACAGAACACACTGTAAAGTGAATTGACTGTATATTTGTGGGCGAACGCGGCAGCCAATTGCGCACAGCAATGTCCCACAAACAGTCGTAGATTGAAAATGACCAATTTATTACTGTTTTGGGTTTTGGAGGGATTATTATTAGGTGTGTGGAGTAAGGAAACTTGCCCAAGGTTTCGCCCTCTGCCTGGGATTCAACTCAGGTCTCTCGCTTGCAAAGCGAGTGCTCTAACCACTGAGCTACAAGACTCCATCAGTGCATAATGCAGTTTGCTGCAAACTGCCTCGCTCTGCAGTTTGCTTCCATTTCCTGATCTATTTTGCCCAATCTTTCTTTTATAAACAGGCCAAAGAAAAGCGTAGCCTCAGCCTCGGCGGTCATGTGGGTTTCGATAGCCTCCCCGATCAACTGGTCAGCAAATCGGTGTCGCAAGGCTTCTGCTTCAACATCCTCTGTGTAGGTAAGTTGCTGCTTGCCTCAAAACGCGCTGGTTTTCAGCTCGTATATGTCAGATCAGACCTCAAGCATGCTTGCCACACCTCAATCATTTGCGATGAGATTAACTTAGTGTCGCATTTACTTGTGCAATGCTTTAACATTGATAGGTTCCCAACTGCCTTCAGTTGGGAATTAGGAATATAGGAACAGGAGTAGGCCATTCAGCCCCTGTGGCCTGTTCCCCGTTCTATTAGATCATGGCTGATCTGTACCTCAACTCCACTTACCAGCCTTTGCCCCATATCCCCAATTCAAGCAGAAATGTCCTAGGTTTGATGCTTGGGCTGGGATCAGTTAGCTTCATTACCAAATCCCACCGTTCTGTGGACAGAACAGTGTCGGTGACCATACAATATAGCCCAGGCAGACTGAGGCAAATGTGCGGAGAAAATTAGCTTGGGTTGACAGCACCTAATCCCTGTGCAGTGATCTGCTGTTAGAGTGTGGCTGTGAATGTCTGGTATGGAAAATGTTGAGATTGACTGTCATGAAGAAAGGTCCAGATGCCTAGCAACAATAACAACTTGAATTTATATAGCACCCATCATGCAGGGCTGCATCTCAGAGCACTTAACAGAACCTAATGCCGAGCCAGGGAGTAGAGGGAGGTGACCGTAAGCACGATCGAAGAGGAAAGTAAGATAATTTCCTCCCAGGCAGAACTTCTCTCTTCTCCCTTTACCATATTCACCTACACATCTCTCCTGGTGCGGGTCCCCTCTCGGCGGAGGCAAGAAAGCAGGGGAAAAAAAACCGCGGCAAAATTTGAGGAAGAACTTCTTTTTTGCATTTTGTCAATGATTTCTTCCCAATGCAGCAGCTTTCGAATTCTCAATGTTGTGATGTTATAAAACACCTACAGTCTCCTCTGTCTCTCTGTCCTTTAGGAGAGACTGGAATTGGGAAATCCACTTTAATGAACACGCTGTTTAACACAATGTTTGAAAAGGAAGAGGCTACCCACTACGAGCCAGGTGTTCGTCTAAAGCCACGGACTTACTGCTTGAAGGAGACGAATGTGGATCTAAAACTGACCGTTGTTGACACGGTGGGATTTGGTGATCAAGTTAACAAAGAGGAAAGGTAGGTAGGGTGTGTGACAGCCTGGCTGTGTTGGTAGCGCTCTCACCTCCGAGTCAGGACTTAGAAGTCATATCATCTGGGCTGACACCCCAATACAGTCCTGGGTGAATGCTGCTTTGTTGGAGGTGTCATCTTTCAGATAAGACCACTGAGGTCCCCTCTGCCTGATCTGGTGGATATTAAAGATCGAGTGGCACTATTTAAAAAGAGAAAAGAGTTTCTCCCGGTGTCCTGGTCAACAATTCCCCAGATACAATCAGTCATTCACTTCATGGCTGTTTGTGGGGCATCGCTGTATGCAAACTGAGTGCTGCTTTTGCCCACAAAATACACAGTGACACTTTTTTCTTAGCTTTCCCTGCACTGAATTCTCTTATCCTGGCATGACACAAAATATATGGTACTGTTCATGATAAAAGACATCTCAAAGCAATTAACATTCACAGTATGAGATCTTTTACCATTTGCACATCGAGTCCCAGAATGTTCTATCTATAAACAGAATAGGTAGCATGTATTACCACTTTCTACTTGGAAACATGGGGGCTACTTTTCTGTGATTGAGAATATTTATCTCTGAGATCTGGGAAATAGCAGCAGGATGGGATGAAAATACTAACAGGAGTTATTAACACATGAGGAAATCCAACCATTATTACAGTGTTTTACATAGCAAATGAGAAGAATATTTTACTAGAATATAAATTCTTAACACACTTTATCTTTAGAGTTTGACTTTTTAATTACAATAGTGACTTCATGTAAAATAATAATATGTGAATTCTGCAGAAAAGGAGTTATAGAAGTCTAATTCAATCATTTATATCCACTTGTTTAAAATCTCAAACCTTTCATACAGTAGAATATCCTGTAAACACTGATGTACTGAACTCTCCTTCAACTCTAGCATTGAAAGCCTTGAATCCAAACCTCTGACTGACAAATGTAATTTGTTGTTGTTCCTTATGTTATTCCAATGAAGCCTGACTTTTGGAGGTTAGTTTATGGTGACTATAATCACTAAGTTTATGAATCTATATTGGCCGCTGGTGGTGGATCAGAGGGGAAGAGGGACATGCAGAATGATTCAGTCCCACTTGGTATGGATATCGGGAGTTTTGCTGCATATACAATTGTTTGAGACTGCCTAAGCCTGAGGGCTATTCTAAGGAGTTGTTATAAAATAAGTGACGGAGTTGATTCCCATTTTATTTTCTTCAGCTATAAGCCCATTGTTGACTACATTGATGCACAGTTTGAGAATTACCTTCAGGAAGAGCTGAAGATCAAGCGCTCACTGCATGACTATCACGACTCTCGAATGCACGTCTGCCTTTACTTCATTGCTCCCACCGGTCACTCCCTCAAATCATTGGATCTGGTCACCATGAAAAAACTGGACAGCAAGGTACAGTTCTGCTTGAGCAATGGGTCTATTTTTCCTTTCCAAACAGTGAGGTGTGTGCAGCACAAAGCAAGTTACATAATTATCCTATTTCCATAAATGCAGCAGTGCAGATCATTGTACTTATTTTAAGTGAAACCTTGAGTTGACATGGTGGAGTCCTTATAGTGGTTATAGAGATGATTTAATGAAGTATAGGATCGATTCAATATATAGCAAAGGAGAAAGAGGATAGCAAAATCGTTACTCAATGCAGATATGTAGGAAAGGGAACATAACAAAATGTTAACTAGTGGAGACGTGCTTCAAAAGAGCATGCAACAATATGGTGCAAAGTTTCTTTAAAAATAGAATTATAATATATATTGTAAGAGTCAGGAGCATTGCAGAAACAATCAGTTGATTTGACTGTGCTGGAAGTTGTTTGTTAAAATACAGTGAACTCATGATGGCTCAACACCGGCTTAACTTGTCACTACCACTTAAGTCATCATGTTGTCAATAACCCAGCCACATTTATTCATGTATATGCCTAACTCAACATTCCTGAAGATTCATCACTGAACCCTTTCCCTTTGGAGTGATGAGTTATTAGGAGTTTACTACATTACAATGCTTCATCTACCTTTATGGCAATAATTTATTTTATTAATCAAGTACTTTAGGTTGACTGTAGCTACTAACTTTGGATAAAGTAAATCCTTTTTAGTCCCTGGCTGGGCCTTTATCTGTTTACATAAGATTGGATTTAACTGGGGGCAGACTAGGACAAATAACAGTATATTCCTTGAAGGGCTTTGAGACATCTCAACAAGGTGATAAAGCACAATATCAAATGCAAAGATTAATATTAAGACCATAAGAATTAGGAGCAGCAGTAGGCCATTCGGCCCCTCGAGCCTGTGCCCCGCCATTTGATAAGGTCATGGCTGATCTTCAGACCTAACTCTGATTACCTGCTCTATCCCCATATTCCCCAATCCCTCTATTTTTTTAAAAATCTATCAGACTCAGCCTTGAAGATGTTCTGGGGTAGTGAATTCCATAAATTCACTACCCTCTGAGTGAAGAAATGTTTCCTCAACTCTGTTCTAAAAGGCTGACCCTTAATTGTAAGATTGTGACCCCTGGTTATAGATTCTCCTACCAGAGGAAACAGACCCTCAGTGTCTACTTCATCAGCCCTTTAAGAATCTTATATGTTTCAATAAGATCTCTCCTAATTCTTCTTAAATATTATTATTAAGTCAAATGTGACACCTGGTACTATACAGCACTTAACCATCCCTTTTACCGGTCCATGTTACAATGAATCTTATTTTACATTAAGTCTCACCTGGGTCTCCGCAGTCCATTGTGGGGCCGGGTGGGGAGTCAAATGACCTGTTCCTGGTCCTCATCTGGAAAAGGTTCCACTTGTTGCACTTTTGACATATATTAACCTGCGATTGTTCAGCCCCCTTCACAGTGCAAGTTGAGGGAAGGCTGCCTCACCAGCTTGTGTATATACGCCTCAGTGCACAAAATAGCTTTGTCACATTCCTGACGCAGTGTTCCTGGCAATCTGTGACTGATCTCACTGTACGCCAACATACTTGAATATTCAAATCTCTAAAGAAACCGTGATTCCATAATGTGAAGGTCTTTTTGAACGGTTGGGTCTGTGCAGCGGATATGCCCATTGGTGGTTGACTTTCTTCGCATTTTGTCATCCAAACTTGTGGACTAGGCTTTATAAAGTATGAAAATTATTTGAATAATACATCTTATCATTACATTGCTATTTGTATTCTATCTGTTTACCTAGCAGTAAGTAGGAACCCGGTTAGTCGATTGGCAGCTCAATTTCCGGGGGTAATAATCCCTCAAAAAAAAATATATTTTGGTCACTCAATCCACGACTGCTTGTGGGATACTGCTTTGCATGATTGGCTGGTGTGTTTCACAGACAAAATATACAATCAGTCCACTTTACAGTGTATTCTGCGAAGCGCTTTCAGACGTCTCGATGACATGATGCGGCGCTATATCAAATGCAAGAATTATTATTATTATTATCGTCCCAAGGATTGTCCATAACCGGGAAGGCTTTACCACGAATGGGATTTACTCAGAACTCTTGAGGACAGATGTTACCTAATCTTGCTCCAAAGCTGCTGCCTTTCATGTATTGGAAATGAAATGTAAACCAGAAACTTAGATTTAATCAGAAATTGGATCCTTAGCTGACATTAACGGGCAGTAGAGGCACGAAAAGCACATTGGAAAATTGACGGCATTATGACTTAAGTGGGAGTGAAAATTCAAGCCGTTCACAAATGATGGGTCACTGGTCCCCACATGAAAGAAACAACGTATTGAGATTGTTAAATTGTCGTTCCATCATTGTAGCGAACGAGGCAATTTGTCTAAACCAAATGTTTCTTTTCTAGGTAAACATTATCCCCATTGTTGCCAAAGCTGACACAATTTCTAAAAGCGAGTTGCATAAATTTAAGATCAAGGTAATGAGCGAGCTGGTCAGCAATGGTGTACAGATCTACCAGTTCCCGACTGATGACGAGGCAGTGGCCGAGATCAATGGAACAATGAACGTAAGTGAAAGAATGAAGATCTCAGTGACTAGTTGCACATTATAGGTTCTTCTGCCTCTCTGCCCCCACCCTTTGGAACTCCATCCCACAGTCCTTGGCCTCGCTACCTCCGTTCCCGCCTTCAAGAATGTCTCAAGAACCTCCTTTTCGACCATGCCTTCGGTCACCTTCCTGCCCCCACCTTCCCTGCCCTCCATCCCCTCCTGATCCCAACCCCCACCTCAGGTCCAAATCCTTGACTGTCCAGCGCCTTGGGATGTCCTTCTGACGTGAAAGAAGCTATACAAATGTAATTTGTTATTCTTCTTACCCCCTCCCTCCCCCCCCCACTGCCATGCCTTGTTGTGGTCACTATGGTTGATCATTAGCACCTTGCTATTCATGCAAATGATTTGATCGGTAATTCAAGATCCCGTGAGAAATAATGCCAAAATAAAAAGCCATTCGAGCATAATAATATTGCTTATGTGTGTTTGTTTACATGTGACAGCTTAGCTTAGCTGGGAACACTCTCCCCTGAGGTAGATAATTGTGGGTTCAAGCTCCACTCAATGTCTAGGCTGACACTCCAGTGCAGTGATGGGAGTGTGCAGGGAGTGCTGTCTTTCAAATGAAACATTAAACTGGAGTTTGTAGCTCAGTGGTTAGAGCACTCGCTTTGCAAGCGAGAGACCTGAGTTCAATTCCAGGCAGAGGGCGAAACCTTGGGCAAGTTTCCTTACTCCACACAGAGCCTAATAATAATCCCTCCAAAACCAAAAACAATAATAAATTGGTCATTTTCAATCTACGACTGTTTGTGGGACATTGCTGTGCGCAATTGGCTGCCGCGTTCGCCCACAAATATCCAGTCAATTCACTTTACAGTGTGTTCTGTGAAGCGCTTTGGGACGTCCTCCCGACGTGAAAAGCGCTATATCAAATGCAAGGATTATTATTATTATTAAACTGAGGTCTCATCTGCCTGTTCAGCTGAACAATAAAAATACCACAATACCATTGGAAAAGAGAAGGGAGTTTCTGGTTATTATTCCTCTAAATAAAATTGGCCATTGACTTAACGGCTGTTTGCGGGATATTGCTGTGCACAAAATGAACTGCTTTGTTTGCCCACAAAGTACACAGTCACTACACTGTACAGAATATCCTGTGAGAGCTTTGAGATGTCCTCCTTGTGTGAGAGGCACTGTTTTGTTGAATGTAACTGGTATTATTAGTAATATTGTGTGTGTTAAAGCTTACCCGTTGTGTTTGTTTCCCTAGGCCCATCTTCCATTTGCAGTTGTTGGGAGCATGGAAGAGGTGAAAGTGGGGAACAAACTGGTCAAAGCTCGACAGTATCCATGGGGTGTAGTCCAGAGTAAGTGGAAGCATTATAAAACCAGGATTTTAGTTGCAGGGTGCAACTAATACAAGACCATTGGAAATCCTGGTACCATCCATTTTGTGTGCCAATTGGCTGCTGCGTTTTGCCCATCAAATACAGTCAATCAACTTTATAATATATTCTGTGAAGCTCCCTGAGAAGCCTCAATGATGTGATAAGGCGCTATATCAAATGCAAGGATTTTTATCATTATTATCCATGCTTATAGCGTAAGAGCAATATGCAGTTAGTGGCTGATCTCAACGCACAGTGCATTGCATTTATTTTTCTATGCATTTACATTGTCAGAGGTGGATGAATGAATTTTTTTCATTGCTGAGACGAGCAATTTATATCATTATTCGTGTAATACAATGAACACAAGCCCCAATTACTCTTGTGTGAAAGAGTGATTGGCAGTTTTCAGCTGGTATTGTTTCAGGGAATAAATGAGACCTTGGGATCAGCATGTGGGGACAAAAGCAACATTAATTCCTATTCTGACAGTGTGTGTGTATGTTGATCGTGGCTCTACCCAACAAAAGCTGACTGCATCTTGATATGGTGACCGGGATATCTCTTTGCAGCCTGACATTTTAACAGAGACTGTCTAATTCTGAATTCCTCCTAAAGGGTTGAAGTCTTTATTTTTCCTTTTAAAACTACAGAGAACGGAAGAGAAAGTAAGTTTCATTCAAAATGAATCTCCTTTTGCTCTCACCTCTTTAAATTAACATTCAGACATGCTGACTCACATATTCCAGGCCAACATTAATGGGAAACACTGCATTGTTGGTTGATGCTGTCCTTGAGATGAGATGTTAAAGCAAGATCCTCCTCCCCTGTTCAGATGGACGTCATGGGCACTATTCGAAAAGAAAAGTGCCAATTCATACCATAAAATAAATTGGGAGAAACATCACTTATGTCAGGCGAGATATAAGTGTAGCTGGTGTGGGAAAACCAAATAGCATGTTGGTACAGTAGTGGATTCTGAGTGGAGGATTGTTGTTTAAGATCCATTATTTATCCCTGGATGAGGACATTCTGTGCAAAAAAAAAAGTGAAAAAATGTTTCATTCTCCCAACACTGATGCACGTCATTTTGACTAGTCCACAAACACAGAGGAAATTAAGTCGCAAGCTGTGTTGTTACAAAGGGCTGTGTTTTGTTTGACAGTTGAAAATGAAAGTCATTGCGACTTTGTGAAGCTTCGGGAAATGCTGATACGCGTCAACATGGAGGACCTGCGAGAGCAGACCCACGCACGGCACTATGAGCTGTACAGGCGCTGCAAGCTGGAGGAGATGGGGTTCAAAGACACTGATCCTGACAGCGAGCCATTCAGGTTGGAAAGCCAGCTTCATTTCCGCAGTGAAAGGCATTCAGTTAATACCTATTTTGATCATCTTCCTTCCCCCTTGCCCTCCACTGCTCTCTGATCCCAACCTGCAGCTCAGATACAAACCCCCTCGTTGCCCAGAGCTTTGGGATGTCCTCCCGACGTGAAAGATGAAAGGAGCTATATGAATGCAATTTGTTGTTGTTGTTATTCACAATGTAGGAAAACGTCTTTTGTTGAGAATTTTTTAAAAAATCTACTTAGTTTGTATTTATGTCTAAATATTTATCCACCAGTCTAAAGGTCAATGGCAGTTCTAGTCAGTCACATAGCAAGTAATCCTTTCTCTGCTGAATTAACAGGAATGTTAATGGGAATTTGTGTTATCCATATTGTAATATCCATATAGTAATATTTCAAAACAGACAGTCACTACACTTTACAGGGTATTCTATGAAGCGCTTGAGATTTCCTGATGACATGATAAAGCGTTGTATCAAATGCAAGGATTATTATGATTATTATTACTGATTATTGCCTCTCCAATATACAAAGTTTCATTTGAGGTCTGCTGTATGAAGTTGCATTAAATCAGATCAACTATAACAATTACCTTCCTTACACCTTCGAGGCATGACTCTGTTCCCTTTGGTAGAGGGACATCTTGGCTGAAGTTCTTGTGGAGAAACATGATTCAAAGCCACTTCAAAAGCCTCTTTGTCCTGGAAATGAATGAGCTCTTCATACCCTCCCGGGAGTAGTTTGTTGTGGCTTCTCTCTGTCAATGGATCATGTCAACAATCAGCATCTCTTCCCAGTGTGTTGGTTGCCTGTAGAGACAAGCACATCACTTCTTTGATCCTGATCAAAAGCATGAAAACATTGTGGATTTGATTGGCAATCTGTTCCAATCTAAAAGCAGATTGGCAATCTGTTCCTATTTAAATCTGTTTGTGCTGTTGAAAGCAATGAATCCTCTTACAATACAAGACAAAGTTGCATTTGTATAGCACCTTTCATGTCGGGAGGACATCCCAAGTGCTGGACAGTCAGGGATTTGAACCTGAGCAGGAGTGTTTGGATCAGGGAGGTGGAGTGTAGGAAAAGGAGGGTGGCCAAAGGTACGATCGAAGAGGAGGGTTGAGACCTGCCTTGAAGGAGGCAAGGGAGGGAATGAGGTGAAGGGAATGTGGGATGGAGTTCCAAAGGGTGGAGGCAGAGAGGCTGAAGGCCAACTGGCGAAGGTAGGGTGGGCCTGGTGGGGGATGTGGAACAGCCTGCAAAGCGGAGGGAGTCACTGAATGTGTCACAGAATGTTTTTTCAGTAGTGTAAGGGTTGGTGGCTGGACTCGGTCATTCTGATCGTGTTGTCTGGCTTTAGTCTGCAGGAGACCTACGAGGCAAAGAGGAACGAGTTTCTGGGTGAACTGCAGAAGAAGGAGGAGGGGATGAGGCAAATGTTTGTCATGAGAGTTAAAGAGACTGAGACCGACCTGAAAGACAAGGAAAAAGAGGTGAGGTTTTTTTTTTACCTGGAGACTCGGCATCCTGTTAATGATGGCTTTGCGAAGCTTCTTGTTGATATTCCAAACAACAGCAACAACCTGCACTTATCCCAGGCTTCACATATAGGAGAATGTCTGCTTCAAAGCGCATTGATTGTGACCCCAGACTAGGAGGGAGAAAGGGTGGCTGAAGGGTGCAGAGAGAGAGAGAGAGAGAGAGAGAGGAGGCATGGTGGAGAGATTTCAGGAGAGAGAGAATGGGGCAAAATGGCTGTAGGATCATTCATCAATGGCAAAGTGGACAGGGGACATGAAGGAGGTCAGAGTTGGCAGAGTGGAGGAGGTGAGTAGGAAAAGTAGGATCACAACAGATCACAGAAATAGGGTGGGGCATCATGGAGTGAGGATGGTTTGAAAGGAAGCATTATCTGAATATCAAAGGCAAAATAGTTGGGCATATTTTTCTTTTGTTTTTCTCTGATTTTTCACCTTCCCTGAGATTGGACCAAGTTGCCAGCATTAGGAGATGTGGAATGTTATACGATATGTGACAGATAGAGTAGCAATTCTCCGAGGAGTGAACTTAATGGACCTCTTGTTCTTTCTCACTCTTTCCTGGCTACATATCTTTTACCTGGCTGCAGACCACAGTATAAAAGGGGCAAGACGATTTTCACGCATTTGCTTAGAAGAAGGTGATTAATTGAATGAACATAAGAATTGCGAGACGAAAGAAGACCAATCTCCATCCAGTTCACCTTCCACCATCCTGGCAGTCGCTTGCACATGTCATATCCCAAACTATATACTGTATCCTAAGATATTATTCTCTAACAGAAATCTATCTAACTTGCTTTTGAAAGAATCAATACTTTCTACTTCCGCTGTCTTCCATACATTTACTACTCACTCACTGAATTAACGTGCTTGAGCCCTGTGACTTTGTGCTTTCGCAGCTCCACGATAAGTTTGATCAGCTGAAGAGAATGCACCAAGAAGAGAAAAAGAAGCTGGAGGAGAAGCGAAGGGACCTGGAAGAGGAAATGAACGCCTTTAACAGGCGGAGAGTAGCCGCTCAGACACTGCAGGCGCAGTCTTACCAAACTACCGGACAGCAGCCGGTCAAGAAGGACAAAGATAGGAAAAAGTAAGCTGGTTTTACAAGCTCTTTGCCTGTCACACTTGTCTCCATGTAATTTTTTTTAACAAGATCTGTTCTTTGGGGACTAAGTGACCTAGGCTTTCTGTGCCATATGCATTCTTTCGTAATTGTAACTCGCTATGCTTCCTGAACTTGTAGATGCACAGAATATTGCACAGATTTGGTTACTATTGTCTAACTGGAGCACAATCATTTTTATGACCAAAATTGAAGCTGGAGATCCAGTGGTTGAGCTGTTGTTTCTTCTGTACCAGGTCAGGAGTCAGGATACCCAACAGCTAGGCTTATAGTACACAAATGTGAAACTGTAGAGAGATGCTGGCTTTGACTGGGCGGAATGGGATGTGACTAGTCATAGGATTGCACACAGTGGAAAGGACTGATTCCTCAACACTCGGTCAGTTTCGCAAAGTCAATTGCCCCAGTTAAACGCACTTATCAACTGCTCTTTCAACCTTGAACGAGGCAAAATATCCTGGAACATTTGCACCATCTAGCCTGCTCCTTCCAGAAAGACTTGCGATCACTTATAGTCATGAATTCTATGCAACTTATTTAATCATTTCAAGGAAAGGTTCTGCTGTGTTTATCCCCGTCTCCCCTCCTGAGAGACCAAAGCAAATAGAGTGTGCATCTAACCTCAACCGACATTACTTATCTTGGACCAATTGGTTTCCAGTGGCACGGTATCTTGCCATGTTTCAATTGAGATTATCTTCTATAAAGTATTTAGCGCACACTCCAATAGCTGCAGTGATTCCTGGAAAAGTTGATGACCTCTGCTTGTATTCCAGTTCATTTTCCCATTTCCCTCCCCCCCACCCCCATCCCGCCCCCCACCTTTATCCTACAAGGTATTCATAACTTTTCTACTCTGTAACATTTCGGGACAAAGCATCACATTTCAGTGGATAATTAATTTGTAGCGCTCATAGAGCTCCTACAAGAAGACATTTAACTGGGTCACGGTGCACAAAGAATAAAGAGCCCACAAGTGCTTACAGCTCTTTGCATAATTTATGAAGAGCAGGCATTTCTGGGGTCATTGCTTAGCACAGAGCCTAATAACTTTTGCTCCAAATTGCCTGCAGTGTTTATTAGGCAAGGAGTATTATTATTAGTAGTTGTAGTATTATTATGTATCTACTTGGTGTCGCTCAATTTATTTTTCATAGACTTGATAGCTCCAGCTACCTTTTACATTTAAAATTAACTTAGTTTCTGGTACCTATAGCCTTTGCATATATAGGTTGACACGAGTTGAATTGGCTTCCGAACTAACATATTTATAGTACAAGATAATGTGTTCAGACCTGCAGCCACATCGAAGTTATGTAGTTTAAGGCTCTGCACGTGCGCACCTTAAGATAACGGGTAGCAGCAGAACAAATCTTGACCTGAATCTATCTTCACTGATACAGACTCAGAGACACAGGATGTGTGGGGAGAAATATTGCCTGGATTTAAAATTCACTCTAATTTAAGTTGCGTTTTAGAATGTGTGGAATCTGGCAAATTGGTAAACACAGCCATAATTTTGGAGAACTGCAGAAAACTGGTTTCAAGGTTGAAACTTAGTTTAACAATTTGTCAAATTCTGGTCAAAATGCTGTATTAATAAAGTAAATCTGGACTCGGGAAGAATTTTCCCCATGATAGGGAGATGTCTTGCATGTTGCATTCAATGGTTCTTAATCTGTTGAAAGTTAGAAAGGTGTTTGCCTGTAGATCTACAACACTTGTAAGAACCTCTAAACAGTTTAATAAAATCCATGGAGAAAGCTCCCAAGTCATACTGGGAACGGTGGTAATTAAGAGCAGATCAAATTTAGGGTGTGCATTGCCTGGGAATGATGAGGAATTAAGGAACATTCTTCATCTGTTCTGCTTATCTGGCTATTTCATCAAATTCTTGTGGCGGTTATGAATGGAATGATATCTACATATAAGTGTTTTCTTTGTGAAGCTTTGAACAAATTCACTACAACGTGATCCTGAGTTGCTAGGGGAGTGAAGGCGTAACTTCATGTGAGTTATAATGGGACAGGTTCAGGAATGTTGCCCTTGTGTTTGAAGAAGTAGGACAGTGGGATGGTGCCTTGCAACTCCAAAATATTGTACAATGTTTAGCAACCACAGTTCATTCAGCGCATTGGGGCGTCCTCCTGACGGAAAAGGCTCTACATAAATGTAATTTGTTGTTCTTGCATTTAGGATCTCAGTTGTTCCATCTCAAGGAGACAGAGGTCAGAAAGCTCCTTATATTGGTCTGAGTTGGAGTTAAACTCTGACCCAGTACATTCCAGTGGCTGATCTTTGAGTCCCATTGGCATTTCTGAGGTTGGATCCTGACTTGTCTCATGGAGAACGGGAAGTGACATCTCTTCCATTCTCCTGTAGCAACAGTCCAGCATGGCGTTAACTGATACCTGGACAATTTTCAGAAATAGCACATGGTACGAGGAGTGGAAGAAAGTAAGAGAGAGTAAAACCTGGTGCGAAACATTTTGCATGTTTAGTAATAAAACAAGGTTAATCTGTGGTGTCATGAGGTACTGATATTTAGAACCAACTGAACCGTGTTAAATAATGTGTAAGCAGCCACTTTGCATTAAGTGGGTTTGGAAACGCCTCTGGCTTATTAAAGCGGTAAATGGGCCTCTGAAAACTATTCAAAGTCAAATAATTTCTGCATATGCAAGTTTCCTGACTTCACACTTCCTACTCTCTTTACCTCGCAATAAGTAGGAACCTGGTTGTTAGTCGATTGGTGGATCGCTTTTCCATGAGTAATAATAATCCCTTAAAAACATAACTAATAATTTGGTCACTCAATCCACAACTGTTCGTGGGACACGGCTGTGCGCGCTTGGTTGCTGTGTTTCACCCACAAAGTACACAGTCAATACAGTATATTCTGTGAAGTGCTTTAAGACGTCTTGAAGACGTGATGAGGCTCTAAATCAAATCCAGGTATTATTCTTATTATATATTGAACTTCTGACTTGCTTTAAAAGTTTTGACATTTGCTTACAAGTGCTCAGTGTCTGTTTACACTGAGTCGATGAGGCTGAGATAGCGGCAGTTTCTGAATGACTTTTCATTGTGCCTTTAGCTGCCTCTTTGTAAACAGAGACGCTGTCTCATCACATAACTTTTGCTCTTCGTTCAACTGGCAGCCTTAGGATATGAAGAGTGAGCCATTGGGGTTTTGAACCACTGATTTATTTTTTCCCCCTCCACCACCAACCCACACCCCCCCCCCACACCTCCCCACTTCTCTCTCTCTCTCTCGTTCTCGCTGTACCAAGTGTTATTCCCTATTTCCAATTCCTTTCGAAAACTTTGTTTATACTGTGAACATTCTTTTCATTCCAGGCCAACCTTCCATGACTAATTAAACTCCCACTGCTTTTGGTTGCACTGAACAATATTGCAGAAGCTCATACAGCGGGTGAAACAAATCCCATCCTCCGAGAGCAGTTTTACATGACTGCTTTGAGGTGCATCGTCAGCCGAATCAATCGGTCTCATTCATGACATTTGCAACAATTTTCAGGATTTTATTTCTCTCGAGACACAAATATTATTTTAACAGCACCTGAGATCTTAACTTCCAGCCCACGACTTCCACACTGTTACCTTTACTTAGTTAGCAGAGCACGATTTCTCTCGTGTGTTCTGAAATAGTTAACCCGCTTTGATTTTTTTTTTGTGTGTGCGAGTGCGTTTGGCCAATTTGTTTGCATGTTCCACAAAGGAATGTTTAATGGAAATGCTTCTATTCTGAGGTCACGCATCCTGTAAATTTCTTTTTTTTTTAAAAAAAATCCACAAAACGTTGCAGACAATCCGGGTTTCGCTTTAAAGGTCCTTCCTCGATTTTGCTATTCTTGCAAATATTTGAAATGATAAACCGTGACCGCAGCAGGGAATCTGGCCTGGCAGAGTGACTGAGAGAGAGAGCACAGAATTAGCTCGTATTACAGTTCAAAAAAGCCATGTTTACAACAAGTACTGGGATAATGGAGTCCTGTATCCTAGTGGTTCCATGCAACCCAAAATCTTTCACAAAACCTGTCTCGAAGCGTTTCACAGAATATATTGTAGAATAATCTCATTTTAAAAAAAGCTTAGGAGAAGGTCTTCAGGGTGGAAAAAATATACATTTGGGGCTAAATAGTTTGGGTTTGTGTGGTAATGTTTTTAAAAGTGGGATCCAAGAGAGTGAAATCCTAAATGTTCTCCAGGTAATCTCTGTGCTCCAATCCAAGCACGAGTTGTGACTCCTTTAAGCAGTCGCAACAGAATGAAGACAGTAAAATAATTTTGTTGGGTGGGGTATTTTTGAAGCTTGTGCCTTCTCTCTACGAGGAGCACATGATTCTGAATTATTGATAGACCTTCCAGTCTGCCTGTCCACTTTATCTTCCAGACTAGGATGTTTTATGGGTTTATAAAAGTTGCGTGTGCCTGGGCGAAGTTTGTCTGTTAGGTTTTATTTACTGCGTTGCTTTGTGACGATTTGCTAAAATGTGCTCCCCAGTCTGAGCACTTCTTAATGCCCTTGGTACCTCAAGGTTATGCATCTGCAGTGTATAAAAGTTACTACCCTCACCTTTGTTTCAGTTCTGAAAAGAGATTCTTGTATTTGCACTACACCAGATTAACTGAACAGAATTAATTTAGAGAGCCGAGTGAATCCCAGGTAATTCAGGTAAAAGATTACATTTTACAAAGATTTCCCTGTATCGGCAGCACAGCGGACTCTTGTCTAATCATCGTTAAACAATGCAGGGGAATGGGGGTCAGTGGCGATAAAAGTCTCCTTGGAGATTGATAATTAATCATTGCTGTCTATCTGTAGCCTGTCTTGTAACGTTTGTATTCCCTTGGTAAAGTACTCGGTAAAGGGAATCGATCACATCATTCATCGCTGTTGGCAATTGATTAGGCTCCAAAGGTGTCGAAGCTTCCACTTAACCCAAGCTTTCCTGTGAGTCAGCTTCTGAAACGGGAGGTTGGAATAGACCTGGAATTGAGAATAGTCTTGAGGCATTGAAACCATTCTGTGCTGCTCTTTGTTTCTGATGGTTACACTTGTGCAGTCACTTTTCTCTCTGATGTATGAGTGTGGTTCACAAATCAAGATAATGGCTTACCTTACTAAATGTGAAATAAGCTTTTTTTTGTATGTATAAAGCTGCAGTATCCCTTTTTTTGGAAGGGTCATGTTTTTCTCGGCATTACAATCAGTGTTAATGCACTCATCGTCTTTCACAGAAGGAGTTTGTGAATTTTACTTGGGGAGGAGAGGAGGTTCTGCCCTCTCCTCTCTTTTGCCTTCATTGAAAATTAATTATAATAATCATTACATTTGATATTCAGTCTTATCATGTCATTGAGATGTCTCAAAGCACTTCGCAGAGTATACTGTAAAGTGAATTGACTGTATATTTTGTGGGTGAAATGAAATTAATTGGTTATAATTGGTAGGGAGGGAGCTTGTCACCCTAGACTATATCTACTTCTCCTAATAGCCAGCATTGGTAGAAAGGAGTAGAGCAGTAAGTAGGAACCCGGTTGTTAGTCAATTGGCGGATCAATTCCAGGGGGTAAAAATCCCTTCCAAAAAAAAAAATTAATAATTTGGTCGCTTAATCCACGACTGTTTGTGGAACGCTGCCGTGCGCAATTGGCTGCCACTTTTCACCCACAAAATATAGTCAATACGTTATACAATATATTCTGTGAAACGCTTTGAGACGTCTCAATAAGGCCCTATATCAAATGCAAGGATTATTATAAGGTCTGTCCTGTGTTGCCACATAATATCAGTACTTGAGCACTAACTAATCTCAAGCTTTCATCTTGAATTTCAATCTGTTCAGCAAAGTGATGCAGAGATTTCTAATGCTATAAATATATGCCACATCTTCTTGGTCTTGCATGGCATTGGGACCCGTGTAGGGAATTTATCCTTTGCTGATGTGGAAAACCGGTTGGGTTGGGATTCTGCCTTTCTGCCCTCGCACAATCAAATGTGTCTGCTGACACTCACTGTCTCACCTGACCAATAGTTTCTATCGCTGGAGAGCTATTGGTTTCCATTGAACTGAGTGCTCCCTTAATATACTTCAGGAGAAGGGAGAACATTTGGAACGAAGTGCAGAATAAGGGCGACTGGTTGGATAAGACTCCTGCTCTATAACCTGTCTTAACCTGCCGTCAAATACTGTGATGAGATTCATGTGATGCTGTCATAAATCAAACCGAAGCAAATGTTTGATAGTTGAATTTTTGTTTCTGATCAGGTAGTCTAGGCTTGGATTTGCAGTCGAATATTCCCAAGCCTTCTGTCAAGTGAAGGAGATTAAGGGTCTAGGTGAGTTCCAGTCCACAAAAGACCCGGGAAAATGGATATTGCAGCTTTACAACGGGTTGTATGTCTATAAACTGCACATATTTTAACATCTCTGCTAGAAGGCAGAGAGTAAAGGACCGGAAAGCAACCCAAGGATCAGGTGCTTGTTTTTCTTGATGCAATTTTTCCTTGCATCCTTGTACCAAAATAGTTCTCGAGAAAACGAGAATTGCATTTGCCCCGAGCTACTTGTAATCGAGGGACCACACTCGAAATCCACCAAATATTTATAAAATATATAATGTTTTTTTTGTTAAATGAATACTAAAGGTGGGCATTAAATTTGTCTTAAATTTTACATTTAATGTTATTACTTGAAAACTCTTATCGCTCCCTATTTTTCTGTCAGTTCATTGTATCATGTTTCTTTTTTCCTCTTTGGGATTTTTGATATGCTTTTGGATTTCATTTTCTTTTTGTCCTGTTACTTTCAGCCATTGTAACTGTCGTATCCGATAGCTTGTCTGCTCAGCTGATGTGTTTCTGTTCAACATTTGTACACTGTATGTACTCAAAGCAATTCTTTGTGTTATTTTTGTTAACATACTGCACTGACATCTACAGTTGACTGTGTTTAATTATTCTACCATTTGAATTTAGTATTCGATATCGATCCAGCGTATTGGATTCATTTTTAATATTATGACTTTTGAGGTTACAAAATTCGTGTGCACCCCATCAAAATCGAAGCAGTTACAATTTCTGTGGCCAGTTTGGCGATTTGAGTTTGTATTTTAAATGTTTGGCTTTTATTTTTCATCATTTTGTTGATCTGCTTCACACTGACTTACCGTTTGTCATTAAATGCTAATAAATTCATGGTTTGTTTTTGGAGATTCTTTTTGTTTGCCTTCATCTCATCGTTGGCACTTTTATGTGTGAAAAGGAAAGGGGTGGATCTTGATCAGAATAAGTGCAGTTTGTGCTAAATAAAAATGGGCCCCATCTCCTCCCTATGTGTGTGTGTGTATGATACATACTCCAATCCACTACCCATCACACCCGATCGACTGGCTCCGGCCTCCTGCTTGTCCCTCGTGCCCTCCATTCCATCATCGGCAGATGCGCTTTCACCTACTATGCCCCGAAACTCTGGAACACTCTACCTCTATCCCTCCGCCTTGCCCCTTCCTTCCCCATCTTCATGTCGCATCTGAAGACTTTCCTTTTCGACAGTGCCTAAGGTCATCTCCCCATCGCCAGGCTCGGCATCATGCTCTGTCACTGTCACCGCTCTAAGACACCACCCTGAGAAAACTTGATCCAGCAGTGAGGTTCTTCCCCTTACATTTCTTCAGGTCCTCTAAAATGGACTATTTACTGAATACCTGCGCTCTAATCTAATCACCGAGCATGAGAGTTTGTACAGTATGAATCTTTGCCTTTTTGCAGTGTGCTTCTTGAACTTCATCTCACCTTCAAAACCCTCCACGGCCATGCTCCTCCATACCTCTGTGGCCTCCTAACCCCTACCAACCCTCTGCTTCACGTCCCCCGCCTCGCCTGCCCCACTATTGGCGGGTGGGCCTTCAGCCGCTCTGCCCCCACATCCTCTGGAACTCCATCCCACAGTCCCTCCACCTCGCCCCCTCCCTTGCCTCCTGCAAGACTGGTCTTAGGACCCTCCTGTTTGACTGTGCCTTTGGTAACCATTCCACCCCTACCATCTCTGCCCTCCACCCCTCCTGATCCCAACCCTCAGCTCGGATGTGGATCCCTGCGTCTTGGGACGTCCTCCCAACATGAAAGGCGATAAAGAAATGTAATTTATTGTATTGAGTCCAATCAGGACGATGTCCAACTACTGGGCATCTTGACCTACGGCTATGGATCTAATGGTACGTTGCTGTCATCTCCTTCGCCCTCGATATTGCGCTACGTGTGTTTTGCCTCAGAGGAAAGGTGCGCTGCAAAATGGTAGGTCTTTTGGGTTCAATTCACCTTAATGTGAGTCTGAATTGGCTGTAACTGAATAGCTGTCACGGTCTTGTGATGACCAAGTGCTGAGAAGCAGCTTCTTTGTAGACCTCAGGTTGCAGTAATATTGGTATTTTCCTGCTTATGTCGGAAATTATATGTACAGGGTGTTCACAAAGTCCTGTTCCCCCCGATGTTTTTTCTCTACAGTGCACTGACCAACAACTGAAAACACGTGGAAGAATGATGATAATTATATTCAGAAGTACTTAATTGTATTCAGTGCAAGTGTTTAACTGTACTTGGTAGTCCAGAGGATTAGTGTGTGCAAGTGCCATCAAGTCCTCCCACGCTGATAAGGATTCGGGGCAAGGGAATGTGGTCAGTATCCAGCATTAAGGATGACTCTGGGCAATTGCCCAATAAACATCTGTCTCCTCCGATCAGTAGTTTTAAAGCATAAAAGATAATGACAGTTTGAGAGATACCAGTTCAAAGTGCAAATATTGCTCTCCACAATGCATAGTCCAAGTGGAAATTGAAATCAATACAATTGATCTTGATCTAAATAAATTAACAATCCCAGGTGCTACTTCCGACTCACAGAATTTGAGATCAATCCTCTGTTTTTAATGCTTCGTTGTGGTAAACTTCTGTGACCTGAATAAATATGAATCAATATTTTTTTTGTTCAGGAGAGGGAGGAGGAGGAGAGGAGGGGAATATTATTTAATTCTGTAACTTCACTGTTATTCCAGGAATTGCTGTTCATTAGCAATAAGCACTCAACGGTTTTGTCATATCGATTCATGAATGTCAATGCCAACCTTTCAGGTTCTATGTTTCTTTCCCAGAGCTATTTAGACTAAATCCTTTCCAATGTAAACTCTTTTCCCCAATGGAAATGCTATTTGACAAGTTCTTGCTTATCCAGAGGCCACTCATCAATTAGGCATTATTGTCCTTTGCTACACATCAAAGTGCTTTGCAGTTTTAGATCGTCTGCAACATAGAAGGTTAATATGTAGAAAGAGCATCAACACATGGCTTAGTATTCAATTACCAAACGGTTGCACTAAATTATACAGATTATACAAACCCACAAGTTAACAGCCTCAGATTTTTCACCAAATTTGAGGCTATTAACTTGTGGGTTAGTCTAATGTGATTGTGTCATGTTTGAGATTTGCCTCTTTGTGTCACTGGTGTGATTGAAGCAGAAAGCATCGATGTATTTAAGAGGAAACTTGATGCATATACAAGGAAGAAGGGAATAGAGAGGTACTCATGTGGAGTATATATGTGGACTAGTTGGACCGAATGGCCTGTCTCATTCTGAAGTGGTCATTGTAATTCCATGTAATTTCAGGCAAAACTCAGCTAGTAGCTATCTGTACAAGTACAGTATACACCAAGACAGCAGGCCAAGAGGTTGTGTGTTAAAAGGACAAGTTTAGGACTGACACCAGGAAATACTGTAATTCTTATCTGAAGGGTAACGACAGTGGTGAAGGCAGGACACTGGGTGGCTAGACGCAGTAGGAAAGGCAGTGAAGTGATTTATCAGTAGATTTTTCTATTCGTATTAAGATAAATCAAGTTGACTGTAGAGCCTTCATCCAAACCTCTGGTGAAATCTCATGGATATTAATATTAAGACTCGGCAACACAAATGGCAATCCCTAAATGGATCGGATGAAAGAAGATACAATGAGGAAGTGGAAGTCTTGGTGATGCCTATCTACCTCTGGCCCAGAGATAAATTTTCTTTTGAGAATGAACACCGGCATCAACGACCGGCTTCCTTAAGTGCTGAGGTCCAGGAAGATTGAGACCATTTGGGGAATGTAAATTGGAAATTTTCTAATCAGCTGGAAGCTACGTTTGCCAACTGAAGTATAACCCAAAAGATTAGAAGCACCATCTCATTGAATGTTCCCTGAATTAAGAAGACATTGATAAAGAAGCCCTGGCTGGCAGGTTGTAAAAGTGGATGATTCTCTTGGAGGGAGAAATTCGTCTTCACTCCTGGAACCTGCATTGTTTCTACTTACGCCAATACCCAAGATGGATTCCTAACTCAATTCCAGTTGGCTGCCCTCATACAGAATTGGGTGAAACCATGCAGGTGGGTCCTTAATCTTTAACACAGCTGAAGTTGTGGAGATTGCTGCCCCGGTGAGTCTACCGTTTTTCTGACTTAAGTTTGCCCAACATTTTCACACAATGACATGTTGTTTGTACCTCATAAGGTCACAGTTGCTGAAATAAATTAACCCCAATTAAATTTAGGGTGATTCGCATCTGTATCAATTTGTGTATTTTAGCGAAGGTGGAAGCTTTACTTCAGTTTCTTAAGACCCAGCTTCGAAATTAGGACTCAATTTAAAATGTATCCGCAGTTCTGGTCTAACCGGCTAAGTTAGGTAGAATTTTGAGACACTGACGTCCATAGAATCAAATAAATGGTTTTCGGTGGCAAAATGGGATTTTAAGTTGGAGTGGTTTTAATTATAATACTCCTTGCATACAGCACCTTATCACATCTTTGAGACGATGTCTCAAAGCGTTTCACAGAATATACTGTAAAGTGAAATTTACTGTGTATTTGGTTTTATGATCGATATGCTTGTTGGTGCACACGATAGACACAGGAACACAAAAATCAAAGAGAAAACAAAGTGGCATATGTAGAATCATCAGTTTATTCAATTCCTTTAGTCATCCACATTGTTTCTCTCTCGCACACATGTTCTCAGAATTAGACTCGGAACTCCCAGCTCAGACTTTGGTTAAGTATCAGGCAGCTATTTTGGGTGTTAGTTCTCTGTGTCTCTGTCAAACCAATCGTTCACTTCCACTTTCTTTACACATTAAAACTTAAAACAGCATTCACACTGACTCCTTACACAGGGAGTGCTCGTAATGGTTCATTACAACTGAGTCAGTACATATTTAGTGCCAAGTATAAATCACTTGCCGTGCTTAAATGGCACCAGTAACATCACAGTTTATTTTCTTATAAAGAATTTGTTCCGGCTTGGGCAAGCTGATTTTTTGTTGTTGTTGCATTCAACGGCTGAAAATTTTCTATTTAAACTTGTTTTGTTTATTTGGGTTTCCCCTCCTTTAAATGTGGGTTATTATTCTAAAATATTACAAAGATCTGCAATTTCCCCCTCACCCCCCCCCCCCTCCACCCACCCACCACTACTGATTTTTGTTTTTTTTGGTCAGCCGGGTATCAGCCAAACACACGCAGAAACTCATCACCGTGCTTAGGAGTATCCAAATCAAACTGCATCCCACCTTACACGTGGAAACACCAGAGATAGATTGTTGGAATGGAATGGATACTCTCTCCCTGGAGGGAGGCATCCTGCTTACCTAATTCCGGAAAGTATTAGGCACAGGTCAGCAAGAGCCAAGGCTCGGGAACAAATTCTGGTTGCAAAACCTGACTGTGCGAGGTACTGAGTTATCGCAGTGCACACGTTCATGAAATCTCAGGTATGTTCAACGATATTGTCATTTCAAACACGTTAGGCTCAGTAACTCGTCTGAGCTCAAACCTCCGATACTGTCTTTGGCACTGACTTTTATAAAGTGAATTGAGAGATAAATATAAGAGGAAAGACAAAATCAACCCTGATTCTTTTAACGTTTCGTGGGGGGTGGGGGGTTATTAACAAAATAAGCCTGAAATTCCACTAAGTGGAAGACCATTTTGTCTTAAAAGTTAGGATCACAAGATTGGTTCAGATGAAGGCCATTTGGCCCCATCTGATCTCAACCCTCCATGACACCCACCCTACCATTCCCCCATCACAGCATCGAGCTGCTTTTTAAAGTGTCCCAGTGTCCTGGCCTCAACCACCCTTCCTGGCAATCTGTTCCAGTCGTTAATTTACTTTCTGGTAAAGTAAAAATTCCTGGTATCTGTCCTGAATTTGCCCTTTGCAATTTTAGATCATGCAGAATTGTGGAAAATTATTGAATTCAGTCTCAATCTGGAAGTCAGTTTCTTGGGATTTTAATCTGTAAAAGAAAACCGCTTCTGAATAAACGTAGGCATATTTGCACAATTCTGCCTGACCTTAATCTAACAGGGGATTCCAGGTCCCTCGAATCACTTACAAGTCTGATACTTTCAAAGGAGAAATGGAAGAGTTCAATGCACAACACTGACGTGCTCTAAATCTGAAAAAGCACCTTTTTTTTTAGTAACGACAGTAAAAGTTGGACAATGCATCTCAATGCCTTGGGACGTCCTCCTGACGTAAAAGATGCTATACAAATGTCATATGTTGTTGTTGAGGATTAAAGTCAGGGATAGGAAGGATAGTAAATATTATACATTTAAATATTTGAACAACGGAAAAATATCTTGAGCTGCCTTTATAAAATGTGATCGTTAGCTGAGTCTTCACGCACAGATATAAACACACATTGTATACAGTCTTACAAATAGCCAACTCAGTAAGAGAAGCGTCCTGTTACACCTTCATACAATTAAAGCAGTGCTTTGTTATACATTATCCTCTCTCATTGTTAGGGGACATGTGAGTTTCAGTTTTTCTACAGGTTTTACAGTAAATATTGCAAAAGGAGTTAATGGCTCGAACTAAGGGTTAACCCTTCATATCTTGCAGTTCCCCTATTCATTGTGTACAAAGTTAGGATGGGTTTTGACAGGGCGAATAGAGAGAAGCAATTTCCATTAGTTGGGGAGTCTGTGATTTAGGACAGTATTTATAAGATAGCCTCAAGAGCAAAAAGTGGTCTTAAGCTGAATATTTTTTACACTGGAATGCCCCACAAAGTAAAGAAACAGAGGCAGAGTCCATTGTGAATTTCAAGACGGAAGTAGACTGATATATGAAGGATACAGACTTGAAGGGATGTGGGGATAGGGCAGGGCTGTGGGAAAGAATGTACACCTCGCTCTAAGAGCCTGTGACTTATTGATGAAAATGTAGATTACTTAATGGGATTGCCCAACTATTTGCAAAACAGTTCACACCCGAATTTACAAACAGAGCAAAGTAGCCTTAACAAGTGCAAATAAGTCCCAAGTAGTTTTAAATATAGCATATGTCTCTCTGTTACCAGTCTGTAAGCAATGTTACACTTCATTGCAAAATGATGTTTTAAAAAGAAAGCAGCACCTCCTCTGAAATGACAAAAAAAAACTTTTTTTAAAAAAAATTACACAAAGGTGACATTTCTGTAACGGCTTTAAATTGTCATTTTCAAGTTTCATTTGTAATTGTGTTTACATTTTTATAAGAAAAACACAGATGGCCACAAGTGAATTGAAGGCATGGAGTTCTGAGGACTGTAGGATCATAAATTGTAGTTCGTAAATTTGTTATTCAAACAAGCCTTGGGACATCCTCCCAACGTGGAAGCCGCTGCCAATTATTTTTAAACTTTCCCTCCTTACTCCAGCTAATGTTTTGCTTTTTGACATGGTTCATCGTTACACTGCTGTGTGAATTTGATTTTGTGCACATACAATATATACTTATATATAGATATATATGTATATGTTGTACACATTGAAAAATTCCACTTTGATTAATATGGCCTTACTGTCTGGTTAAAACGCTCAATTTAAAATTCCTGATGTAATAATACAGGTAACAAATATGATGGGATTACTTTACAACACCCCCCTGCCCAGATGAAAGACATATGCACCATTGGGGTATTAATACTTCAAGTGGAACTGCTTATAATTTTAACTTAAAAATAAAGTGAAGCTGCTATGCATATAATTGCCACGAGATAGCGCCAGTGCACCTTGAAAAACAATACAAACAGAAACTATTATTTTTGTGCTGTAAAAGTGAGGGATATACAGTACATTTGAGAGTAAATCAGCTTAATATTGCTCGGTAGACGCATTGCGGACGCACCACCTGTATTCTGGTGGGTGAAATAACATGCAATACAAGAAACGTACGGAAGGAATGGGCTTCAGTCGCACTGACTCCCAAGTTGTGCAGATGGGGAACACGTATCTTGTGCAAATCAATGATTGTCTGTCACATTGTGGGCTCACGGTGGAGAGAATCTTGCTACGCTGTTGCTGTTGNTTTTTTTTAGCCGGGTCTTTTCCAGTTTGCGTGAGGACAGTCTGAGTGAGAAATATTTGAGAGGTTTAAAGTCCAAGAGAATTCTAATTGATTGACATCACAGGAATCTAGCACTGTGGTAAATCCTGATGTCTGTCCGACCAACCGACCAACCAACCGACCTACAAAGGTCTTTCACAGTCTGGAGCGATTCCCTCTATGTGCGTTGGAACCCTTTGTCCAAGCTGATTCTTATGTCAATGCTCTTGCTCGGTTATTGTTGTAATATTAATCACTTATTTCCTTCACTCTTGCTGTGAACTGCCCCCCTGCGGGTCCTATACAGACTGTAACGGGGGGCAAGGGGAAGCATTGCCCTCCAGATTCGGTGGGGCCCCGAGATGGTTGCCAATCTCGCTCCTCGCAGGACATTTGGCTGGAGCGGGGTTGGAGCTGGCTGTGAATGTCTGGCCTGACCACAGAGTCGCTTTGCCCTGTGAGCCAACTCGCGAGTCCCATTTGCGATCCTCGCAATGACTGGAACCCAAATTCATAGGATCAAAAATGTAGACGGTGTTGGGGCACCAGCAGGTGGCATGGGAGTACATGTGGCGCACCATAGTCTCTTTGCAGCGGATAAACTCCGAGCTGTCGGCCTGTAAGAGACAGACGAAGGTGTTGAAATGAGGTTAACGGAGGCCATTACACCTGCTCGCAGGACACTTATTGCTCAGGACCAAGACAGCAGACGTGCATGTGTGTGGCGTGTACGTGTGGGTATCTAATCTACAGAACAGGACAACTGTGTCTCAGGCCTGGGGTTATGACAAAGAGCAAAACAAGGGCTAACTTCCGGGTCATCAAGTTGACATCACTTCCCCGGATCTACAATAGCCAAATTTGCCACCGCAGAGTGAAATCAGCGACACTTCCACTGGGTATCCCGCATGCACAGCGGGCAGGGAGTGATGTTAACGGCGACCGGATGACCTGGAAGTTGGGCAGAAAAGTGGGAGGGGGGGGGGTGGGAGGCACGGGGTTGGGGGGGGAATTATGATGTAACTTGATGGCCCTGTAGTTAATAATGAATATAATTAAACAAGAACTGCGGCCTTTCATGACCAGGAAGAAGACGGGGGAAGCGGATGAGTTGTCGGAGGTTTATCTCTACGCCCAAAGAGAACATACAGACTAGACTCGCTTCTCCTCACCTGTGTTTTCTTCAGCAGATCAGTTATAACAGCGAACCAGTCGGGGAGCAACCGCTCGACCTCCAAGCTGATAATCGCCAAGGCCAACGTGGAGCCCCTGAACTGCAACAGCTGGTGGCAGGCGATACAGTGCTGTAGCTGTATGGTCAAAAACGCCGCGTGGCGAGAGGGGTTCATCTGAGGCCACTGGCTGAGGAGATGGGGCCGGCTGGACAGCACAGTGGCGTGGAGCTGGACAATGGAAATGCTTGTAGGTCAGCCACTGGATTGCCAAACAGCCTTTGCAACACCTCCCTCCCTCCCCCCACCACGACCCCCTGCCCCGCCCCCCCAACCCTCGCCCTGCGGCTTATAGCCTCGCCACACAATTCTACCACTCGCTCCCAGAACCCCCCGTCACCCTGCCCGCGCCTCTCAAACTCAACGGCTGTGAATGTGTCAAAGACGAGCGGTGATCTCTCTCACTGTCGGACTCTATTGGGAATTAGAATGTCGATTAGAGCTGCTAAATCTCTCGCTCTGCCCCCACCCCCACCCCCACCCCCACCCCCACCCCCCCACCTATCTTGCCCAACCACACACACAGTTTCAATCGATATTATTAGAAGCGCCTGTCCTTTACCAGATCGGTCTGATCTAGAACCTCCGGCTCAGTTTGAGAACTAAGCCGGATCTGATCCAGACAATCCCAAAACATGGGTCTGAGAAAGGAAGCGATTGCCTTAAACCTTGAAAGTAAATTGCAAAATGTTTAATGTGTTCGATTCACAAACGACAGCCTGTGGGGTCCACCGTTATCATAGATAAACACCCAGTGCATGCACAGCAGCAGATTACGCTCTCTTACCCCCCAACCCTCCCACCCCCCGCCCGCCCCCCCCCCCCCCCCAGTGCCTCTCGAGACTTTATAACAGCAGCATGGACTTCTTTAGTCTCAGACTATCTCCTACTCTCGCTGACAGTGAATTGTAATCTCCCCTCTCCCCTCCCGCGCCACCGTGGCTAGTGTCCTGTTAGAGGACGGTGTCCGTGCGGTTCATGCTTCTGCTTTGCTGGCGCTCGATAGTCGCAGGACAAACAACCATATTCCCTCTCTCTATTCTCTTGAAAAAAAAAGAGGCCAGGAGAGCGAAGCTGAGCAACTCGGCAGCTGTGAACACGAGCCTCCCCTAATCCCTAACCTCCGACCGCTGAATGCTTACTATGTTCATGAAGTCCACAGCCGTGGCAGTGCAAAGGTTCCACTCCAGTTTGTCCAGAATGATTCGCTCCATCCGCAGAACCTCAGCGGGAGAACAGCTGCAGCCGCTGTTGCCCACCAGGTCCTTGGCCAGGATTGTATTCTGTCAAACGGTAACAAAGTCGTCGTGCCGGTTTCTCTACAGAATGTCATTTTTGTAGCATTTTCTTAAGCTCAGTAAAACTCGTCCTAAAAACCGCAGAGATCGCGTTGGTCCCTCATTGCTTTTGACTCTCAGCCTTCCTCCTCGTCAGCTCACGATTTTAATTCGCGGTCGGCCTCGGGTTCTGAAACTTATTACCGTGGGATACGCTGTACAGTTTGGGACACGACGTGTACGTGCGACTGTTAGGATGGCGGAAGGCGAATTGGACAGACCTTGCTCATGTTTCGTCGAGCGAATCTCACGTTCTTATGAATAAAGGAAACAGAGGCATTTGTGGGGTGTTGGGTCACTGACGGTGTTTTGCAGGCTTTGCACCTTTACATAACATGGCTAGATTATGATGATGATGCTTGCATTTGATGTAACGCCTTATCACATCGTTGAGACGCCTCGAAGCGCTTCACACGATATACTGTAAAATGGAGTCACTGTTGTACGAAACACGGCAGCCAATTACAGACAGCAGTGGATTGCGTGACAAATTTTGAGAAGTATACATATCGAGGGATTATTATCCGGAAAGCGATCGACCAATCGATAAACAACCGGGTTTCTCTTTACTGCAAGGTAAACAGAGGCGTGTGGAGTAAGGAAACTTGCCTAAGGTTTCGTCCCGTCCTGGAATCAAACCCAGGTCCTCTCGCTTGTGAGGCAAGCGCTCTAACCGCTACACTACGTGACTCTAAGTTTGTTATTTTTACATGAATTGCTACGTGTTTATACTCCACACGAGTCTTCATCCATTCCTTACTCCCTTCTATCCCCTTCTCTCCCTCAAGAAGATCTAGCATTTCTCTTGAATGCATGGAATCCTTTAGAGTGTATTATATTATTATACAGAGTGTTTTAGCTGAGTTTTAATTTAAATCCATATAATACAGGGAATTAAAAACACAAGAAGCACCAACCTCGTCTTCCTCGTTCATTTTCAATGCCAGAAACAAGCTGGAGATAGCGATGCAGCGATAATACTTGTCCTGTGCCTTGATATGAAAAAAATGGGATATTGTTAAAAGGATGAAATGAGATGAAACATAACCCTACAAACCGAAGCTCTAACAGGTGGGGAGGTTCTCCCTATTCAAGCAGAAGAAAGCTTGCCAGAAGGTACTTTTAATACCTTCAAGTTCAATTCCAGACAGGGCGAAACCTTGGGCAAGTTTCCTTACTCCACACGCCTGATAATAATCCCTCCAGAACCAAAAACAATAATAAAAATTGGTCATTTTCAATCTACGACTGTTTGTGGGACATTGCTGTGCGCAATTGGCTGCCGCGTTCGCCCACAAATATACAGTCAATTCACTTTACAGTGTGTTCTGTGAAGCCCTTTTTGGACGTCCTCCCGACGTGAAAAGCGCTATATCAAATGCAAGGATTATTATTATTATTATAATGGCAAACCATGCGGTTTTAGCTGGTCAAACTCCAGCAGTTACCTCAACGCACACTCTGGGGTCCCCAAGCCTTGGTTCGTGCCAACCTGTGCCTAATACTCTCTGGAATTAGGTAAGCAGTGAGCGTCCCACTGAGGAGAGAGTGTGCATTCCATTCCATACACAGGAATTTCCATGTGTAGGGTGGCATACATGAAATTCTCGGTCTGGTTTGGATACTCTTTAAGTGTGGTGATGGGTTTCCCTGTGAATCAGACACCAGCTAACCAAGAAAGGGGATAATATACCAGTACTTTCCAACTGGATATATTTATAACTAAACAGCCATTTCCTGACAAACAAGACGCGAATAAAAAGGAAGTGATTTTCAGTGCTCCTTCCCTGTTTCTTCGTCACTCAGCATTGCATTTCCCCAATGAGATGACAGCAGACCGACAACAACAAACTCCTGATAACTCGACATTGGCTTAACTTGTCACTGCCACTTAAGTCATCATACTGTCAATATGCCGTCTGCATTTATTTATGTGTTTATACATATGCCTAACTTGCCACTCTGGATAACTCTTCACCGAGCCCTTTTCCCCTGGAGTAACGAGTTAGCAAAAGTTCACTGAATTATCCATCTGCTAATATCACTTTGTAACTAACCTCTAAGTCTCACTGTAAGTTGAGAGTAAATAGAGTCGATACTCTTAATTTCCCTTTGCTTTGCACCATTCTCTCTCCTGCCTTGAAACCTTTCTTATGAATGCATCTCTGTGTCTTCGTTCAGCATTAAATCCTCTTTTCCTTCCTACCCAGCAATCCCCTTTGTCTTTGTGAAGCCCTCGGAGATGTTCAAGGTCCTCTTGAGAGATACCAGACATGTCCGTTCCGCTGTACGTGACAGGATCAGTCTGTTCATTGCATTAAATGCGCACCTCTCTTCGCCAGAGCAGAACTTGGTTGTCCTGTTCAGTACAGACTACAAAATAATAATCCTTGTATTTGATATCATGCCTTATCACGTCGTTGAGACGTCTCAAACGCTTCACAGAAAATACTGTAAAGTGGATTGACTGTATTTTATGGGCGAAACGCAGCAGTCAATTGCACACAACAGCGTCCCCACAAACAATAAATTTGGGAGTGTTGGGGATCTGCTTCAAGATTGGGAAGGATGTTGTGATCTGTTCTCCGACAAAATAAAGTCACAGGCAGAACCGGCAAGAGACAGATCCCGAGCAGAACAAGAGTGAAAGAAACTACAATATGATTCCACAACTTCTCTTGTGCCTCACAGTCAAAGTTGTGCCTTGTTAAATAGGATGAAAAGAGATCAAATACCAGTGCTGGACATCTGGCTATATATTTATAACTGTACAGCTGTTTTAACTGATGACCAGACAAATAAAAATGAAGTGATTTCAATGTTCCTTCCTATTTTCTTCGCCACTCACCAACTGTGAGGGGCTGCATTCTATATTCCAATTGTTTCCCTTTAAATAAACTATAATTGCATTAAAAAAAAAGGCTTTGTACGTATCTAGGCAAAAGCACTGCCCATTACGTTGCTTATCCCTACACTCAATGTCTCCTTTAATTAATTATTCTCTCTGTGGCTAATCCTGGCCACTGCTTTTATAGCTTTGACCTTTGTTAAATGCGAAAGGAAACAGCGGAGGGAGAAACAAATGCACGTTAAGTCCCGCCACCCCCCCAGTCACAGGCAGAAAATAAATCGAATAGCGATAGAACCATCAAAGAGTTAGTTTAATTGTACCTTAACTGATGCTAACAGGCGGTCCATAATACTGACAGCAAGAAAGAAGATCTCCGGTTCATAGTAGAGCCGAGCACACAGTTTCTCAAGCCAAATGACTTCTTTTTCACGCTTGTACGGAGAGAGAGCTAGCTTGCAATGTGCATCCTGTTGAATTAAAATAAAATGCACAGTTGAACATAGTTGATATCTCACAGAGCTATCGTTGGCTCAGGCACAGACCAATGGTGTGAAGTCCCTGGCGGTAACTGAGATCAGCTAACTCAGCACAGACAGGAAATCAAATCTGAATAGCTTAGGGCCACCCCAACTCAACAACAACAACAACAAGTTGTTCCAAAGCCCTGGACAATCAAGAATTATACTCGAGCTGGCGGTTGGGATCAGGAGGGGTGGAGGTTGGAAGTAGGAGGGTGACCAAAGGTGCGGTCGAAGAGGAGGATCTTCAGATGGGCCTTGAAGGACCTAAGGGAAAGAGTGAGGTGAAGGGACTGCGGGATGGAGTTCCAAAGGGTAGTGGCAGAAAGGCTGAAGGCCCAACAGTCGATGGTGGGGCGGGCAGTGTGGGAGGCATGAAGCAGGCTGGAGCCCACTGAGTGGAGGGAATGGACAGGTCAGTATGGAGTTAGCAGTTCACAGAGGTAGAGAGGAGCAAGGCCACAAAGTACTTCGAAAGTAAGACTTCAGGATATCAGCGACCAGCTACGTTTCTTCTTAAAATGTGATGAATCATTAGCAAACGACTCTCTCTTAGAAAGATCTCTGATCGTGACAGGCCATAGGAATATCATGGACTGGTATCTACCACCTACAAAATACAGTCACTACACATTACGGTATATTCCGTGATGTATTTAAGAGATATCCTCCCGATGTGAAAGGCACTATATTAAATACAAGAAATTATTATTATTATCTTTAGACCACTTGTTGGTAACTGCATTCGATATTGGGGGAACGCAGAAGAATCTCTGGAGTGCTCTATATCCCCACTCTCAAAATTGACACGAAAGAACAACTAATGGCAAATAATGAAAATGTGCTTTTTTTTGCAACGCGTGAGTCCTTAATCCTTTTCATTTTCCGACAGGGGCTGCCTCTTTAATTAACCAGATGTTTTGACCTTAAATGTTGAAAGAAGTGTCAGATATAATAATAATATGGTCAACAATATCAACTGACCGGAAAGTTTTTCCCACAAGCAAGGAATAATGTGCAAATCGCAACGGACGTCTGATTCTAAAATGACAGGATGTTGGCACATTATGGAGTCTTGGGGAAATGTAACGAGTTTAACGCATGCATCAACGACTACATACCTGACTGCCTGAAGTCTTGAAAACAGGCACTTTCCATAACTTGGCTTCCCTGCGAAGTGCATTGTCCAAGAGCAAGGCAAGTCTTGGACACTCCAAGGATCCAGGACATGTCATGGCACCTCCAGCTTTGGCCAGGTTCCCAGCGAGGCAGAGGTACCTAGAGACAAAAAATATGTATTGAGAATGTGGTTTGGGAATAACATCAAAGATGTGTGACTGTCGGGTCAGTCGTGACATGGGCTGGAGCGTACTTTCACACGCCCGAAACACAAGCGGCAATTCATTCGCAAGCTCCGCAGGCTTCGTGGCAATGACACAGCGAGAGAAAAGGTGTCAATTCAGAATGTGGCGAAGGGCAAAGATCCAAGTTACCAACGTTAAAAGAAACAGCAACAAAAATACGAAAGTGCTGAGACCCTCAGTATTTGTTGTGGATGAACTTACAGTTTGCAGAGAGACAGAAAACCACAAAGAGTCGTTAAATTCCGTCTGTCATAAAACAAAGACCAGGGAACAAAGGAGCCTTACAAAACAACGCCATTTAATGTTAATGGTGCTGAGGTTCTTTCATCAACAACAACAAAATTATATTTATAGAGCGCCTTTCACGTCGGGAGAACGACCCAAAGCGCTGAGAGAGGGCTCACAAAATAAAATTTATTTTAGGAAGGTATTGAGATAACACTTAATCTATGAATACTTCATCAAACAAATCACCTATTTATTTATTTATTTATTTATTTATTCATCTACCGTGTAAATTTTTGACACCTGAGTGTCTGACACATGCAGAAGATCATCACCGCGCTTAAAGGAAATGTCTGGAATGAAATACACATTCTCTCCACTTACTTACCTAATTCCAGAGAGTATTAGGCGCAGGGTGGCAAGAGCCAAGGCTTGAGGATCCCACAGCGTGTATTGGGGGAACTTCCCGGGGTTTAACCACCTAAACCGAAAGGCTTGCCGTTGAGAGCACTGTGTGGCCAGCTTCACAATGCTTGTCAGGCTCACACAACACAGGGTTTACGGGAGCTGATTAGGAAGAATTCCTCCCCTGAGCACCCGGCGTTATATAAGTGCAAGTTGTTGTTGTTGTATCTGCCCCTCCAAGTCTTGCCAGCGAGCCAGACTGGCTTTGGCTGTCATCAACAGTGCGATATTGTTATGAACTCTGCTGTCAGGAAGTCACACTGGCAGTGTTAGCAATATTAATGAAATAATAATCCTGTGTTAACCTTTGCTGCACTTCTCGTATTTCAGTAATCTTCAACCTGATAGCGAAAGCGATTAAAACAGTGAAAGTGAAAGTTTCTGAAAATCCCTTCGTGGGAGGATAAAGATTGCCGAGGGCTATTTGTAGAGTAATAGTTAAGTAATAGAGCGTTTTGTTTACAGGCTGGGGCGTGAAGGAGTAATGAAAAGTTGGACACAAAGGATATGTTGAGGCCAGAAAACTGAATTCATCGAAGAGATAGCTTTTTGCTATAATGGGAAGATGATAAGGAAATATTAGAATAAACCAGATGTAGTTGAAGTCGCGTAGCGTAGTGGTTAGCACAATCGCCTCGCAAGCGTGAGGACCCGGGTTCAAACCCCAGGCGGGGTGAAACCTTCCTTCCTCCACACACCTCTGTTTAGCAAACAGTATGTAGGAACCCGGTTGTTGAGTTAATTGGTGGATCGTTTTCCAGGGGTAATAAACACCCCCACCCCGCCGCCCCCCCCAAGCAAAATTGGTTACTCAATCCATGACTGTTTGTGGGACTCTGCTGTGCACAATTAGCTGCGGTGTTTTGCCCCCAAAATACACAATTCACTTTACAAGGTTTTCTATGAAGTGCTGTATGACGTCTCAATGACGTGATGAGGTGCTATATCAGCTGCAAGGATTGTTATTATTATAAATGGGAGAAGGGCATTATCATTCATTGTTTGTCCAGTGACCCTTCCTCACTCTCTGATCCCAGCTATCAGTCTGGTCTCCCTGTACTTAGGTTTGTTCATCTCTCTAGGCTTGGATCCATGTTAAATTGCCCTCTGAAACTCTCCCATTAAACACTCCAGATCTACTTGTTCTGTACGGAGCTTCTCAAGCCACACTCGCAGGAAACTGCTAGGGAAACGATTGACACCTATATGGGCGATTTGGGCTTTGCTCTCCCCCTACCTCTGCAACCTCCTAACCCCCCTACCAACCTGTCCACTCCCTCCGCTCAGCGGGCTCTGGCCTGCTTCACATCCCCTGCCTCGCTCGCCCTCCCATTGACAGACGGGCCTTCTGCCACTCTGACCCCACCCGCTGGAACTCCATCTCGCACCTCACCCCCTCCCTCGCCTCCTTCAAGACCCATCTCAAGATCCTCCTCTTTGACCGTGCCTTCGATCACTCTCTTTGGCCTCCTGCTCTCCACCCTCCCTGATCTCGACCCCCAGCTCGGGTCAGAAACACTGATTGTCCAGCACCTTGGGACGTCCTCCCGACGTGAAGGGTGCTGAACAAACATAATTTTGTAGTTCTTAAAAATTAGAATTGCATCACTCAGTAAACACAGGCGTCTCTTGGGTTTTCCCAAAACTTTTCACAAGAACTTGTTGCTATCCCTCCCCCTCTGGAGACTTTGGCAGCTCGTTGTTCTGTTTGAGAAACAGAAACCGTCCTAACTCTGCTGACGATCATATATTTAACGCTAATCCCTTTCTTGGGAATACAATAATATACACACACCTACATTTGTTACCATCACCAGCCCCATTTATGGCAGTTTCTGTCCAGAATAATAAAGAGAGGAGGGAAGTAGGGTTGGGTCTGTCTCGTTGGATGATCTGAAAGACTCGCACAAAGCTGTGACAATGGATTCATGTTCAGATATTGCGTGCACCTAAAGGTAAGTTCCATCCCACACATAGTTTCAGTTTGACTCACGAAAGATGTGACACATTTAAAGGAATTGAGAAACAACTAGCTGTAAATTGAAGTTGCCACAGTGGAAGGAAGGGATAGATATTCTTATCTAATACCTCCGTATCTGTGACAGCCACACAAAGTGACAGCACTATCGCCTCGGAGTCAGGTTGAAGGTTCGATCCCCACGCTGGGACTTTGAATCATAGTCCAAGGTGACACTCCATTGTAATGCTGCGGGTGTGTTTTCTGGAGATAATAATAATCCCTTAAAATAATAATAATAATAATTTGGTCACTCAATCCACGGCTGTTTGTGGGACACTGCTGTGCGCAATCGGCTGCCACATTTCGCCAACAAAATATACAGTCAATTCACATTACAGTATATTCTGTGAAGCGCTTTGAGACGTCTCAAAGATGTGATAAGTTGCGATATCAAATGCAAACATTATTATTATTATTATTGTCACTGGTGCCGTCCTTCAGACGAGATGTTAAACTGACATCCCACCTGCTTGTCCAGGTGGAAGTTAATAAAGATCCCATGGCACTTTTCAAAAAGAGGAGGGAGTTTCTCCCAGTGTCTTGGCCAACAATTCCCCAAATAAATTTGGTCACTCCATGACAGTTTGTGGGACACTGCTGTGTACAATTGGCTGCCGCGTTTTGCCCGCAAAATACGCAGTTAATTCTTTTTACAGTCCAAAAAGCTTTGAGAGATCTCGATGACGTGATAAGCAATATCAAATGCAAGTATTATGATTTATTATTTTTACCATCATTAAAGAAAAAGGGCGCTAATTTCATTACCCCTCAAATAAAAATAGGTAAACAGTGACGAAAACTCCGAAGATTTGAACATTAAATTTGAAAAACATTTGAGTGGACAAAGAAGGAGACGGAAGAGTGAGGTAACAATAGTAAACATTGCATTTGATATAGGGTCTTATCACGTCTTCGAGACATTTCAAAGCGTTTCACAGAATATACGGTAAAGTGAATTGACTGTATATTTTGTGGGCGAAACGAGATCACAATAATCCAGAAAATAAATCATCTCGTATGAAATGCACTTAAATGTAGTCAATACAGAAGGTAACACTGTCGACAGAAAAATACTGTGTGTGAGAGGTGATCAGATTTACCCATTTACAGTGAGACAGAGAAGAGACCTGGGTCTGTCTTGCAAGAAATCTCACTGTCCCCTTCCAACAACATTGCAAACAAGTGCAAAAAAAGTTAAAACTGCTTAACTTTTCAGCTTTGTGTTCCAAAAGCAGCTAAACATGTGAAAATCCAGTTGTTTAGTTTTAACCCTAAACCTTCCTTGCCAACTCTATGCAATCTTTGCAACTCGCTGTAATAAATCAACCTTTAGCAATGCAGCTTTGTTAGTGCAAGAAAAAAAAACGTCCTCAAGTTTCAGAAATAAAATAATAACCTTATTTTAACATCTTCTTAACATGACACAACATGTAGCAAACTCAGAGCCTGACCACAGATATCAGCCCAGAAAAGCATTCATATCCTTTTGGGACACTAATGTCTTGTTCTTTGGTTGTATAGTTGTGACAAGAGAACCTTATCCCTCTCAAAGAAATGAACAAATACATTTTTTTTTAAAAAGATGCATATTACTGTACAAATAATTACTTCCTTACCTCTGCCCAAGACACAAGTGACCTCTGAGCCTTCCTCCCTGCTCTCAAGTCCAGAAACAACTTGGCATCTTCTTGTTGTTGACCCCTTTTTCCAAGGAGACAAAAGAGAGAGAGAGAGAGAGAAAAAACCCTCTCAAATCTGTTTTGATGGTTGAAAACCTGAACTGGGGCTGTGGGGCAGCAGGAAAACAGAACAACTTGCCAACCCCCAACACAGGGAGATCATTGTCTTCCTGGAAATAGGCAAAGAACATACACACACACACACACACAAAAAAAAACACAGCAATACTTAAAACTATTGGGACAACAGGAGGGAACACAGTTCTGTTCTGCACTGCACTGCAGCTGAGCACTGTGTGTGAGAGTGAGTGAGTGAGTGAGTGAGAGTGTGTGTGCACTCAGTCTCTCTGCAGATGTATGTGGATCTGTGTGACTGTGTCACAGTTTGCAGGACTTTGACTCCTCCTTGGTTCTCACGCCAGCAGTTACGTGCTCCATGTCATGCCATGATCCATTTTGCAATGTCAAGGAAGCAGAGTTTTTCAGTTGTTTCCTGCAAAAAAAATTTTTTTTTTACAGTTAAATTCTTGTTGGATCATGAGCAGCAGCAGCCCACAACATGTACAGCAACACAACACACATAGCCTCTCCCTCCTCCCTCTCTCAGTGGCTCTGATGGGTTGAGCATTTTAGTTTCTGAAACTTGAGAGTTGTTTTTTTTCTTGCACTAACACAGCTGCCCTGCTCGAAGCTGATTTATTAGAGCCACTTACAAAGATTGCCAAAGAGTTGACTCGAGAAAAGACGAATATGTCCAAAAGCAAATCTGGATTTTTACATTTGAGGTGTTTTTTTTTTGGGACACAAAACTGCAAAGTTAGTTTTAACTTGTATTTGTTATTGGAAGGGGTTATGTGAACGCCTCCTCCCACCCCCTTCTGTGTTAAGGGTTTCCTTGTAATATCCGGTAGTTCTAAGAATTCAGACACTCTCTACTAAAACCACATTCTCACTCCATCTCAATGTGACTTCTTACTTTTCGAGGTTAAGACACATCGCAGCTAAGATGTGTGCGACATTAAAAAAAACATATTTTATGTCTAAACAATAATAGCAATAATCCTTGCATTTGATGTAGTTCCTTATCGCATCATAGAGACCCCTCGAAGCACTTTACAGAAGAAATTGTAAAATGGATTGACTGTGTGTGTTGTGGGCAACATGCGGCAGCCAATTGCGCACAGCAGTGTCCAACACACAGTCGTAAGAACGTAAGAATTTGCCAGGCGATAGAAGACCAAGGTCCACCTAGTTCGCCTTCCACCAACCTGGCTGTCGCTCGACCTGTTGTGTCGCAAACTGTATACCGTATCCCGAGATATTTTCCAGCAGTCAACTATCTAATTTGTTCTTGAAACAAAAAAAGACAATTTCTGCTTCCACCGTCTCCCCCAGGGAACCTGTTCAATAAATTTACTGTTTTGTTGTAATTAACCCAACTTCTGTACATTTCAGTGTGTTTGGCAATCTAGAGTCCGGTTAGCGCTCTCACCTCGCGAGGGAGAGGACCGGTGTTCAAATTCTGGGCAGGGCGAAAGCTTAGGCAAGTTTTCTTACTCCACACGCCTCTGTTTACATAGCAGTGAGTAGGATCCCAGTTGTTATTCAATTGGCGGATCGCTTTGTGGGGATAATAATCCCTTTCAAAATATTTATAAATAAATGCTTTGGTCGCTCAACTCACGGGTGTTTGATGTGAGCAATTGACTGCCGTGTTTCGTCCACAAAATATACAGTCAATTCACTTTACAATATATTCTGTGAAGCGCTTTGAGACGTCTCAATGACAAGATAAGGCGCTATGTAGAATGCAAGGATTATTATTGTTATTATTATTATAAATTGACAGTCTGTTCCAGTAGAATAAACACAGAATACAGTTTTGGATAATATCGAAATGGGTTTATAGTCCCGCAGCTCTATCAAAGGGTTACATTCTGTCTCGTTGATTTGTTTGGGTAAAATAACGACTGCTGATATTATATCAACTCAGCAGAAATCAGAAGAGTGTGGACAGAGAAGATTCTGGAAATGATTCACACAGTTTATGCTCAGACTTGGAACTGGAATTTGGGTCACGTCAGACAATGCTGATTCATGAAGCCAGTTTGATTACAGTGTAAACAGTCCCATGATCCAGTCGGAGAAACAACATGGCTGCAACAGTGCAGCGATTGATGGGAAAAGATGGGAAACGATTTCTGTCTGTGTCTGACACTTGGCGTCCAACAAACCAATCCCAACGTTCCCATTCTCAGGGATCCATTTTATAATATAAAGAATAATAAAAATTCTTGCATTTGATATAGCGCCTTATCACATCATTGAGGCATCGCAAAGTGCTTTGTGTAGGCAAATGTGGCAGTCAATTTGCATACAGCGATGTCCCACAAACAGCCATGAAGTGAATGACCAATTGTGTTTTATTGTTAGTCCACCAGCAGCTCTGTGTTTGTTCCACCTGCTCTTGCCTGTGAAGGTCTTGGAGCAAAACACACCAGTTCAGAATCTTGATGGGCCAAATAGCTGTGAGATACAAGTGCAGGCGATCGGAAATAATGATGACAATCATGCTGTGGCTTAACCATAAAATCAGCATTGATGTCAGCGCTATATGACTTGTCAACGAACCATTATTATTCGGTTGCCTCTCATTTCATTTGCATGATCTGCAATCTACTGACTATAAATTGGAACCTGATTGCACAATTTCTTTATGGTTATTGAGACCAGTTGAAATTAGAAATGCAAACTCATAAATTTTACAATAACTTGTTTTAAAGATTGAGGTTTATAGAGTGCTAATTGCCACACACTGACCAACCATATCCAGTGAGAATACAGTGCTCAATATATTGAAACAGGCTGTAATGAAACAATGATCCTTGTATTTGATATAATAATAATAATAATCCTTGTATTTGATATAGTGCCTTAGCACATCAGTGGGATGTCTCAAAGTGCTTCACAGAATATACTGTGAAGTGAATTGATCGTGTATTTTGTGAGCAAATTTGTATTGTTTAGGAAACACAGTTTACACAGTGGAGTCCTGTAGCTCAGTGGTTAGAGCACTCGCTTTGCAAGTGAGAGACCTGAGTTCAATTCCAGGCAGAGGGCCAAACCTTGGGCAAGTTTCCTTACTCCACACAGAGCCTAATAATAATCCCTCCAAAACAAAAAACAATAATAAATTGGTCATTTTCAATCTACGACTGTTTGTGGGACATTGCTGTGCGCAATTGGCTGCCGCGTTCGCCCACAAATATACATTCAATTCACTTGAAGTGACCAGAACGGAACTCTAACCCTCAACCTTGTGGCACAGTGGTGCGATTGCTAATAACTGAACCAAACAAACATCCTGGAAAGATGAGTGAGACCAGGGTACGTAATTTATCTACAAGACGCCTTGCTGCCGTAATTGCTAAGGTAGCTATTTTGCAATCAAGTGGTCTTTCAAAAGCAAACCACTTTTGCCTGAACAGGTTTATGACTAAGACTGAAGTCTTCTGTTTGCTTTTTCCACTGAATCAATCCCACAGTGATTCCTTCGCAACACGAGTACATTACAACACGGCACTGAGTCAAACAGTGAATGGATTGACGTTTTAAGGGGAAGGGCAGACAGACACAGCTCCTACTTAAAAAAATCTCCAGTCTGTTTTTACGGTGCTGACACAATTGAGCAATCAACTGAAATTATTTCTGAAATGCAACAAGCCAGTTTACATTAAAGATCTGCCTGGAATAGGAGCATCTCTGCACAGCAATGCATCGCTCGGAGCTAAGGAATTTGTCCTATTTACACTGTTAGCTGAATTCCATATTAACAGCATCGCCCAACAAGCAATAAACGTGGGTAAACTGTCCCACCGCAGCTGTTTGAAAGCTGCTATTGTGACTTTATTTTCCTTTGGAGAATATCCACAGAGATCATTGATGCAGAAACTGCCTCACTGGGCCTGTAGCCCAAGCTGCCTGGTCAGAGGTGCTGGCTGAGGACATCTCTGGGCTGGCACCATCAAAGGAAATTATTCCATCGTTGTCGACAAGCCTCGTGTCTGCAGAGGGCTGGAGAAAACCACTTCTCAACAGGCAGCAACACTGTCTCATTCACCTTACAGTCCTGATTATCTCTTATTATTGGTGAGCGAGGTTAGATCTGCTCAGCCCCACTAACAGAATGAGACCAAATACGTTCACTTTGGGAAAGAGTGTTGCCCCACAGACAAACCCCAATCCCTATACTCTTCTAGGCCCCAAATTGTCAAGGGACGATGCGGACCTGAACCAAGCAGGTCAGGTGATGGTATAATAATAATAATAATAATAATAATAATAATCCTTGCATTTGATATAGCGCTTTTCACGTGGGAGGACGTCCCAAAGCGCTTCACAGACACACTGTAAAGTGAATTGAATGTATATTTGTGGGCGAACGCGGCAGCCAATTGCGCACAGCAGTGTCTCACAAACAGTCGTAGATTGAAAATGACCAATTTATTATTGTTTTTTGTTTTGGAGGGATTATTATTAGGCTCTGTGTGGAGTAAGGAAACTTGCCCAAGGTTTCGCCCTCTGCCTGGAATTGAACTCAGGTCTCTCACTTGCAAAGCGAGTGCTCTAACACTGAGCTACAGGACTCCATGCAGGGATGGCATCTCTGGCCCGGCCTGAGCCAAGTGACCAAGTCCTGAAGTGCGCTCTGCGTTCCAGTATCTCTGCTTCCTCAGATTGGATTCACATTACGATGCTGATGCAGAAATCAAGGCTTCCATTGGTAAAAACCTATTACAAACCCTCCTTTGCCCCACTCTTTCGTCCCACTTTGCTCAGTGCTCTCCACGGTTCCTATCGAGCACTTTGAGACGTTTATACAAAATCATCCGCTGTCATCTCTTAGATTGTTGTCAATTTCACTGTTTGCCTGACAGGAAACACCTGTGTCTGGTTGGCATGATCAACAGTGACAACGGTTGAGCATTTCCCTTGTGGGGAGCTGTATCACGAGGGTAGGTAGGTCAGCCGGGCATCTGATACACACAGAAACTAGGCTTAAAGATTGGCTGCAGCGTTTTGCCCGCAAAACACAGTCACTATACTTTGGGGCGACACTCCACGGAGTTGACCTCTTTCTTATTCTACCAGCCTCGTGCGTTTATGCGATGTTTACTGACTGACTCCCGTTGTACGTTAACTGCATCAATGACTCCTCGAGTCAACCGAACGGTGTTTTTTTTAAGCCGTGCGCTTGTTGAAAGGGATTTCAATAATTCCTCGTAAAGCTCATTGTTCCTCAGCAATGTCATTCAGTATGTTGTTGTTCGTTTTCCTGCGCTGAAGGCTTTATGCTGGAGGCGGCCTGAACCAGTACAATAACAAAAGGCATTTGCAGTTTTTTCGGTGCATTGTCGCGATCATGTATTGTACCCGGTGTTGGAAAACCTTTTAATTTTTTAAGGTAGGTTCGCCTTGAAAAATAATTCCTTACCAACCAACACAATAGATCTAAATTGTAACGTGTTTTTTTTTTGCAATTTTACATCTGAAAAGCCCACAACCCATTGACTTTTATTTATGTGTCTGCTTTATGTCTATTATTTATTTATTTATATTTATATAAAATAAAATAAATATTTTATTTATTTGTCTCCATGATCATTTTTTTTTGCTGTCTTTTTCAGTAACGTTGGAAAAAAAGTGTGAAAAAGAGCTTGATGTTGGGGTGGGAGGACAGTTGTGTTGTGTGTTCTGGAAGGATGAGATCAAATAGGTCAAAGGGCCTTCTTCATCTGAAGTGCCTTCAGCTCCCCTCTCGACTCTCTACCCCCTCCTCGCTCCCTCCCTTCCCTCCCCTCACCCTGACCATTTCCCCGCAATGCTCGGGTCCTGACCCAACTGTCCAGCGCCTTGGGAAGTCCTCCCGACGTGAAAGGCGCTCTATAAATGCAATCTTGTTGTTGTTGTTGTAGTTGTATTACAGTGACTGGGAATCCTTTGATAAGAATGACATAGATTGCTGGTGGCTGTGGCCAGGGATGAAAATATACAGTTTAAACTCTGCCGGGAACTACTTATTACCAGTCTCCTGCACTACCCCCCCCCCCCCCCACACACACACACACACACACACACACCCACCCCCAGGGCTGACAATAATAATCACCCACTGAATGGGGAGGAATTTAAAAAGTTGCCAAGTCCACGCAGATTAGGAATTCCCAGTACATCACCACCACTCAGTGGCCGAACCCGGCATTACGTGTCCCAAAACATTCACTCCATAAATCCTCGCTTTTTCAACCAAATCAAACGAACGGCTGCATTTGGGAATCATAGGAACAGTAGTCAGTCCAAGGTGGGAAGTCTCAATGTCTTCAGAAACACTCTTTGTGGAGGAGAGTGCTACGTATTTCCATAAAACAAGCAGCGATCACAGCGCATTCACTGTCTGGCTGAATTATAATAATAATAATAATAATCCCTGCATTTGACCCATATGATGTCTTCGAGACGTTCCCGAGCGCTTCACAGAATATACTGTAAAGTGAATTGACTGTATTTTGTGGGCGAAACGAATGAATAGATCACGTTTAAATAAAAACAGAAGTCGCTGGGGACACGCAGCAGGTCAGGCAGCATCTATGGAGAGAGGAAAGTGAGTCAACGTTTCTGGTCCTTGAACTTTCGTCGGAAACCTTTTTCAATTGATGACATTGTTGACTTCTGGACGGTCAGGTGCAATGGGAAACGTCACCAGACCAAGTGGGGCCGGTAGTTTCTCGCCGACGTCAACCATGACAGATCGGTGAGGTTTCAGAAAGGTGCGGAGAGCAGCGTAGAGACCACCAGGAGGGGAGGGGGGGGGGAGCTTGAGGGGTGGGGCGGGGTGGGGGGTGAGTGGGGGGGGATTGAGGGGGAGTTGGGTCACTGCCAACAAAACACACCTGACGCTTGGAATCTGCCAAAGAAGGAAACTCTCGCGTCTCCGGGAAAGAGCTGCATTGCATTCAGCCCATTTACACCCACAAAACACACAGTCACTACACTTTCCAGTATATTCCGTGAAGCGCTTTGAGACGTCTCGAAGACGTGATGAGGCGCCGGGTCAAACGCCAGGATTCCCCGCCCCTCCCCTCCCCCCGCGACCCGCTGACCCCCATATCAGCTCCCTCCGCCCAGCGGGTTCTGGTCCGCTCCCCCCCCCCCCAACGAGCCTTCAGCCTCTGCCCCCCCCCCCCCCCCGGGGTCTCCATCCCACAATCCCTTCACCTCCCGCCTTCCCCTCCGTTGCCTCCTTCAAAGCGTGAATCAACTCCCTCCTCTTCGACCGATCCTTCGGTCGCCCTCTCCGATCCCCCATTCCCCCACCCCCCCCTCATACCCCCCACCCCCCCCTCATACCCCCCCACCCCCCCTCATACCCCCCACCCCCCCTCATACCCCCCCTCATACCCCCTCACACCCCCCTCATACCCCCCCACACCCCCCTCATACCCCCCCACACCCCCCTCATACCCCCCCACACCCCCCTCATACCCCCCCACACCCCCCTCATACCCCCCCACACCCCCCTCATACCCCCCCACCCCCCCTCATACCCCCCACCCCCCCTCATACCCCCCCCCCCCCCACCCCCCTTCATACCCCCCTCATACCCCCCACACCCCCCTCATACCCCCCACCCCCCTTCATACCCCCCCCCACCCCCCTCATACCCCCCCACCCCCCCCCCTCATACCCCCCACCCCCCCCTCATACCCCCCACCCCCCTCATACCCCCCACCCCCCCCACCCCCCTTCATACCCCCCCCCCCTCATACCCCCCCACCCCCCCTTCATACCCCCCCACCCCCCACCCCCCCTCATACCCCCCACACCCCCTCATACCCCCCCACCGCCCCCTCATACCCCCCATCCCCCCCTCATACCCACCCCCACCCCCCACACCGCCCCCTACACCCCCCTCATACCCCCCCCCCCCTCATACCCCCCCCCCCCCCCCACCCCCCCTCATACCCCCCCACCCCCTGCTCTTGAGGCAGCAGCAGTGACGTCACTCCCGGGGGGGAACCTCGCTGCCGGGGTTGGTGTTCCGGGGGCGCGGACACGGGGACGGACCTGAAATAGAGGACCGGAAGTTGGGTGAAAAAAAGGTGAGAATCAGCGAAATACAAATAAATAAAAACTCGAGACCGAGAGAGAGAGAGAGAGCGGAGGGGCCGTGAGGGGCCGTGAGGGGGGGACAGAGTGAAGAGAGAGGGCGGAGTGAGGGGAGAGAGAGAGAGAGTGAAGAGAGAGAGAGAGAGTGAAGAGAGAGAGAGAGAGAGGGGAGCGCGGGGGAGCGCGGGGGGAGGGGAGGGATTGGATTATAAACTGTTGTGAAATATTAAACAATCGCCGACCATCCATTTAGGAAACTTCCCTCTTTTGTGGACTTCTGTACAATGTACCACGTGCTTCACGGTCTCCCCCCCCTCCTGCCCCCCCTCCTGCCCCCCCCCCCCCCCCTCCTGCCCCCCCTCCCCCTCCTGCCCCCCCCTCCTGCCCCCCCTCCCCCTCCTGCCCCCCCCTCCTGCCCCCCCTCCCCCTCCTGCCCCCCCTCCCCATCCTGCCTCCCCCCCTCCCCCCCCCCCCTCCTGCCCCCCCTCCTGCTCCCCCTCCTCTCAGCTTCTATTTTTCCTGCTGTGATCCTGTCCCATGTGCTGCTCAGTGTAATCTAATCCTCCGGGTCACGGGGGTCCGGAAGCTTTATTTTTGGGGGGAGATTTGACACAATCTCATCACCGAGGCTTCAAGTCTCCGAACCAAACTGGGATTTCCAGGCATCCGACCGACACACGGCTGCGCTCTCTCTCTCTCTCTCTCTCGCTCTCTCTCCCTGGACAGATTCTCTCCTGTCTCCCCGATTACGGAGTGTATTAGCCGCAGGTTGGCAACAGGCGTGTGGACCTCAGAGTGCGCGTTGGGGTAACTCCTGGAGTCTGAACCAGCTAAACCGGCTCAGCCGTTTTGTGGCGCTGCTGGTAATCCAAAGGTTACCGCTGTAGAGGCCACAAATTGTAATCTGTGTCCTTGGCTCTTGCCAACCTGTGCCTAATACTTTCTGGAATTAGGTAAACAGGATGCCTCCCTCCAGGGAGAGAGAGCATATTCTGTTCCAGTCAACATCTCTGGGATTTCCATGCGTAGGTGAAGCGCTTGGAATTCCCGGTTTGGTTTAAATACTGATGCATGTGTCAGACACCCGGCGGACCAAACAAAAGTCCAGCTCCTTAAACTCCTGGCTCCACCCGACACTTTTTCTAGATGTCTCTTCGACCGTGCCTTCAGCTGACTTCTTGACTCTACCCCCTCCTCGCTCCCTCCCTTCCCTCCCCTCACCCTGACCACTTCTCCCCTGCTCGGGCCCCGACCCAACTGTCCAGCGCCTTGGGACGTCCTCCCGACGTGAAAGGCGCTCTATAAATGCAATCTTGTTGTTGTTGTTGTAGATCCACAAATCCTGGACGGTCGCTTTTGTTTCCAAGAAACGTTTTCACCCATCACAGCAGGTCCCCTGGCATTCGGAAGGCAATGGTTGATTATCGTGGCTGTAAAGCAAATGCCTTTAAATCCTTGAATAGACCACTCCAATCACCACTTTCCTATTCTGACTTCTTTTCCTCTTCGTGGTTAACCTCGTGCCCCATCTCTTTGTTCACACAGTAATTACATTATTGAGTATGAATCTTTTGGACAAATCCACATCACCAGCTTTGCTTCCTTTCGCCACCTAAACAAAACCTACAGCAGGTTTTCCAGCACTTCGGCACATCTGTGCCAAGAATGGGGAAACATTCAGTCTCCACTTCCCACTGAATGGTTCTTGTTGCCGGCCTTGCTCTTCTGTTGGCAAAAGCGAAGGCCCAAAACTGAAGACACTTATTTCAACCATAGCCTAACCAATGTTTCAATCACTTTAACATAAACTGGATACAATATACTGTAACTGTATTGCTATATATAGATATATTGTGTACCACACCCTGCCCTACTGACTGTCTTGAAAGATTTGGACCTGTTATGGTTTATTCCCTCACTTACTGGTCTAAAAGTGAGGATGGGGGATGGAGTGTAGGCATTTACACTCCCAAGCAATAAATTGATGAAGCTGTGGTGTAGGGCTGTGTGTGGAAAATGATGATGCCTTTCTAGTGCTTGACTTCAAATATGCTTCCTCTTAAATGTTTCTCAGTAGCCATCAAATCCAAGGAAAATGTTCCGAAGATCCATTGTTAATGTAAGTCACTTTTTTTGTATTTTTGTTTTTCGCGTTTGCAGTTGGTTCTGTCATTTTTAGCTGTTGTTCTATACCAGTCATAATGTGTGCCTATATATCTTCAGGTAATACAGAAGCTTGCCAGGCATGAAACCACTGATGCCTCCTCCCTCATACTTGAGAGATGTAAGTAATCTGTTACTGTCAAAATACTGTAAATACTCTTTGTCAACCTATATCCACAAGAGGTGTGACTACTGCTCAGAGTTCCTCAGGACAGGGTTTGCCTATTTATTGGGGACTCCATCGGTCAAGGCCTGAATATTGCTAAAGAGTTTTGTCAGAACAGGGTCTGACTATTGCTTGGAATTTAATCAGACAAGAGCTTATTGCTGCTAGGGAGTTCCTTAGGACAGGGTCTGATTGTACCATATCTGCATTACAGTACGTCACAGGCAGCAGTCAGTTACTGCACATCCTAGTGAAGTTTACCGTGCTAATGGTGAGGAGCTCTGATTCCATGGAGTGCGAATGAATTTGAACATCTTGGAATCTATCCACGGTGTGACGTACTTTATTTCCTTGAGGAATTATAATCTCAGGGAGTGACAACCTTGAATACGCCAACGATTTCAAGACAATAGTGAGTAAAGAAAGACATTTAGGAGTAAAAGAAATAATGCAAGTAATTTAAAATGGTTAAGGGGGAAGCTTCACATAGAACTGAGGCGTATGGTGTATACGATAAGGAATGGAAGTTTATGAATATGAGCCATGAATATTACTTAATGCAGCTCAATGCTGCTCAAAGTTAGTCGATGAAAAAGAATCAGCACATATTGAAAAGAGCATTTCAAATATATCTTACAGCCATAACCTTAAAAATGGAAACTCAGCAGAAAACAGTTTTCGTAAATATAGTGGGAGGTGAGGCAGTAGGATATGATAGAAAATTTAAATATACAATTGGCAGGAAATACCAACCTCCTCACAATGCACAAGTTGGAAGCAACTGCGTACAAATGTTGGAATAAAGAGATTCATGTTTGGAGCTTGATAACAGGAGTCACAAGAGACTGCAATACTACAATTAGGAGGAAATACTTCACTCAGAGTAGCGCGAATGTGGGATTCGATGTGTGAACTGGTGGTTGAGACAATAGTATAGATGCATTTAACAGGAAGCTAGATATATAAATGAGGGAGAAGGGAATAGAAGGGTATGGATGGGAGTAAGGAGTGGGTGGAGACTCACACTGCATTAAACACTGGTGTGACTATTTGGGCCAAATGGTTGTTCTGTGCTGTACAGTCTATGTCTATGTGCTGTACAGTCTACAGCGCCTTGGGACGTCCTCCTGATGTGAAAGGCGCTTTATAAATGGAATCTTGTTGTTGTTGTTGTTGTTGTATGTACTGCTTGGAGTTTCCTCAGGAACGGGCTGACCGTAAACCTCTCCGGACAGGGCTTTTGCTTGTACAGTTCAGGACAGATTCTGACTGTGCTGTTAGTAAAGGTTTCATCAGTGCAGTATCTGACCGTATTGCTTGGGGGTATTGAAGGACAGGGTCAGTCTGCGTGCCCTTCGGAGTTTCCTCACAACAGGGTGTGATTTTAGTGCTCGCGGTTTTCTCCGGACAAAGTTTGATTTAACTGAATCTTTAGTGTCTGACTACTGCTCAGTTTCATCAGGATAAGGTCTGGCTTTATTGTTCGGGGTTCCTCAGGATAATGTGTGACTAGACTGCTCGGGGAAATGACATTTTCATGACATTTTCTAACCAGCATTTCAGATTTCCCCAGGAGAGTGTCTGACTCTATGTGCCGTGTCATTACGCTAACTGCACTGGTGTTTTCCCCTTTGCCTCTGTTGACTTTGCTCCCATCCTACACTGTTGTCTTTCACCCTCCAAATCCCCAGCTGTATTGTTTATTCTCTTCCATCCCCCCCCCCACCGTAGAGCTGCATTGTCCCTTAACTTTACACTTTTACACTGCGAGATGTTTCTAGTGAGCAGTATTACAACAACGACAACATTCATTTATTGAGCGCCTTTCACGTCGGGAGGACGTCCCAAGGCGCTGAACTACAGCAAACTGTACAGTGAATCAACGCTAGTGTAATTTACTGCTGGTTCTGACACAATATCTGAATGTGATCGCTTCTTTCACCTTCACCAGCGTTGAACCGAGTGCAGCTGCTGGGTCGAGTGGGGCAAGACCCAGTGATGAGGCAGGTCGATGGAAAGAATCCCGTGACTATCTTCTCGTTAGCAACCAATGAAATGTGGCGGTCAGGTGACAGTGATACGTTTGTCTCGGGTAAGAGCGTCTATGAAAATGGTCATTATTGCCTCTGAGCTCTGTTAAGTCAGTGTTTTAACCCATCTGTACAGGATTTGTAATACGCCTGGTATCAGTCTCGCTGCCTTCACTTGCTCACCACCTCTCTCATCATGACCGTATATTGCCAAAGTCCTGTGTTATTTTTTGTCAGCTGGTGTCTGATATATGGGAACCTAATCTGTCTGGTAAGATTACCACAATTTAAAAAATCCCACGCAGACCTAATAAGTGCTACGTCCAGCGACAAAATCGCTAAATTGAAAACACTGCTGGCTCCCCACACACTGCAGCAAGATATGTAGCAGCTATTGGGCAGCTTTGGCGTGAATACAGCTACTGGTCTTGCAACGAGTCTGATTGTGTAATGACTCTTAAATCCCTAAGCCGATTACAAAGGTACCGACATTTCTGGTCTCTTATTCACATGGACTACAATAATCGTCTCAAGCGTTTACCTAGCAGTAAGTAGGAACTCGGTTGTTAGTCAATTGGTGGATCGCTTTTCTGGGGATAATAATCCCTTCCAAAAAAAAAGAATTTAGTCACTCATTCCACGACTGTTTGTGGGACACTGCTGTGCGCAATTGGCTGCCGCATTTCGCCCACAAAATATACAGTCAATTTACTTTACAGTATACTCAGTGAAGCACTTTGAGACGTCTTGAAGACGTGACAAGGTGCTGTATCAAATGTAAGGATTATTATAAGTGCTGCAAGTTTGATTGAAAGTTTAAGGTTGTGGCGCAGCGATGTTATTATTGTCAATGTCTGCACAGCGCTGATGGTAAGGAAGGTGTGATAGTCTGGTTCGGTGGTAACACTGAGCTAGGCTGACACTGGTCAGAAATTGTGGGTTCAAGATCCACATCAGGACTTGGAATCGTGTAGTTTAAATTGATGCTGGAGTTTGTTCCTCACCGTATCCTGGCCAGCAATCCCCCAGATAAAATGTCATTCACTTTATGGCTTTGTGGCACTTAACTGGGGGCAAATTAGGCTGATGTGTTTGCTGACAGTATACTCATCTCGATGTTGTGGTAAGGTGTTGTATCAAATGCATATGCAAGGATTATTATAGTATGGTAGTGTAGTTTATGGGTCCACTGTAGTTACCAGAGAATCTCCACTGTCTGCATCTCTCCAAGGCTGTGACTGTTTTTATATAAAGAGCTGCCCAAAATGATGCAATCCTCTACCTGCAATCTAAAGATGTCTTGTACAGGTTTAACATCACTTGTTCTTGAATTGGGTTCTTGAAAGACCAAAACTTTCATTAACTTTGAAACGGTAGGATTTGGAGAATGGAGGTAAGTCTGGGGGCCACAATTGCTTTTTTGTTCTGGGAAAGATAAGTTGCTGAAAACAATGCAGTGAGAGTGACTACTGACGACTGCTGGTGGAGTGTGGTATCATCGCCTTGTGTTTCTTGCAGGTGATATCAACCAGAAGACCACTTGGCATCGAATTTCCATTTTCAGACCCGGTTTGAGAGATTTAGCGTATCAGTATGTGAAAAAAGGGTACGTGCAGTGATAAACACAACAGGTAATTCGGTCCAGGCGCACACTCTCAATTGTCAGCCTGGCTCAGGTGGTAGCAAGCACTTTTGACTCTTGAGTCAGCATGCTATAACATCGAACCTCTTCCTACCTTCCGTGCGGAAGGGCCTTGCCCCTTGCCTCATTGCACCGTGTTCTTGACCACCTTCTCACCCCTTTTCCTATTTCCCCACACCCCCCGCATGGGGATCCCTCTCAGTGCAGCAGGATTGCCTTCCCGTTGGTGGGGTCATGCACCTCTTCTTGCCCTTAATCCGCTTCCCTTTCTGTGGGATCTTCCCCCTTCCCCTCACAGCAGGGGAAAATCCGAGTACATGAGACTGAAAGGATTGTGAGCACAGATACGATGGGCCATATGACCTTTTTCTGCACTGTGAAGTTCTGCCCCTCTTTCTCAACCCCACTTTTCATCCCCTCAGAGTGGGCAGTCTTGCTCTTCCCCTTGCAGCAAGGGAGAATAAAGGAAAATAGGACTGAAAGGATTACCAGCACAGATAAGATGAGCCAAGTTAAAGCTTCCTGTGCTGTGAATATCACGCCATTACCCCTCCCCCCTTAGTGAGGTCTCAACCTTTTTTGCCCCCATTTGTAGCAGAGTCTCGCTATTCATTTCCCCACAGCTTCGCAGCTGAGTCTCGCCTTTCGCCTCACTCCCCCCGCTGACCCCGCTCTTTCCTCCACTTCCCGACCCCTCTTTCTCTCCCTTCCCCTCCCTCTCTTCTGCTCCGGCCTTGCCCTCAACCAGCCTAGTCCCCATCTTCTCTCGCCCCGGCCTGGTCCGTCCTCATTAGCTTGAATTAGCTTTAGATAATTACGGATGAGGTCTGGAATTCTCAAGTTGTCCTTTTCGAGAGAGGCTCTGAGTTCTTTTTCACGTCTCTCTCGTTCTCAGGGCCCGGATTTACTTGGAAGGAAAGATAGATTATGGCGAGTACACAGACAAGAACAATGTGCGGCGTCAGGCAACCACTGTGGTGGCGGGTGAGTTCTCAGCGCTGATGGATGAAACGTTGACGTCACTTACAACTCCATACAAGTGTGACATGTGGTGGTCTCACCTAATCCCATCCTCGCCTGACATCCATACACATTTCCAATGAAGATGGGGTGACTGGGTGCAGGGTAGCACGCCTGCTGGAAAAAGTGTTCCCTTCTTATTCCACGATTGATGAAGCCTCTGCTGTTTGCGCTTCTACGATCAACTGTCAGCACAGTCGTGAATTAATCACAAAAAAACAAATACAAAATTACATTCGTATAGCACCTTTCACATCAGGAGGACATCCCAAGCTGCTGGACAGTCAGGGATTGGGAAACATTGGGCAGGTTAAGTGCTATACCCTTGCGGGACAGCAGTTAAGCGATTTATCCTGCTGGGCAATCGAGATGAGTGACGGGAATTTGGGAGGAGACATCAAAAGATTTGGGCGTACAGGAAAAAGTTTGTTTGAAATGAGAAGTATGCCAATTCAATTTAGTACTTTGAATGTGACTGTTATTTTTTTTCCTCTTACAGATAATATAATTTTTTTAAGTGACTCTGTGAAGGAGAAAGTCTGAAAAAGGCTCTTGCTGTACAAAACCAAGATCATTCCTCTGACTGGGCTCATCCTCCTCCTCACAACCATCATCATGTTCAATACCACAAATTCTATAAGATGGAAGCTGCTCTTTGTTATTGCTTTTTCTCTAGTCTAGAATTGCTCTCTTTGAATTATGTTGCATATTGTTTGTAAGGGATTTGATAATAAAACAATGATGTACAGATAGTTGCAATGGATCAGTTACTTTTTAGTCTGTTCGCTTTCCAGTTATGCTCTTGGTAAATTGCAAGATTGGGAAAAGTGTTGTTTTGAGCCTATTTCGTGAGCCTGAGCAATCAGATTGTGCTCAACAATTTCTGGAAAACATCAGAGGCGAGGGGGAGAGAGAGCAGGTGCTTGCTCGAGTTGGCATTCACCTCTTCATCCTTTAATTATTCACTTGGACTCTTGAAAATCATAGTTAATACTTCAGAGAAGCTGCAAATCTGTCAGTGTGTTTTTAAATCTCATTTCCCAGTTCTCTTCCCATAACCCTTAAATCCTTTTTTAGTGCTCAGTTAATGATAATAATAATATTCTTTGCATCTGATATAGCACCTTATCAAGTCTTCGAGATGTCTCAAAGCACTTCGCAGAATATACTGTTAAGTGAATTGACTGTATATTTTGTGGGTGAAATGCAGCCGCCAATTGTGCACAGCAGTGTCCCACATACAGTTGTGGATTGAGTAACCAATTTTTTTTTGAAGCTATTATTACCCCCAGAAAAGCGATCTTAATCAATTCTATTGATCCAGCCGCAGAACCCATTCATGATGAGTATGAATGATGTTCGGATGTGTGTGTGAAAGAAGGGAGAGTGAGTATCAATGATGCAAGTGAATGTAAGGAGAGCAAATATGAAAGTGAGAGAGATGAGAGTGTGTATGAAAGACATAAGAAAGTAACTGAGAGGGGAGAGTGAGTGGATTTTTATGTTTGCCACCTACTCTCGTAACTTTTATCTAGAATGGAATGCACCCCTCTTTTGGAAGGTCACACACACACACACACACATACGTGAGCACACACGCACATGGCTTGGACACACATCCCTACCGAATGAGCAATGGTTCCTTCAATTGGAAGTCTGGAGTTTCATCATCAGCTGCTTATTCTCCACATATCAATCAAAGTGAATACCAAATCCTGGATGTTTTCTTCAAGAATCTGGTTTCTTGACCTTCTAGCAATTATCATCTTGAGTCTGTTTTCTCATCAAGCATTTGGTGGACCTCAAAACCCATAGATCTATAGTGATAATGCATCATGCCAACCACTTTGATGTTGGAGAGATTCAAGGTCATGTACCAGCTGCTTACAGCTCAATACTGTTTGGATGCAGGAATTCACCTGCATTGGGACCAAGTACCATATGATATGAATCAACAATCGGGACAGATACCCCTGTGTCTTCCGATCAATACCCTCAAGTGACCCTCAAGTAGTACATGCATAACAGAGATGTCAGCCTGGCTCAAGTGGTCACACTTGGTTTTGAGCCAGGAGGTTGTGGGTTCAACTCCCACATATCGGAACTCTGAACTTAGTTTTGCTGACACTCCAATAAACTCCTGGAGGAGTACTGTAGATAAGCTGTTAAACTGAGGTCCCATCTGCCTATTCAAGTCAGGTTAAAGATCCCACGGCACTTTTTAAAAATAGAAAGTGTTCCCCTGCAGTCCTGGCACAAACCCTCCAGATAAATTGGTTATTTTCAGGTCATGGTTAATTGTGGGAAATTGCTATATGTAAATGGCTTCCATGTTCACCTACAAAATACAGCCAAAATTACACTGAACAGTAAAATCCTGTAAAGTGCTTTGAGGCATTTGGACAGGGTGAAAAGGGGCTACTCAGAGGCAAGGATTATTATAATACTGGATTTAGGGGCACTTGTCATGATGTCCCGCGAGTGTGTAAGCAATCTACCACTTATCAACAATGAGACCCAAACATGATTCCTTGCAGTCCAATCAAACCTTCCAGAATTGCTTTAACACCTAAAGTCGCAAAACCTTCCAATATCTTCTTTAACCAGACTTTCTAGGTACCGACTTTCATAAAATTATACTGGTCAAAGCTTTTTGCCCTCGTTAGCACATTCAAAATAACACCTATCCATCAGATCAGAGACATGTTTGCAACAAAGCAACAACAAAGCACCATTACTGGTGGTCCATAAAGAATTAGTCAAGGCCTCTATGCACAGTTGTAACCTTGGCCATTAGCTTGTTGACAATTGCCTTAATCATCCTTATCAAGGGAAATGCTACAATCTGTCCCCACTAACAGTACTTACTCGGGTCGGTCACGGGATTATCAGACGTGGCCACTTTGAGAGCCAGACCCACAAGCCACCGAGGACTGGTCAGAACAGATCTCCATCACAGGTTCTTGAGGGTTGGCATTCCAACATGAGTCTATTTGAATATTATAACACGAGACAGACTGGAACAAGCATACAGTTCAGTGCAGAAGCCAGGTCCTAAGTGCTAATTGTAAGTGTGGTTTCTATCATTGATAACTTGTAAAGTAACAGGCTCATCCATTAACATTTTAAAGTTTTTTTTAATGTTTAAACGTGGTACACAAGATTGAAAATGCAGAATCCATAATGCACACACTGCAAAAGGCACAATCTGGGCAGTGGTCAAGGCTCCCGCTTCCTGAAGAAACCAGGAATCTCTGATCATATTACGGAATAACAAGTGGCCACTTTCTGCACCCCTTCAACCTCCACGCACAGTGGGTGAAGTAAATATTTAACATGTCTGGAATCCAGCAGTGTGCTAAACGCTGAATAGTAAAACCAGCGTTGCGATTGAAAGGAGGTAAATTCAGAACAAATCTACGGAAACACTATGTCAGTGAGCGAATAGTAAACCTGGGGAACAGGCTCTCCAGGGAGACAGCTGAAGCAGGAAGTATTGATTGCTTTAAACACAGATTACATAGTTTTCTTTTAGAAAATAACATTTTAGGGTATAGTAAATAGGTAATTCAGGACACAGGTGCTTGCCAGGAAGGTGAAAGGCAAACTAGATGGACCTTGATCATTTGTTCGTCTAGCATTTATTACTTTCTTATAGTAATATATATATAACACAGAAAATTCATATCAGTCAGAATATTCATCTAAACATAGATATTAAGTTGCAAGGTAAGCAATAAAAAGGCAATGTGGGGCTACTGGTAAGAGGGCTGGAGGTGATTGAGGCCAGGAGATTGGACTAATTTAAGAATGTTATAATGGGAAGATGGTCATTCTGGAAGGAGATAAAATAGACTAAAGTGACTATCTTGACCAGCACTGTGCTAAACACACAGAATACTTGGTTCAATGATTTGAAGCTTNAAAAAAGCTTTCCTCTGGTGGGTATGATATGATAAATGTGCTTAAGACAATGAAAGGATTTCAGAGAATTAATCATGAAATATGTTTTCCATTGGTGTGGGATTCAACAACAACAACAAAATTAAATTTCTATAGCAACTTTCATGTCGGGAGGACATCCCAAGGCACTGGACAGTCAGTGTTTTGGACCCGAGCTGGGGTTTGGGATTGGCAGGAGGGGGTGGAACGCAGGGAGATCAAAAGCACAGTTGAAGAGGAGGGTCTTGAGATGGGTCTTGAAGGAGGCAAGGGAGGGGGCAAGGTCAAGAGGAAGTGAATTCAAGATTTACTAAGGATGTAAATGCAGAGATTTGAAAGAACTTCTAGAGGGTCGGCAGGATTTTAGAGAGGAGCTGATTTAGAGCATGCAAAAATGATAATAATAATCCTTGCTTTTGATCTAGCGCCTTATAACGTCTTCAAGACATATCAAAGCGCTTCACAAAATATACTATGGGCGAAATTCGGCAGCCAATTGCGCACAGCAATGTGCCACATACCGTCGTGGGTTGAAGTGACCGACTTATTATTATTATAAGGAATTATTACCCCTGGAAAAGCGATTGCCGATCAACTAACAACTGAGTTCCTACTTACTGCTAGGTAAACAGAGGCAAGCAGATAGAGAGCAAGGCTCACGGAGGCTAGAGGGTATAGAGCAGGGATTTGAGAGGAGGGTAGATGTTGTCTTCTGAGAAAGAAACACTGACATGAAAAAAGAGGGCAAATGACCTATGTTTATATTTCTATGATTCTTTGGCTGTGGAGGAAGAGCTAGAACAGGAGGCAGAGCTGGCTCATGACAGGACCTGATTGCGAGGCGGTTGCAAGTTGTGTGCAGGTGCCTGGTAGGTGCGAGGAGTCCAATGGATAGGTGATATCCTTCAGCACACTCTCCAAGAATGACTCCTTACACTGGATCTGTGGAACAAAAACACAATTGTTACATACTAGAGGAAGAGAGAATGTCAGGGTCATTAGCTTACTCCCCTTCCCTACCTCTTTCTTACCCCTATCACATTCACTTCCTCCCCATCTCCTCTTCCTACTACAACACACACACCTCCACCCTCCCTCCACCTGATTATTATTACACCCTCTTTCACCCTTATGATTTATTCTCAGTCCACTCTTGTTCCTCAGGTAGGGAGGCATCTTTAGATCTTCAGCAGCTACGGTCTTATAAAAAGAGCTTGTTTGGGTACACACCTATGCTTACCACTGGCAAACAAGGTCCAATACAGATAAATGCCACTTACTGCATATAGGAAATAAGAATGGCTAATAGTTGCTGAAAGAAACCCAGGGGTGTTAACCAAATGTTGCTTCCAGCTCCTTGCTCTAACACTGGGGATCATTGTGTACAATTCTGGTTGTATATAAGAAAACATGAGCAGGCCCCAGGCATCGGCAGCAGTGCAAATGAGAGCAACAACAATGAGGGATAGTGTTAGAGGTATTCTTTTTGGTCAGTTGGGTGGCCACACGTGGAAACTTATCATATTTAGGAACATCCACATATCAATATGTTTGGAAATTTCCCTATGTGTGGAATTAAATGCACCATTACCTAATTCCACAGAGAGCCAAGGCTTGAGACGCCAGAGTGTACAATGAGGCAGTACTATAGTTCAAGCAGTTAAAACTGTAAAGCTTGCCAGTGTTCAGCAAGCTTCCACCATTTGTCTACTTTTCCACTGGTGTCCACAGCAAAGAGACAATGCTCGTTAAAGTTACAAATGACATCCTCTCTCTGTGACCTGGGCTCCCTCTGCTTCCACGTCCTCCTAGATCTCTCCACTGCATTCAACATAGTCGATCGCGCCATCCTGCTCCATGGTCTCTTCTCCCTCATCCATCTACTGGCTCCATCCCTGGCCCCTTATTTACATGCTTCCTCTCAGCGATGTCAACCACAGACACAAGGTCAGCTTCCACATGTATGATGCCAAAATCTCCTTCTCCTACTCCAGCTGTGACTCCAGGTCCACTGGTGTTCTGTCGGCTTGTTTGTCAGATATTGAGGTCTGGATGAAGGTGAACTTCCTGCAACTTCCATGTTGACAAGGTAAAAGCCAAATTCATTGGCTCATGTCAATGTCTTCTCTCCTATGGCTCTGACCTCCTCAACCTTCCCTGCCTGTATCTAAAACTTAGTAAACCTGTACATAATGTAGGCGTTAAGTTTGATTCCAAGCTGTCCTTCCTAAATAATCCTATAATCCTCTTCCTACCTTACATCCGAGCACTAACCAGGACCATTTTCCTCTACCTCAGTCACATTTCCTGCCTCGGACAGCACCTCACCCCCGGCACAGGAATTTGAAACAAGGTGTGCAGTAATTTGTTGAAACATGAAACATTGAATTTGGAGAAGGAAATATAAATAATTACTTTAGGAATGTCAAGAATTCACAAGCAGGAGATAAAGAAAGATGGTGAAAAAGATATGGAAGTAGATAAACTGGCTCAACGTTGGAGTTGGAATAATTCAGATGATGAGTATGGAGTCGAACAAAGGCAAAAACAAACAGAAGAATGCTTTCAGGTGATGCCCAGTGGAAGGAAAGGAATGCTATATTTGCAATAGATATGGTCATTATGCAAGAAAATACAGATCTAGATATATTCATCTGGTAGGGGAATCCAAACATGAGGGCATAATCTTAAAATTAGAACTAGGCCATTTAGGAGTGGAATTAGGAGGCAGTTTTTCATCCAAAGGGTAGTGGAAATCAGCAACTCTCTCCCCCAAAAGGCTGTGGATGCTGGATCCATTCACATTTTCAAGATAGAGATAGATATTTGTTAAGGAATATGGGCCAAGGCCGGGTAACTGGACTTGAGGTACAGATCTGCCATTATCTTATAAAATGACAGAACAGGCTTGAGGGGCTGAATAGGCTAGACCTGTTTCTATGTTTCTATGAATATAAAGGGGCAGAGAAGCAAATGGGATAGAGAGAAAAGAGATGTCACAGGTATAGAAATAAAGGAATACACAAGGTCAAACAGTTATCCAAGAAGCAGCATGGTACATGCGGGATTAAGGCCCAATGCATAGGTGGAGAGCTTGGATACAGAATCGGGTCTCATGTGAGAGGGAAGAAGAGTTCATCATAGTGACTGAATACAAGAGGAAAAAGAATAGGTAATGTGCATGAAAATGGGAAGGGGTGGGGGATTCAAGGCATGCAAACTAGACTGAGGAGCATAAGCAAGTGTTGTGTCTTAGAAAGAATATCTGAGTCTGGGAGAACTGGGGAAAGATAATATGAAACCGGGAAAGGAAAACTAACTGTATATAACAAAGGGAATATTAAGCAGAGTAGAGATAGAGCTGAAAGAACCAAAACAAATTGTATAAAATAAAATGATGCGGGCAGAAATAAACCTTGATTGGACTTCCATAGGCATAATTAAAATGAAAATGCTTCAAATAATTCAAAATGTGAATAAAGAAGAAAGTGGACAAATCGAAAGTGAGGAAATATTGGAAAATGTAAACTTTTTAAAGTTTTTTTTAAAGAGATGATCAATAATTCTAATAATAATCCTTGCATTTGGTAGAGAATCTTATCACGTCTTCGAGACATCTCAAAGCACTTCACAGAATACATTGTAAAGTCAATTGACTGTATATTTTGTGGGTGAAATGAAAGGAGAGTGAGAGATGAAAGAAACGGTACAACATGTTAGGATAAGATCGGTCTGGATGAACGACCCAATCTCATCCCTCCAGAACACCCATCCCGCCATAGCTGACCATAGGCATGGTCGAAGAGGAAGTATACGTAGGTTAGTATATTTGTTAAAATCTTCTGATTTTAAGGGAAATTAATTTTGTTACATTCTATTATTGAGCAGGGTTTCCTTGGTGCTGAACTGGCTCCAAGGTGATGTGTTAGCGACGGAATCGAGCCAGCCATCTGGGGGTGGTCTCGGTAGTCCAGTTCCTGAGCCAGGCAGATCCACAGTAACCCAGGGAACTGCTGATGACAGCACAGCCAGCCTGGCTCATCAGCAGGACTTGGAGGGGCAGATCAGTCACTGGGGAAAGGGAATCATCTCGGTCAGTTCCTGTTCACCCCGCAAGCCAAAACCCTAACGGGTAGCTGGTCCTAGCTGGACAAGTATCGGGAAAGCTTGCCAGACATTGGTATCAATGACAAGCTACGCTGTTTTAGCTAGTTAGACTCCAACAGCACCCCAACATACACTCTGGGTCCCCAAGCTTTGGCTCTTGCCAATCTACGCCTTATATTTTCCTGAATTAGGTAAGCAGAATGTGTCCCTCGAGGGTTAAAGTGAATTAACTGTATATTTTTGGGGCAAAACGTGGCAGACAAATGTGCACGGCAGTGTCCCACAAACAGGGATGAATGGAAATCTCAGTTTGATTTAGATACCATTTATCATGATGATGGATTCCCGCATATGTCAGACATACCCGGCTGATCAAAAAAAAAGATCTTTTTCAGCTTTAAACATTTGTGGTAATAATAAAGGATACGTCCTCACCTTTGATAATGACTCATCCTCAACGCTGCCGTCCTCAATCGATTCCACCAGTGAATTCACTGATGTGTTCATTTTACTTTGATTGGAAGATGGAGGTTTCACTTGTTCTTCCTTCACTTGTAGATCAGATGGTTTTATCTGAGGTTACAGCAGAGCCATGGAGTTACATCCCAAGCATAAACTGCACAGTGATTATTAAACACAACTGCAGCTATTCTCCTGGGGGGTAGTGGGGGCAGCATAGGTTGAAGAGGAAGGTCTTCAGACTGGATCTGAAAATGGGGAAGGAGGGGGCAAGGCAGAGGGACAGAAGAAGAATGTTCCAGAGTTTCGGGGCATAATAGCTGAAAGCGCAACCACTGAACGTGGACGTACAATATAATAGAATACAAAATTACATTTATAAAGCGCCTTTCACGTCAGGAGGACGTCCCAAGCCGCTAAATCTTCAGGGATTAGGACCCAAACGGAGGGGTGGGGAAGGGGTTGACCTTGAAGGAGGCAAGAGAGGGAGTGAGGCAAAGAGAATGTGGGATGGAATTCCAGAGGGTGGGGCCCAGGCCCGACTGATGATAGTGAGACAGGCCGGGCAACACGGAGCAGGCCGGAGAGGAGGGAGTGGACAGGTTGATAAGTGGATTAGCAGGTTGGAGAGGTAGGAGGGGGCAAGGTCATGGAGGACCTTGAAGGTGAGGACATGGATTTTAACCTCGATCCTCTGAAGGATGGGGAGCCAGTGGAGCCGGGCAATGGTGGGTGTGATGGGGTGACAGAGCCTGATACGGGAGAGGACATGAGCTGCAGAGTTCTGGATGATCTACAGCTTGTGGAGGGAAGAGCTGGGACGGCTGGTAGGGGAATCCAAACAAGAGGGCATAATCTTAAAATTAGAGCTGGGCCACTTAGGAGTGGAATTAGAAGGCAGTTTTTCACCCAAAGGGTAGTGGAAATCTGCAACTCTCTCCCCCAAAAGGCCATGGATGCTGGACCCATCCAAACCTTCAAGAGTGAAGTTGATACATTTTTGGTAGGTCAAGTATTAAGGAAAATGGGGAGAAAGTGGGAAATTGGAATTGAAAGGATTAGTTGAGGTACAGAGCAGCTATGATCTAATTAAATGGCAGAACAGGCTTGAAGGGCTGAATGGCCTACTCCTGTTCCTGTGTTCTTATGGTTGTAATGAAGGCATGTATGATGGTTTTGGTGGCCTGAGGGTTGAAGCAGTGGCAGAGTTGGGCAATGTTGCGGAGCTGGGGGAAGGCAGAGCAGGTCATGGCACAGTTGAGGATCGAACAAGGTTGCTGACTGGCTCAGTGAGGTGGAGTGTGCATCTGTGGATGCTGATGCTGTGAGTGCCTGAGGTTCGGAGGCACTGGCACGAGCCAATCAGGAGGGCCTCGGTCTTGCTGATGTTCGACTGTAGAAAGTTGGCTCTCATCCAGGACTTGATATCTGGACACAAGGGACAAGCAGGAGGCCGGAGCCAGTCAAGCGGTGGCAGCAGGTTGGGGTGGAAGCAGAATGGAGATTTAAGAAGGTGCCAGGGCATGAAGGGATTTAAAGTGTGAGGTTCTTGAAACAAATCTGTTCAGTGATAGAAGCCAGTGGAGTCCGGCTAGAACTGGTGTGATGGGGGTGTGGAGTTCAGTGCATGTGAGTGTGCGAACAGCAGACTTTTGGATTAGCTGGATTTTATGGAAAGTGAAGCTGGGGAGACTGTCGAGGAGGGCATTTGTATAGTCCAGTCGAGAGATGACGAATTCATGGACGAGTGTTTCAGTTGCATCTGGGATAGGTAATAGTCGGAAACGGGCAATGTGGTGGAGGTGGAGGAAGGCAGTTCTAGTCAGGGACCACATCTGGGGTATGAAGGACAGCTGTGGGTTGCACCCAATGCCTAGGTTGCGCATTGGTTCAATGAGGGATAAGCCGGAAAAAATGAGGAGGTCAGAGCAGCAGGTCAGAAGAGATTGACAAGAGCCAAAGAGTTTGGCTTCTGTCTTGTTGACGTTTAGTCTGACTATGAATTCAAAGTTAGGACATGGGCTTGACAATCTTCTGACTCAGAGGAGAGACTCCTACCAATAGAGTCAGGTATGCTTTGCTAACGGTATATGCTGGCAGGGCACACACTCTAGCAATATACTCCAGTATGCAGTATTCAGAATCTCTAATCTACGTGCAGAATATGCTGGAATGTCGACTTGCTTTGCATACAAGATATGTTGATGTACTTAGGATGCTATGCCCACTCTGTATGCATCAGCACACAGTCTGTATGTAGTTTTCATGGCCATGTTTTACACACGGTGCATGCTGGCACACAAAATATCCGATCACACTCTGCGCTTAGCATACGCCAGCACAGTCTGTTTGTAGTCTGAGCTGGCACACTTGGTGTATGATAACATATCTTGTACACAACATATGCCTGCATACTCTGTAAGCAGTGTACATTGGCACATACTGTACTGTGCCCGGACACTGTGTGTGAAGTATATGGCAGCATACTTTGGATGCAGTATATGTCGGCACACACTGTAAACATATACATCCCTGGAGAGACTAAAAAATGACACTATGACTAAGCTAATGCAGTGGAATCTGCTTTAACTGGATGGCGGTTAAATCGGATGAAACAAACGGCCCCGATTCATTTATATTCTTACCTGTTGTAAATATGCCGGTGAATTCGTTCAACAATTGGTCACCGCTGAATGTGCTCACTCAGCCTTCTGTGTCTCAAGCGGCTTCATTCAGCCACAAGAGACTCCAGGAGGGAGATGGGAGGAGTCACATCATGGTTGACTATTGAATCCGTTCGCAAGTGCTCTCGGGTAGGGGGACAGTAACTGCATCCGGCGAAAACGGAGGAGACTAATTAATGGTGGCTCCGAGGTGATTTAACACCTGACGGAGAAGTCTCTACCTGGTCCCGTTCCCTTCCAATGGAAACGGCAATGGCGTTCAGCAGAGGAGACAGGCAGGAAAAGAGGGGAAAGAAAAAAAACCTGCTATATCAAAAAGGCGCTATATCAAATACAAGGATTATTATTACAAGAACTTTGGTTACAAAACTCCCTGCCCTTGTGGGTCTGACAGAAATGGATTCCACTGTACATAGATGTTGTGAGTAGAAATGCTGTGCAAAATTTACCAATGGCGTGTCCTGGTTGGGTGATGTTGGAGCCGGTCCTGTTTTGCTGTTTGTTTGAGTGTCAAACTGTAGACATGTTGCCTGAGCATTCCCATCCTTGTCCCTTTTCCCCTTCAGCCAGTACGTCTCAATATCAACATTTCCCTGCATATAAAGAGAGATATATGGACAGGTTTAGAGAGACACAAGAGAGAGGAAATGTACAAAATGCGTAGGAGAGAAATTGAGAAAGAAACAGAGGGGACCTCACTATCGAGCCGTACCACACTTTAAATGGGAATGAAAAAGTAAACCCACATATTACTTGCAAGAGGTCACAGATTTGGAGCTGCAAAAGGCAAATTCAGCCCCCCCCGCCACACACACATACCACACACACACACAGACAACACCACACCTCACACCCCACCACCACACTGAAGGGAAGAGGTCAAGGAGAAACAAGGAAGCAAAGAGAGATCTGGTCGCAGTTAGAGTGAATGTCATTGGCAATTTTGACACTTGCCATAGGTGGGGGCTGAAACCGGATTGAAGCAGCTCAAGGAGGGAGGGAGTGATGGAAGAAGTTGGAGTGAAGGGGAGGCAATGATTTGGAGAGAAAGGGCAGGTTGGAGATGGAGTGGTAGCTGGAGAGCATTGAGAAGTCAAATGAGGATTTCTTGAGAAGGGTGATCATGATGGCGGATTTGAATGGCTAGTACTCTGCCAGTTACTGTTTGTGGGACATTGCTGTGCGCAATTGGCTGCCGTGTTCGCCCACAAATATACAGTCAATTCACTTTACAGTGTGTTCTGTGAAGCGCTTTGGGACGTCCTCCCGACGTGAAAAGCGCTATATCAAATGCAAGGATTATTATTATTATTATAGTGGAGAAGTTGATTATGTTGGTGCACACCTATACACACATACAGAGTGTACACCACAGTGTCACATACACACACATACACACACAGTCTGTTTAGTACCATGTCTCTTGTACCTTGATAGTGATTGAGCCTCTTCGCTCGAAGATGAACTGACTGCCTTGAAGATGCTCATATGTGGCACCACTCAGCTGAATGTGCATCTCCTGAGAGGAAGTAACAGGATCAATCAAGCTGCTGAACTACACAATACAGCCCATAACACGACATCACAGTAACACAACAAACACGCACAACAGTAACATAACACTGAGTAGTATTACATATATGACAATTTAAAAATTGTCCAATCTCCTACTGACTTTTAAAATAAAAGGAAAAGACCATCAGACATTCAAAATACACTGTTGTTTGGAAGGTAGTCTCTGAAATCAAAGCAAGCTGTGAAGGAACTAAATTGTTTCCAGTGTTTACTGCATCTATAATATCAAAGTTTGCTCAGCTGGGTGTCTGCAGAAACCTGTTACCATGAGAGAAAATATGCACTAAGATTTACCAAGTTCCTCTCCTGTCAGACATCAAGTTCCAGATGAGCCTCAATTTCTTCTGTTGATTGCAACAACCTCCCCAGCTGCTCACTTGTATTTTGGTTTGACTCCCCCAGCTCTTCCCATCCATATATCTGCCTCTTGACCAAGTCCTCTTTCTTCCACATCATCATTCACCCCATTGTCACCTCAGGCTCATATTTCCCGACACTGAAGCTCCACATTACATCATAAGTGGACATATAGATAGTTGGCTTGCAATTAAGGCTGCATTCTATAGAGCAACTACAGTAACTACATGTAACTGCACAATTACATGGTAACCATCGCAATGGATGGCAATTGTAAATACGAGGATTGTCCACATAACTGGAAAGTGTCAAATGTCACACTGCTGTTCAGGTAGTTCACTTTACAGTATATTCTGTGAAGCACTTTGAGATGCTCGAAGACATGATAAGGCGCTATATCAAATGCAAAGATTATTATTATCTGGAAGTGTGGCAGACAGCAGTACAGTCGGTGAACGCAAAATGATCACAAACGACACCACTCAGCTTCAATCACCTTTGGCACCTGTATCATTCTACATTTAAACTGGCCTTCTGTTTATTAAATGAAAGTGTTCATTCAGTTAAAAAAACAGCCTTTTGGCAACCCGAGGTGCGGTCGAATCCAACGATTTATACAAACAGCATTATTGTTTTGCTTTTTTACTCTACACTCATGTTGATAAAACTCAACATGCTATTAGCTTTCCTACAGTATCTGACACTTGAATGTCACTTTTAATAACTTATATACCCGAACTCCCAAATCCCTTTGCTGCTAAGTTCCTTGCAAGATACTGCCATTCACTATATACTTCCTTCCCTCATTTTTTCTACCGAAACAAATTGCCTCACATTTTGTTTCATTAAACTTTATTTGCTGGGTAAAAAATTGTCTCCTCGTCTCCCCTCTGGTTCCTTTGCCAATTATCTTAAATCTGTGTCCTCTGGTTACCAACAAACCTGCCAGAGGAAATAGTTTCTCCTCATTTACTCCATCAAAACCCTCATAAGCTTGAACTTCTCTTATTAGGTGGACCGCATACCCACGGTTCGAGTCCTACTTAACAAACCGCCAACAATACATCTCGGCAAATGGTTTTTCCTCCTGCCCCTGCCCAGTCACATGTGGGGTAACCCAAGGCTCCATTCTTGACCCTCTTCTTTTCCTTATCTACATGCTCCCTCTCGGCAATGTCATCCACAAACATGAGGTCAACTTCCACATGTATGCGGATGACATCCAAATCTACTTCTCCTCCTCCAGCTGCGACTCACAGTCTACTGATGTCCAGTCAGCTTATTTGATGGACATCAAGGCCTGGAGAGTGCAAATTTCCTGCAGCTGAATGTTGGCAAGACGGAAGCCATACTCTTTGGCACCTGTCAACGTCTTCTCTCCTGTGTTCTGAACTCTTCAACCTGTTCAATCTGCTTAACCCCCACTCCACCACCCGCAGCATCCACTCAGCTTTCTCTGAGTGGCTTCTGTTTGTCCCTCGTCCCCTCCGCTCCACCATCAGCAGCTGTCCCTTCAGCCACTAGGCCCCAAAACTCTGCAACTCTCTCCCTCAACCCCTCTGCCTCCCTTCCCACTTTCAAATCCCACCTGAAGACCTTCCTTTTTGATTATGCTTAATGGTCACCTCCCCGCTCCCTCTCCCACTGGTTGGGTGTCAGACTCCGCCACTGACAAATTCTACCACGCGCGAAGGGCGCTATATAAATGCAAATTGGTGCTGTAAATCTCCCCTTAACCTTCTCAGCTCCAAGGACAATAACAATAATGTGCATTTATATAGCGCCACTCACGTAGGGTAGCGGCCCAGAGCGCCTGATAGTGGCGGAGCACGATGCAAAGCTGTGGGGAGGGCGGTGTTGATCGTAGGCATGGTTGAAAGAGAAAGGTCTTCAGATGTGATCTGAAGACTCAAGGTGGAAGAGTGTTCCCCACAATTTCTGGGAGTAGCGGCTAAAAGTGTGGCCACCGATGGTGGAATGGAGGACACAAGGGACATGCAGGAGGCCGTGAAAGTGAGGGGCCATGAAAAGTGAAAGGAGTTTCTCCGGGTATCCTGGCCAACCATCACCCAAATAAAATGGATTATTTACTTCATGGCTGCTTGTGAGACATTGCTGTGTGCAAATTGGCTGCCACCCACAAAATACACAGCTGCTCCACTTTCCAGTATATCCTGTGAAGTGCTTTGGGACATCCTCCTGAATCCAAAGCCATCATATGAAATAAGGATTTTTTTTATATAGCTTCCAGTCCACTGAAACCTGACCAGTGTTGATTGGCACCTTGATAAAGTCTATCAGTGCTGCACAAATCTGTTGCCACGTCTCTGCTTTGCTGTCCCCACCTTTCCATCCCTACCTTGCCATTACTCTCCATGGCTGAAGCTGTGTGAACAGTGTCTCCATACAGCCCATATCGTGGCATCCGGTGTCCCACCACGCCAGCCACTACCATTCCTGAGTGCACTCCTAAAGCAATGAAGAATAAAACTTGATGACAGTGCCAACTCCATCTGTGTCATTTATACTACTGAATAAATCAGCTCCCTCACTGCGTATAAGGAATAAATAAAGATTAGCATATTGAAAGAATCAGGAAAGACACAGATGGATATTTAGAGAAAGCTACAGAGACATATTCACAGAGAGATAGCAAGTGAGTCAGGGAACTAGGAACAGTGTAGAACCCTTGGAAAACAACAACAACAACAAGATTTCATTTATAGAGCGCCTTTCACGTTGGGAGGACGTCCCAAGGCGCTGGACAGTTGGGTCAGGACCCGAGCAGGGGGGAAATGGTCAGGGTGAGGGGAGGGAAGGGAGGGAGCGAGGAGGGGGTAGAGAGTCGAGAGGGGAGCTGAAGGCACGGTCAAAGAGAAAGGTCTTGAGACCGGCCTTGAAGGAGGAAAGGGAGGAAGCGGCGAAGGCACTGGGGAATGGAGTTCCAGAGCCAAAACTAATGCCATCACAGCTCTCTGCACTGCATGAACACACACGTAGGGAGAAATACAGCAACCCGAGGAAGGGTTGGCATTGCCAGAAGGAAAAAGAAAATCTTAGAAAATCATAACATGACTACTTAGAAAATCATAGCATAACATGATTAGGCAGAGTCAACATGGCTTTTTCAAAGCGGAAATCATGTTTAACAAATCTTTTAGAGCATTTTGAGGATATAACATGCAGGTTGGATAGGGGGAACCAGTAGATGTGGTGTATTTGGATTTCTAGAAGGCATTCGACAAAGTGTCACATAAAAAAGGCTGTTGCATAAGATTAGAGCCCATGGAATTAAAGGTAATATATGAGCATAAATTGGAGAGTAGCTAACAGGAAGACAACAGAGAGTAGGGATAAACGGGTCCTTCTCAGATTGGCAGGATGTGACTAGTGGAGTGCCACAAGGATCAGTGCTTGGGCGTCAATTATTTACAGTCTATATCAATGATTTAGATGAGAAAATAGAACTTAACATATTGAAATTTGCAGACGATATGAAGCTAGGTGGGAAAGTAAGCTGTGAGGATGACACAAGAAGAATGCAAAGAAAAATAGCCAGGCGAGGTGAGTGGGCAAGAAGGTGGCAGATGGAGCATAACGTGGGGAAGTGTGAAATTATTCACCTTGGTAGTAAAAATAGAAAAGCAGATTATTTTCTAGAGGGGGAGAGACAAGGTAGTGTTCAGAGGGATTTGGGTGCCCTTGTACATCAGTCACAAAAAGTTACTATGCAGGTACAACAAGGAACTAGGAAGGCTAATGCCATGTTGGCGTTCATTGCAAAAGGGTTAGAGTGCAAGAGTAGGGAAGTCTTGCTGCAGTTGTATAAGGCCTTGGTGAGACCGTACCTAGAATACTGTGTGCAGTTTTGGTCTCCTTATTTAAGAAAGGACATACTCGCCTTAGAGGGGGTGCAGCGTAGAGTCACTAGGTTGGTTCCTGGGATGAGGGGGTTGACCTATGGGGATAGGTTGAGTAAACTTGGCCTATATTCTCTAGAATATAGAAGAATTAGCGGTGATTTTATAGAAACCTATAAGATTCTTAAGGGCCTTGACAGGGTAGATGCCGTGACACTGTTTCCCCTGGTTGGAGAATCTAAAACTAGGGGTTATCGTCTCAAGATTAAGGGTCAGCCTTTTCGAACTGAGTTGAGGAAACATTTCTTCACTCAAAGGGTAGTGACTTTGTGGAATTCTCTACCCCAGAATGCTGTGGATGCTCAGCCCTTGAACACATTCAAGACTGAGATTGATAGATTTCTAAAGGATAGAGGGATTAAGGGATATGGGGATAGGACGGGTAAATGGAATTAGGCTACAAGATCAGCCAAGATCTTATTAAATGGCGGGGCAGGTTCAAGGAGCCGAATGGCCTACTCCTGCTCCTACATCTTATCGTCTTAAAGGTTGGAGATCAATCAGACCCCAAGGATTGTGGTGTCCTCCAGTAACCTGAAACAACACCCTACCATTGGGGTAATTCAGACTCACTTGGAAAAGGAAAACATATAGATGTACTTTGGGTTGATTCAGAAGAGATTAAGGTATTGATATAAAAATATTAGTACACTCTACTCATGGTTTACCTGATTTGTTGGCATTCGCCTAATATATTCTACTTGTTTGTTCATCAACTATTACTGGCGTTGATTGCTTCTTCCATGACAACCCCATACCTGCTACGATATACACATAGAAAGAGATATAGACAGAGAGAGAGAGAAAGAGAGGGAGAAGGAGAGGGAGAGAGAGAATGAACTCGAGCAAGAGAGAGACACATAAACAGAAAGAAAAACAGTATCTGTCTTTAAATAAGAGTAAAGCAAGGTTGTCCACTGTCTCCCATCCTATTCACCAATGATGTGCTGGATGGCAATAAAAGGGATGAATTTGGAGTAACTGTTTCAGGCATTTCTGATAGAATTGTGCTTCTGTTTTCAGATGATATTGCTAGTGTAGATTCTTCCAGGAATCCTGAGTGCAACACTCACACATTTAATGCTGAGTTGTGCTGCTTACCACACAGCTGGTGAGGAGTTCCTGCTACAACCTAGTGAGGCTCAAACCTGAGCTTGTCAGATGTCTGATGACCAAGTAGTAACAATCTTCTTTGGGGAAGAGGATAAACAAGGTCTCTTTGGGGTTTAGTTAGTTCCATGGTAGCATACTGGCAATGGAAGATCAGAATTGAGTCAGTACACTGTGGCAGTCTTGGTAGATCAGTTCCTGACCTAGGCAGGTCCACAGCATTCTTGATGATGGACCAGCCAGCCTGGCTCAACAGTGGAACTTGGAGGAGAAGATCAGTCACTGGGGCTTTGAATTCCCACTTGGCATCTATTAACCTTGCAAGCCTAAGCTCTACTTGATAGTGTGATCCCAGCTAAGCAAGTAGCAAGAGTTTGTAATAAAATAATAAAGAATCCTTACATTTTATTTAGTGTCTTTCCAGATGGGTGGAAGTCTCAAAGTGCTTCACAGGATTTTACTGCAAGTTGTAGTGATTGTGCATTTGTAAATGAACCAAGCAGCCAATTTGTGCATAGCAATGTCTCATAGACAGTTATTATGTGAAGAACCAATTTTATCTGGGGGATTGTTGGCCAAAACACACCAGTGTTGACAATGGTAAGCTGGTTAAACTCCAGCAAAAGGCACATTCTGGAATTCCCAAACCTTGGCTCTTCCCAACCTGAGTCTATTTTTTACAAACTAGGCTGACACTTCAGTGCAGTGCTAGGGGTGAACTGTATTGTCAGATGTGTTTATCTTTGGATGAGACATTAAACCAATGTCCCATATGCCTGTGGCACTATTTGAAAAGGGAAGGAAGTTTGTCCTGGACAACAATCCCCAGATGAAAATTGATCATTTAGTTCATGGCTGTTTGTTTGACATTGCTGTGCTCAAATTGGCTGCTGAATTTGTCTACAAAGTACAGTCATTACACTTTACTGTAAATCCTGTGAAGTGCTTTGAGACATCTTGATGATGTGATCTGATGCTATACCAAATGCAATGATTATTGTAATTCTCTCCAGGCTGAGATAAGCAGAATGCATCTTTCTGGGGAGAGAATGGGCACACCTTAACAGACAGTCAGTCATGCAGACAGACATATGTGAAACTCTCAGTAGTTTGGTTTGAAGACTCTTAAGCATATGTCAGATACCCGGTTGATTAAAACACACACACATAGAGAAAGCGATACACAGTGATATAGTTAAAGTGAGAAACATATACAGATACACACAAAAAAGATAAAATCGGTTCAAAATACTCACTAAAATACCATGTGAAACATTCACAAAAAGAACTATATGACACTGATCAAATATATGTGTCTGACACACTCACCAACACGGATCTGAATATTGTTGCCTGTGGATGGATCCTTTAAGTGGTCGATGGACCGGACCATGTCAAGCGCCATGTCACAGATATTATGAGCGTGATATTTAGTTTTCTCAGGTGCCCCTGCCACCACCATATATGCATCACCGATAGTCTCCACCTGATGTGACATCATGAAGTGAACAAACAGTCAGTGAGAACCTGGGAAGGTGATGTGCAGAGATACAATCTTTCCCAGCAGTTTGTGTTACAAGGGAAGAGGGTGAGTGTGTCCTGGTGTTTCTAATAATAATCCGTGCATTTGCATTAGCACCTTATCGCGTCTTCGAGACGTCTCAAAGCGCTTCACAGAATATACTGTAAAGTGAACTGACTGTGTATTTTGTGGGCAAAACTGTAAGACAGAGGTCTCAGGCTGGAACTTCATTAAGCCATTTGACTGCATCCTGTGCACTGTTAGAGAAACAGTGACTGCCTCCTCTCTAATTTGCACTGTGGGTATGAGCCTCACAAACAATGATGTACCTTCCCACCACTATTCTTTCCTCCTCCCTGTACATCCCATTCACAATCTGTGGACATCCCATGGTCACTCTGTGCTGACCCATACACATTCCCTAAATACTGGATTGTATGCAATTTGCGACACATGTACATCTAAACACCCACCTTAAAGACTTGGTGCTTCTCACTAAGTGTGTCGAATACTGTATACATGGTGTTCAACATGGACACCACCTGCATCGGGGTTATATGGCTGCAGATCCGAGTAAATCCCACCACATCACTGAAAAGGAGAGTCACATCTGGGAAAACCTGTGCAAAACAGAAATTACAGGAAGAAAACATCAACTGGAAACGCTCTCCACTCTCACTGTGCTGGCTCTGTCCCATATTCCATGCTCCCTGTGATGATGATATCCTATATTTCCTGTGCTGCCTTTGACCCATATTCCTCACTCCCAGGAATTTTTCAGCCCTATATCCCTCACTCCTAGTACCAGTTATATTCAATATTTGCATTTCGACTGCTGTGTTTTTCCCCCCATCTGTCAAGCTCTTTGTTATCAGGCTCAGTTTGATGCATCTCACATCGGAATCAGAAGATTGTGGAAAAGGTTCCAATTTATCTAACCTTTTTCATATGTATATTGTTTCATATCCAGTATAATCTTAGTGTATCTGTGCTTTATCCTCCTATGGGAAGTGTGAAATATGGGACAGAGTGGTGCTGGAAACGTGAGATATGCATTGAATTGTTGTCAGCCAAGTCTAAATTAGTTCAATATTCCAATGCGGGGCTTGGATCCACAACCTTCGACTCAGAGGTGAGAGTGCTAACGATTGAGTCAGACTAATTAGAAGATACAAGAGACATCAGTCCCAATTGTAAATTTTTAATTGTATCTAGGGTTGCGGTGGACACTGGCTTTTGCCTGGACCTTGTCCTGCAGTGTCAGAAATTATGCTGAGAAGGGGTGAGGGCACTTTGGTCATTCTCATCTCTCTTCAAAGATAGCAAGGTCCCAATACAAGTAAACCTGAGTAAGTCCAAATAGTTTTCCTTCATGCTTCTGAGATCCTGAGCATGCAGCAAAGGTGTTTTCTTTGGTCCATTTGTGACATCCAGGACCAAGCAGTAAGATGGATTTGGGGTTAAAAAGGCTAAGTGGTACCAGAGAGCGGTGGCTTTGGTTTACACTGACCTTATGTCGAGTAGCTTGGAGATTAGTCGTTTGGCATAGTCTGGACATGATGAAAGCATGGATAAGGGACTTGACAGTCCGAGGGAAGAGATAGAGATAGAGGAGGTGGGGGTAAGCTGAATGGGTAAGAACATATATGTAGGGTTTAAAGGACAATTTAACAAGATACAGAGGTTCTGCTCTGGTCTTGTGAGGTGCAATGCGCATTTGGTAGATTGATGAGAAGGCATTGATTGGAGCCAAGCAGGAAAACGTCCATCTTGTCAACAGGTACACTGGACCTGGGATAGATTATACTGGGGGCCAGGTATGCTGAAAATGTGGATAGAAGACTGGGGGTGGGACTAGGATGCTATGGACAAGGAAGACTTAGAAATGAGAATAAGAAGACTAAAGATGGGGATGTGATACTGGGTTAAATGTACCTCACAGGTGTTGACAGAAGGCTCTCCTTTTCTCAGGCTCTTAGCCACTGGCTTTGGAATCATCCGATACAAAAGATCATCTGTCTTCTTCATCTCGTAATCTAGCATCTTCATGCTCTCCTCCAACTTGCTGGACTTCTTCTGCTCCTAATTATGTGTAAAGACAAGGTGTGAAAACAGGTCAAATACATGACTATCTTTGCATTTGTATATGTGTGGGGAGTGTGTGCATGTGTGTGTGGGGCTCAGTATGTGTGTTGTGCGTGGGGCGGTATATGTGTGTGCATAGGTGGGGGTGGTGGTGGGAGAGTGTGGATGTTTGTGTGTGTGGGGAGTACGTGGGGTCTATGTGCGTGGGGAGTGTGTGTGTGTATACAAAGGGGAAGTGTTATAAGGGTGAAAATATGTTTGTGCATGGGAAGGAGTATGCATGTGTAAGAGGGAATGTATGTGCAATAATAATAATCCTTGCATTTGATATAGCGCCTTATCATTTCATCGAGACGTCTCAAAGCGCTTCACAGAATAGACTGTAAAGTGAATTGACCGTATATTTGTGGGCGAAACGCGGCAGCCAATTGTGCACAGCAATGTCCCACAAACAGTCGTGGATTGAAAATGAACAATTTATTATTGTTTTGTTTTGGAGGGATTATTATTAGGTGTGTGGAGTAAGGAAACTTGCCCGAGGTTTCGCCCTCTGCCTGGAATTGAACCCAGGTGTCTTGCTTGCAAGGCGAATGCTCTAACCACTGAGCTACAGGACTCCAGAATATATTGTAAAGTGAATTATATGTATATTTTGTGGGTGAAACGTGGCAGCCAATTGCGCAAAATTATAGCAGAAGCAACGACCCTCTGGAATTCCATCCTGGAATCCCTCGGCCTCGCTCCCTCCATTGCCTCTTTTAAAGCCCATCTCAAGACCTTCCTCTTTGACCACTTCCTCTTTGGCCACCCTCCCACCCCCTCTACCCTTCAACCCTCTTGATTCCAACCCCCAGCTTGGATTCAAACTCGTGACTGTCCAGTGCCTTGTGACGTCCTCCCAACGTGAAAGGCGCTATGCAGTTTGTTGTTAATAACAATAATAACCCTTGCATTGGATATAGCGCCTTATCATGTCACAGAGACGTGTCAAAGCTTTTCATAGGATATTGTAAAGTAGATTGACTGTATTTTATGGGGGAAACAATATTGTTGTTGTTAATGTTATTGAGGGCAATGCATTTACCTGGATTAGTGCTCGTTTTAGCTCCTCAGATTGCTGGGTACCAGCCAGCACCAGGTCACGGCTGGAGTCGTGCATACTAAGGTCATTGATGTACAAACCCGTCTTAAACATTGCTCCAAGGCTCTCCATCCTACAACACAATAATGTTAAATGAACACCCAAGCACCGTAAACACAAGTGTGAATCAGATGGAATGGGAGAGCCCTGAGTTGAGCGAGAGACAGAAGTTGTAACTCTGTATATGGCGGACTGCATGTTAAAATACTTTTTTTTAAAAACAATGGGTCACTGCCTATGCGCAATTATCTGCCGCATTTCGCCTACAAAATACAGTCAATTCACTTTACAGTACATTCTATGAAGCACTTATAGATGTCTCTAAGACGTGATAAGGTACTATATTAAATGCAAGATTATTATTATTATTATATGCTTCTGTAGACTGTTGTTTTGCTTTTATTTATTTGGTGCTAGGTTATTTTGATCTATTTGTGAATGTTTCTTTAAGTTCCTAAAAGTGACTTCACTGGATGAATCATGGCTGCAAGCACCACCCTCACCCAGACATATTCCCAGTGGAACATACTCCTGAGAACCTGGTTCTAGAGATCTGCTGTTTGGAACCAGCATTTGAGAACCTGTCCCCAAGTACCATTGGGAAGGTCTTGCTGGGAACATTTCACTGGACCATGCTTCTGTGATCCTGGCACCATGAACTTGTCCTTAAAAAACTGCCACCCTTGAAAAGGCTTCCCATGAGAATCTGGTTGTTGGATCCTACCCCCTGATCATTTGCTTCTAGAAGCCCACCCCTTAAACTTGCCAATAGGAACCTCCCCCTCTCCCCCCCCCCCCCCTCCAACACACACACACACACACAATTATGTGTACTTACACTGGAGTTCCCAGGAAAATGATTGACTCCCACTCTGGCATGTATCTCATCTGTCCCTTCAGTTTCAGGCATCGGGTGCCGTCCCCCCAACTTTCCATTCCATTTGCACAGTTTCCATCTGCCACAAATAAGTCCTTGAGCCACATTCTGACACTTATAGAATACTTCACCAAGGGACAAAATATAGATGAAACCATGAAAGCACAGTGTCACAAAGGTGCACTGTGAAGGAAAAGTGATAGAAGATGATGGAGTAGCCAAACCAAGCTGAGATTTCCATGCATCCCACTTACACATGGAAATCCCAGAGCTAGATTGTTGGAATGAAATGCACACTCTCTCCCTGGAGGTACTCATCCAGCTTATCTAATTGGGAAAGTATTAGGGGCAGGTTTGTATGAGCCAAGGCTTGGGCACACCAGAGTGTGCATTGAGTAACTGTTGGGAGTCTAACCAGCTAAAACTACATAGTTGCCATTGATATCACTGTCTGGCAAGCTTTCCCGCTGCTTGTTCAGCTAGGACCATCCTACCCGTTAAGGCTTTGGCTTGCAGGGTTAATGGGAGCTGAGTGAGATGATTCTTGCCCCCAATGACTGGTCTATCTGCGACTGGAATACTGTGAACCCGCCTGCCTCAGGAACCACATTACCAAAACCACCACAGTAGGCTGGCTCGATTTCGACCTTCAGGTGGACAGAGCAGATGTGAAAAACACATGTCCCACAATGTAAAGACACAGGCGATATGGAACAGATATAGAGCATTGAAAGAACAGACACAGTGTTGACAAGCAAAGTAGACACAGACACTGTGCAGGTAGAGCAGAATTAGAGCAGACATGGAGGAAACAGAGCAGGAACATATGAGACGCGGAATAGATACAGCACAAAGAGCAGATAAAGAATTAGTACACAGTCAGAAACAGATCAGGCACTGCAGAGGAGACAGAACAGTCATACAGGAGACTCAGAAGAGACAGTGCAAAATCTCATACCTTTGTGATCATCATCTACAATGGATTGAAATGCCATGAGCTCCACATTGACGTCGGCAGTTCGATTAGTGCTCTCGTAGTCTGTGTCTGAGCAGCAACATCGAGGGTAATGTGAGAGGGGATCCAACACATAAACTCACACACGCCACACACCAGTAACATACACTGAGACATTCGCAGTGACAAACCCTGAAGACACACACAAAGTGACATATACTCATACTCACACATTCATACACATAGTAACAAACACGGACTAACACGCACACATTGGATCTCTGCTAGACCTGTTGGGTCAGACTAGATTTGTCCAATACAGCACTATGTGACCAGCTAACGAGCGGTGTGGGGCATCACAGTTAACTCCTCTATAAGATGGATCAGTGCTCTCCAGTTGCCTGAATGGCCAGTTTCCGAAATGGAAAAATCTATTCAGTGTTCCTTATCTTCTCGGACTGGTGGGAGCTTCATGCATTATTTTTTTACATTTTGTGGGTTTTTTTTAAAACAGGAAATACCCTAATTTAAACAAATGTTTAAGATGACAATAATAATCCTTGTGTTTGATAATAGCCCCTTTCACACTGGGAGGCTGTCCCACAACTCTTCACAGGATTTACTGTAGAGTCATTTGTACATTTGTAGCCGAACATGGCAGTCGAATTGCACACAGCATTGTCACACGCACAGTCATGAATTGAATGACCAATTTTATTTGCAGGATTGTTGGGCAGGACACCAGGGGAAACTCCCTTCGCTTTTCAAGTAGTGCCTTTAGATCTTTAATGTCCACCTGAACAGGCAGATTGGACCTCGATTTAACGTCTCAGCCAAAGGATGGCACCACTGCCAATGCAACACAGCCCAACACTGTATTGAATTATCAGGTTAGACTACATGAGGATGTAAAATAGAAATGTTAATTTTCTACACAGAATGCATGCACACTTACCCACTGCTGCTAGACAGACAACTGGAGAATGGACCCTCAACCTGTCCAACTACTATTGCTGACTTCGTAGAACAACTGCAGCTAGTGTGTGCACACCTATTAATCACCCACGGTACAATTCTCCCTTTTGATTTCCTTTCACTATTTGGTTAGTCTTGGTGAAATGGCTCTGAGACAGTACCCCACGTGAAGGGCGTTATATAAATCAAATTGTTGTTATTCTGAACTCAGAATGGGCAGTAGTAAATTGTTACTTATTATTTGAGAGGGAAGTTTATGGAGGCGCACATAATTCTGAGGGGATTACAATAGAAAGAAGTTATTTCCACTGGTAGGGGAGCCGTTACTGTATTAGAAACCGAGTCTATAGGGGATTTCAAGAGGGAATCAGACAGATGTATGTCTTTATCAAAGAAAAAGGATTTGAAGGGGTATAGGGATAGAGTGGACACCGAAACACAGTGACACACCGATGCACTCATACACATAGTGACACACATACATGCACACCGACAAAAGCAAATACTGACACTAAAACTCAATCACATTGATGCACGCAGAGAAACACAGCACTGACACCACACAGACACATACACACACAGTTTCTGCTTTAAGGCTCCCTCAAGGAGGTGACAGACTCAATAATTGTGACCTGCACTCTTACTCTGGATTCTGTTGTGTAAATTCCGTTCTCTCTTCACTGGTTCCTTTGACATGATTTCAAACAGATTGTTGGGATGTGAAATGATCTAAAAGGACAAGAAGTTTAATTAATGGATCATTGCTGAACTTTAATCTCACCTCTCACATTTCTGAACACTCGGGTAAACTCATTTGTGAATATTTCAAAATTGCCTTCATGAGCTGGAATTACTTGTGATATACAGTCTGGTCTCACCATCTTGTTCAGTAACAATCAGTCATTACACTTACTGCTCTTCTGGTCTGAGTGATCAGGACGGGAATGGCAGTTTCAGGATAAACAACAACTTGCATTTATATAGCGCCCTCCACACATGGCGGCAGTCCGTTCCCCTATGCCCCTTCGTTAAACCATTTAATGCTAAACAATCCCTACATTTTATATAGTGACTTTAACGTCAGGAGGACAATCTCAAAGACCTTCAAACATTTTACAATAAAGTGTAGAGGTATATTTTCATAATATCACAAGATTGGTTTGGATGAAGTCCATTCAATCTCATCCCTCCAAAATACCCTTCCAACCTCCTCCTAACAGTGTCAAAGTGTTTTTAAATTAGTCCAGTGTCCTGACCACCACTACCCTTCCTGGGACCTTTTCCAGTCACTGATTACCCTCTGAGAAGAGCAAATTTCCTGCTATATGTCCTGAAATTGCCCTTTATAACTCTAAACCTATATCCACTTGTTCTAGTCTCTCAGAGAATCCTAAAGTATTGATCTGTGTTTATGATATGATAGTGTATGAAAGCTGGTGATGTTCTGGACTCTATAATAATAATAATCACAAATAATAATAATAATTCTTGCATTTGATGTAACATTGGGAGGATGTATCACGGTAGAGGATGTTTCAAAGCCTCTAACAGAATTCACTGTAAAGTGTAGGGATTTTTTTTGGTAGGTGAATGCAGCATTAAATTTGAGCACAAGACTATTCTCCTTTTGGGGGAATTCTGGTGTATGCAGAGTTAGGTGCTTACCATATTCCAAGTAAATTCTACCAAAGGTCTTGCCAGCAAAAAAGCATCATTAATCTTCTTCCCATCCACATCTGGGAACACTGTTCCCAACCCTGAGCCAACGTTGTGAACGACCATGTCCTGCAAATCATTACAGAGAAGAGAATAATATTAGTGTACTTATCACACTGACAATATTAAAGATTGTACACAGCTGAGACCACCACAGAGGGTTGACTTGATTATGATTATAACAATAATAATGCAAACACATCATCATGGAGCCAATTCAACCCCTGCTTACCCACCCCACCCCTTCACCCACCCCATAAGGAGGACAGTCACTAGTTGTTCACTTGACATCTGACAAGCATGGATTTGAGCCCTCACTAGGTGATAGCAGGTACCAGGAATTCCCTACAAACATCCTGGTGAGCAGTGCACCTCAGCATGAAATGTATAAGAGCATTGCCACCATCTTCCTACCCACAGTTCGGACACACATCTCTACTCATTGAAGCCACTTACATATCTACTTACCAATCAAGGTGCATTCCAAATCCTAGATATATTAACACATGTTAAAGAACCTGGACTCCAGGCAATGCCTTACAGTAGCTGTACCCCCAAGTTTCCTCATCAGCGAATGGATGTCTACCTTCAGCGTGGTGGAAGGACCTTTACAGGACAGCCTGTGACCTGCCAGCCACCTTGATGTTCTAGGATATTCAAATTGATCCACTGGAGTACCTATAGTTAGTGGAGTACTGAGAGCCAGTGGAGTCTGGCATGGTTGGAGATAATGGGTGTGGAGTCTAGTGTGGGAGAGGTACTATTTTGGGTGATCTGAAACTTGTGAAGAGGGGAGCTTGGGAGGCTGAAGAGAAGAACATTGGCTAAGTTACAGTTAGGGATTCAAGCAGGTAATGTTCTGGAGATGGAAAAAGTGTTTTTGGTCAAGGATGGTTGTACAGTTTGAAACAGAACTAGGAGTCAAGAAGGATGCCGGGGTTATACACTACAGTGGCTCAGTTGAGTTAGAGTTGGAAGCAACACGGAACTGGTGAGCCAAACAAGATGGTATATGTTCAAAAGAGATGTCAATATCAGCTTTGAAAAGGGAACTAGATAAATACCTAAAAATGGGTAATCCACAGGGGAATCATAGAATATTACAGAACAGAAGGAGGTTTTCCGCCCATCATGCCTGTGCCAGCTCTTTGAAAGAGCAACCCAATCAGTTGCACTCCCCCGCTCTTTCCCCATAACCCTCCAACTTTATCCTTTTCAAATGGGGAATGGGCTGGTAAATGGAACTGAAAGAGCTGCTCTTAAAACAGCTAGCACAACAAACAAACAACAAAAATTACATTTGTACAGCACCTCTCACGTCGGGAGGTCATCCCAAGGCGCTGGACACGATGAGTCAAATGGCCTGCTTCTCTGCTCTAAATTTCTATGGTTCTATCAGTGCACTGATTAGATAATAATATTAATACACTCATTAATACAGTAATACGTTGGGTACACACTGATTACACTGATAATATAATAACAGTGCTACTAATACCAGTGCATTGGTTACAAATTGATAATACTGATAATAAAAGTAGTGCAGTGATTAATTATACTGATACTAATCTTAGTGATCACATTATCTGATTTCAGCATCAAAAACAATAGCAGCAAGGACAATAACAGTACATGGCACAAGGATAGGATGGCAGGACATCTGGTGTTGCTATTGTAAACACTGTAGTGTGTATAGCCTGAGCAGCAATTGGACTGACCTGTCTGAAGACAATGTTAAAGGGAAAAACATCAAAGAAGAAGTCACTGGTGATTGGCAGGATCTCCTGTCGCTCTGTGTCCTCCTTCTGAATGTAGCGATATGCAGAGTTATCAAAGTTCAACCTATACAGCAAGGCAAAAGGATAGTCTACAAACAAGGCAACCAGATATGGCCATTGAACAACATCTCACACCGACTCAGCATTAAGCTGGTGTCTGTCCTTCATTCCTGATATCTAAGTTTGTATTTCTTGTACCTGTCACTTGAAATCGTGTATCAGTATGACTAAGTAAGGTGTCATCCTAGCTCAGATGGCAGCACTCTCACTTCTGAGCCCGAAGGTTTGTAGATTCAAAGCACTATGGCAGGACTGTGAACTCAGGCTACGCCAGGGGTGGCCAAACCATGCCCCCCCCCCCCAGCTGGAAGTGGCCAGTGGAGCCATCAAGAAGTGTTTCCAGTAGCTATCAAGCTGCGATAGTCCATGGCCTTAAATGAATTCAATCAAGAACATTTATTGGGTTTGCCACAACAATGCAGTGCTGCCAATTTTTGGATGAGACATTAAACCAAGGTTCAAATCTGCCTGTTCAGGTGGACGTTAAAGATTCCATAGCACTGCTTCATTTAATTTCATTCATGGCTGTTTGTGGGACAATGCCGTGCGCAAATTGGCTGCCTTATTGACCTACAAATAGTGTAGGTATTCACACTACAGTTTGCAGTAAATCCTGTTAAGCACTTTGACATGTCTTGACGATGTGATAAAGTGCGATATCAAATGCAAGGATATTATTATCATTATAATCTTTAACTGTAGAATACGATATTAAACAAGCAGGAACTACAGAGAAAGATGTCATAAATTAAGTGATATCATTTTAGGGACATGAGGCCTAAAATGACAAAATTGCCTTAAGTTTTTAAGATTTTGCAAAATGATGGAAAATTGTTAAACTCAGTATTAATTTGGAATGAACTCAGTTTCTGAAATTGTTAAAAAGACCTGGCTCCCAAATTAGCACCGAATTTAAAAAAAATCAAAAATTCTGTATGATCTTAAATATTAAGATGAATGGTCGTTATGTGACACTAATAGCAGAAAAACAATATCTCACTTTTCAATTGCAAGATCAGATTTTTCATCACAACAAATTACAATGCGATCACACAAACATTTCTACAGTACTTTTACAAGGACATTTCTATCATACCAACAGGTCAATAGTGCACAGATATTTTGGAGGTGGGAGCTGAATAACAACCTCTGCCTACAACAACAACTTGCACCTCTATAGGTTTTCACAGAAGAGCATTGCAGTAAGACATTGAGTGTATAAGAGGAGGCTGTACAACAATTAGAAGGAATAACTATAGAAAAGGAAGTGATGTTAAACAAAATTGATGGAATTCAAAGAGGGCAAGTCACCAGGGCCTGATGACACATATCTGAGAATGCTGGAGAAGCCAAGTGGAAATAGTACATGTTCTGACTACAATTGTTCAAACATCCTTATTCACCCAGAATAGATGGAGGTCATGCTGTAGATGTGGTATACAGTAAACCCTCAGCCATCTAGACCCCACGTTTCCAGAATTAGCTGAACAAAATCCCATGATTCAAAATAATACGAAATCTTGCATTTGATATAGCACCTTATCTTGTTGTTGAGACCAAGGAAATGAAAGTGCTTCATAGAAAATACTGTAAAGTATTTTGTGAGCAAAACGCAGCAGTCAATTGTGCACAGCAGGGTCCCACAAACAGTCGTGGATTGAGTGACCAAATTATTATTATTTTCTGGAGGGTTTATTATACCCAGAAAGCGATCTGCCAATCGACTTAAACTAGGTTCCTACTTACTGCTGGGTAAACTGAGGCGTGTGGAGTAAGGAAACTTGCCTAAGGTTTTTCCCCGCCTGGGAATCAAACCCGATTCGAGCGGGCTAACCACTACACCATAGGACTCCTAAACTGCACCCTACATTTTCAAACTCCTGCCAGCCCACGTATTGCTACAGCTTGACAACGTGGTGAGTGCAGAACTCTTGTTAATTGTGGGGGGTATGTCATTTTTATTTATTTAAAATTAATTTTTATTCATTTAAATGTCAACAAAGATTTATTTTAGGGATTGGGATTAAGATTAGCAGACGGATAATACATTTTGATGGACTAGATCTCCCCCTCGATTAGTCCAGGTAACCAGGGCTTCAGTGGCACATGGATTTTCAGACGGTTTGAAATAAGCTGCCACAAAATAGCCTTGCAAAAAAAAAAATAGACTTAAGGTATTAATGGAAAGGAAGTTGGTTAAATTATAGTGTGTCTCCAACTCCTGGTGTCTATGTGTGTTCTGAGGGTGAGATTCTATTAGTTTATAGTGCCTATCTCAACATCTGTCCCATACCTCATGGTAACGTGAGAGTAATCGCCAACCAACTGCTCAGACAATACTTCCACGAGGATATCGGTTTGGTAGAACTGCTTCCCCATTTGCCTGAGCTGTCCCATGGCGTAGTGCAAGTATCCCTTCCGCTTGCTCCTGCTCAACATATGGACAGTTAATTAGACAAATAACACTGAGTGACTTGGTGAAATGAGACAGAGATTCGACATCACTCAGACTCCACAACAGATTCCTCAAATCCAACACATTGCCGTAATTACAAACTGTCATCCAGCTACCAGAACATCGCATCCCTTCTTCCCTCCCTCACTTTGCCTCTCCCTGGGATACCTGTAGTGAAGGGTGACACCAGTAGCAGACTCTTCCTGGCAGAAAAATGTTGGGGGCTGCACCTTGGGGTAGCTGAACCGCAGATATTCGTGCAGGTTGTCCAGTCCATTCACAAAGTCACGCACGTGACGGCCCAATACCTGGGAGAGAGTGAGACAGTTGGCAGCCAAGTACCTGGGAATGAGACACACCTGCGGCCGGGCAGAGAGCAAGGCAGTGAATGAGACACACCTGGGTTCTGTAGAGACCAATTCCAATGCTCTATCCGATGTCCAGGACACAGAATAGAACAAAGTGGTCAGAGAGACCTCCCGGAGCAGCAGATATGGGGAGGTTTTAATATAGGATATCTCTTTGGGAGCATTAGGCCACATTGGCAAATCTGACAAAACGAAAAATAGCTTGGAAAGACATCACAATGAGGGCAAATGCAGTTAGGAGCAAGTCCGGGATGTCCTTGGAAGTGATGAAAACATTTGGACCTTAAAAAGAAGAGCCTAGGTAAACCCATGTTGAACACTCCTCAGGAAGAAATTTATCCAAGTAAAAACAGGCATACTATTGTAGCTCCATCTTACTTGTTTGGCCATTATGTTAATGATGGCACTGATGCAAGTCACACTAACATGTACTTGGCTGCCAACTAAACAATGACCGGCAAATATGTCTTCCAGATGTCAGCTCAGAATGTTAAATTGGACAATAGGTAACTGGAGCTCACATGGCCAATGCTAGATGTTGGTTTTAGCCAATATATTGGTTAAGGCAAAATATAATCATTTCATCAATTGTTCTGTTCTCAGTCTGTGAGTTTTACATCACAGGAAGGGAGTTGCAAAGGGCACTGAATGTTCTGATTTTTTTCTGATTCAGGATTACAACCCAGGTTCTGTATTCTGCAGCAGTTGGTGTGATAAGTAGAGTCTTCTTGGAGCTGAACTGGCTCCAAGGTGACAAGCCTGGCAATGGAATCGAGCCAGCCCTTTGTGAGGGTCTTGGTAGCCCGGTTCCTGAGCCAGCTGGGTCCACAGTATTCCAGGGCACTCCTGATGATACCTGGTTCATCGGTAGGACTTGAAAGGGCAGCCCAGTCATTGGGGGCAGGGAATCATCCCATTCCGATCCTGTTAACCCTGCAAGCCAAAGCCTACTGTGTGTCAATCTACATTCCACATTGGATCCTTTGGTTGCAAGTGTAGCTGCAATGGGTACAGCTACTGTCACATAAACTGTTTATTTGCAACTAATGAACTATCCATGGTATCCACATATACCTGTGTTCAACCGGGCATATTTAGACAACTATGAAGAACACACATTCATTTATATCTCTTATTTCACTTCACCTACCTTTAAGATTTGATCATATCCATATTTCCCCACAAAGCCCAAGAAGTAAACACCCCAGGCATTCATCAGCTCATTGTAGGGGGTCCCAGTCACTCCACTAGCAGCTCTTGCTATTCGGGGGATCACAATTTCATTATAAACCTACGAAGACAATGATTAATAATAATAATCATTCGTTTGATACAGCACCTTGTGTCTTCTAGACATCTCAAAGCGCTTCACAGAATATTCTGTAAAGTGAATTGAGGGTATATTTTGTGGGAAAAACACTGCAGACAATTGCGCACAGCTGTGTCCTACAAACAGTCATGGATTGAGTGACCAAATTATTATTTTTTTTAAGGAATTATTACCCCCGGAAAAGCAATCCACCAATCGACTAACAACCAGGTTCCTACTTACTGCTGGGTAAACAGAGGCGAGTGGAATAAGGAATCTTGCCTAACGTTTTGCCCTGCCCAGGAATGAAAGCCAGGTCCTCTCGCTTGCAAGGCAAGTGCTCTAACCATTAAGCTACAGGACTCCACAATTAGTGAAAATAAACACCCCTAAAAACCGTAAAATTTACCAAATACCATAAAAACTTAGTAAATACCTTAAACACCCCGTAAATAATGCAAACACCCTCCACAGTTCTTAAGTTTCTCACCATTCTGAAAATATTCTGCTTAGTCTTTTTTTGGATCCATAGTGGATGCTCTCACGATGGCGTTGATGATATGGGATTGAACGTTTGCACAGACGATGAGGAAGAGGGGGAAGGAGTATCTGAAAAGATTCACGAGATTGGACTTGATGGTCAAAGCGGATATGATGTGGAGGCCCAAAGAAGGGCTGAAGACTTGGTTGGTTGGTGGTATGTGAAACAAAGGATGCTTTAATGCTATTTAAATGCCTTCCTCGCCGGGCTCCCCAGCTCCCCTATCCACAAAATCCAGTTAATCCAAAACTCCTCCACCACAAAACTCTGGAACACTCTTCTTCTCTCCTTCCGCCTTGGTCCTCCTTCCCCATCTTCAGGTCACTCCTCTTTGACTGTGGCTACAGTCATTTCCCCTCTCACCCCTGGCTCGGCCTCATGCTGACACTGTCAAGTGATCTGGGACACTACACTGTGTGAAGAGCGCTATACAAATGTAAGTTGTTTTTGGTGGACAAGGAACAGGCTGGTCCACCAGAAAGGTGTATTAGCAAAGATGTATTTATGAAGATGAATGTGGTACAACACGCAGCAAAGAATGCGCTGGATGGACTGTTTGGAGACGAGGATATCGGTTTGGTAGAACTGCTTCACCATTTGCCTGAGCTGTCCCATGGCGTAGTGCAAGTATCCCTTCCGCTTGCTCCTGCTCAACATATGGACAGTTAATTAGACAATAACACTGAGTGACTTGGTGAAATGAGACAGAGATTCGACATCACTGAGACTCCACAACAGATTCCCATCTCAGTGGGTGGGGAGTTGGGGGGGCAGACGGACAAGAGACAGACAGGAGAGTGTGGGGGGCAAGAGGGAGGGGTGAGGAGAGGGAGGGAGGAGAAAGGGAGGGGGCAAGAGAGGAAGCTGGACAGTGGGAGGGGCAGGGGGCGGTGAGAGAGAGGAAGATCTGCTCCACGGTAGGCACCTTCCATATTCACAGTCCTTTTTCCTCTCCTTCCTTTCAAATGGAGGGGGAGAGAGGAGGAACAGGAAAGAGGGGTCGAAAGAGGTTGGGGGGGGGGGGGGGGCAAGAGGGAGGAAGTCTCAGTAAGAAACCAATTTCCAAATGAAGACTGAATGCAATGTGAACAGATGGACTTACACAAAGCTGAGGTTAAGGGTAGCAATCAGCCCACGACTTTTCTCATTTAATAAATCAGGATGGAGCAAGTCTTCACAATGAGAATTTTTGTTAAAAATCATAACAGTCCACATGATATAAACGCAACGTGTTGTTTTACCCCAGAAAGACTGCAAGAAGGTGACAATGTCTGACTACACCTGTCAAAATTTCTCTGGTGTGTTCAGTACATTGTGGCTGAAAGAGCTGCCAACGCACAGCCACGAAAAGTGCGACAAAGTTTACCTGGTGGGTTACGAAGGAGTGGAGCCGGACATCAGCCCGTTCCCGGACCAGCTTCCACACATCGTCCCCGTACGACTCCTTGATGAAATCATGCAAACTCTCACACAGAAGTCCATACATCTGGCTCAGCCTCCGCGCAGACTGCCGGCGAGCAGCCTCGCAATAACAGGTCACAACGATGAGACTTCACATTTATTATACGGGAACTGCAACTTCACCCGTTTGAAAACAAGCCACTCGTCTCCCACGGAGGGTTTTATAGATGATGGCTGCTGATGTGCCACGTGAGCTGACACAAACTGATGTCCCATTGTCCGAATTGTAAAAAAAACTAAATTATAACAGGAGTTGTCACAAACAGAGCCACCTACAAAATCAACTACCAAGAACAAACACTTAATCTTTTGTCAGGGATTTTGAGTGTTTTCCTCTCGCTGGTCAAGCATCCCATTCTCCAGTCACTGCGACTATTGGAATAGCATTTAATTGGGCACATCTGAGCTGTGGCCAGGATGACGGTGGCAATACTCTCATGGATTTCATGCTGAGTTATTTCTCACCAGGAACAACAACAAATTGCATTTGAATGGTGGCTTTCACATCACGAAGCAGAAACCCAACACCTTGCCATTTCCCTCTCAGGCCTAGCCCGGTATGATTCCCCTCTCTCAGTCTGTGCTCACCTCACTTGTGTAAAAGGCACTGACTTTGATTCTTAGCTCACAATACTCCAATCATAATCTCCCCCCTAACCAAGGAAGACCAGACCTGTGTTTTTGTAGCTCCCTTGATTCCGGCACCTTTTTAAAATCGGGTGATGTACAAAAGATGCGCTCCTTTACACATGGGTTTGAGCACCAATAAATATAAAAAGCAGTGACAGAGTTTATAATAATAATCCTTGCATTTGATATAGCGCTTTTCACGTCGGGAGGACGTCCCAAAGCGTTTCACAGAACACACTGTAAAGTGAATTGACTATATTTGTGGGCGAACGCGGCAGCCAATTGCGCACAGCAATGTCCCACAAACAGTCATAGATTGAAAATGACCAATTTTTATTATTTTTTTTGGTTTTGGAGGGATTATTATTATTAGGCTCTGTGTGGAGTAAGGAAACTTGCCCAAGGTTTCGCCCTGTGCCTGGAAATGAACTCGGGTCTCTCGCTTGCAAAGCGAGTGCTCTAACCACTGAGCTACAGGTCTCCACGTCGCAATGCCTTCTTTAGTTTTCCTGCCGAAGTGAATGACTTCACATTTTCTCCACCTTATTTGACATCTATCCGCAGATTCTGCTAATCATCTATTGACGTCATCTGCAAATTTTGATACTACAGCTTTTATACCTGAATCCAAATCATTTAATAATAATAATAGTAATCCTTGCATTTGATATAGCGCTTTTCACGTCGGGAGGACGTCCCAAAGCGCTTCACAGAACACATTGTAAAGTGAATTGACTGTATATTTATGGGCGAACGCGGCAGCCAATTGCGCACAGCAATGTCCCACAAACAGTCGTAGATTGAAAATGACCAATTTATTATTGTTTTTGGTTTTGGAGGGATTATTATTATTTATATGTATAGCATACACACCGCACACATACACACAAACAAATAAATATGGAATGGAGTCCTGTAGAGCAGTGGTGAGACCACTTGCCCTGCCCACAAGGGGACCTGGGTTTTATTCCCAGGCAGGGCGAAACGTTCGGCACGTTTCCTTACTCCACACGCCAGTTTACCTAGCAGTAAGTAGGAACCTGGTTTTCAGTTAATTGGTGGGTCACTTTTTCGGGGGAAATAACCCCTTAATTACAGAATATACTGTATATAATTACAGAATATACTGTAAAGTGAATTGACTGTGCACGGCAGTGTCCCACAAACAGTCATGGATTGAATAACCAAATTATTATTTTTTTCAAAACATTTTTTGAAGGGATTGTTACCCACAGAAAAGCGATCTGCCCATTGACTAACCGGGTTCCTATTTATTGCGAGGTAAATAGAGGTGTGTGGAGTAAGGAAACTTGCGCAACATTTCGTCCTGCCCAGGAATCAAATCCAGGTCCTCTCACATGCGAGGCGAGTGCTCTAACCACTCAGCTACAGGACTCCACTCCATATCCTCAACTGTACTCCGCACCATTACTCCAGTGCTTGCCAGGCTTCACTGGTTTCCTGTTTCAAGATCCTAACACTCACCTAAAAAAATCTTTGTGCCCCAGCCTCTCCTTGCCTTTCCAACTTGCTCATACCCACTTCTCAACCCTCCCCTTCCCTCAGCTAGCCATGGCCTTCTGCATGTTCCTTGTCCCGTCTACTCCATCATCAGGGCCTGAGCTTTCAGCTTCTATGCAGCCAAAGTCTGGAAAGCCCTTCCTCAAACCCTCTGCCTTAACCCTCCCCTCCTCAAAAAAACATGTCGCTCCTCAAACAATCCACAATTGATCCTTCTACCTTTGCAAACTACTGGCTGGTTTCGAACTTGCCCTTCATTTCTGAAGTCCTGAAATGCATTGTTGCTAACCACCTTCACTCACACCTCTCCCTTCTCAAGCTCCTCCAGTCTGGTTTCCGCCCTGTATACAGGTGTTGGCTTTCTTAAGAGCACCCCTTTCAATCCCAATTACCTGCCCTCCCCCCATACCTCTGTAGCTTACGTTTTTTTAGGTATTTAGTTTGCTTTTGAAATCCAAACCTTCCTAACCCACATCTGATCCCTGACCAGGACCACTTTCCTCCATCTCTGTCACATTGACCACCTTGACCAGATTTCACACCAAGCACTGCTGAAACCCTCATGCCCGGTTTAGCTGCCTCCTGTCAACAACAACTTGGATTTATAGAGCGCCCTCCACGTCGGACAGCGTCTCAGAGTGCTTCACAGTAACGGATTCCAGGGCCGAGCCGGGGGAGGGGGAGGAAGGTGACCGAAGGCACGGTCGAAAGGAAAGGTCTCCCCAGCTGCACCGTTCAACTCCAACCCACTCATCCCCCATTCCTCTACCTGTCCCCATCGCTCATCCTTTTGACCTCTCCGCTTCACCATTGGCAGCCGTGCTTTCAGCCATAATGCTCCGATCCTCTGGATCTCCCTGTCTCAATCCTTGCCCCTTCTTTGCCTGTCTTCAGATCCCACGTGAAGGCTCTCCTGTCTGTCATGGTGACCACCTCACCATCAGCGTCGAACCACCGTCCAATGAGGAAGCGCGATGCGCTGTGAGGATTCTACATAACAGTGCATACCTGGACCAGACACCATTCCGCCTGTGGCTGCATCCCAGCCAAGTGGAAAGACAGGATTATCATGTCTTTATACAAGGAGAAGGGTCTATGCCAGTTACCTATCGCTAACTCTACTGTCTGTACGGTGTTCGCTCGATCGTATCAAACCGCTGTTGTTGAAGCACAGGAGCCCTCAACCGTGTGGCTTCACTCCCAGGAGACTCAATGCTGATCACGTGTGGTAGTATAGTAATAGTAGGTGTCTGATACATGGAGAAACCCATCCCTGTGCTTAAGAGTATCCAAATCAAATTCCAATGTTTTGTAATGGAATACTTACTTCAGCTGATCCCATTTACCTAATTTGCTGAGTATCAGACAATGGTTGGCAAGAGCCGAGGCTTGGGAATCCTTGAACGATACTGCCCTGTCTGGTAAGCTTCCCAGTGCTTGTCCAGGTAGGACTACCATTAGGGCTTTGGCCTGCATGGTTAACGGAAGCTGAGTAGGAACCATCTTTGAATCCTTGCCCCTCCCCTGTGCCCTCCAAGTTTTACTGATGAACTAGCCTTGCCGAGCTGTCATTAACAGTTCCTTAGAGTACTGCAGACCCACATGGCTCAGAGACTGAACCACTGAGACTTCCAGAGAGAGTTGACTCGATTCCAACATTTCGTTGCCAATCCATCTCCAAGGAGACACCGATTACCTCCCCCCCATATCCCCAATAAGGACAGTTGGCTGTTATGGTAATATCATTCCAGCTGTACATGTACATTATGTTTGCTTAAAATATATATTCCCAATATTTATATTAAAATACAAAATCTATTTGCAAGAGTGAAGAGTGTCGTGGCAGAGGGATGTGGTCCAGTCTCACTGTCGGTAGTTCTGATAACAGTGATCTCGGTGATCCCACTCCTGCTGGTCCTTGTCTAGAGCCTCGTTGGTTCCTCCTTACTGGCAGGACAGCTTCGGCAGCAGACCTGGGAGAGAGCAAGAGCATATAGGAAGAAAAGCAAAGCGATCTTTGTAGAAATGAAATGCGGACACTGGGATACAGCTGGAGGAGCTTGGGGATGGAGCATAGGCCGTAGGGTACAGCACAGACAGCTACACAACCCAGGCTGTCCCTGAGATGCTGACAAGCTCTGTCTGATAGAGGGAGACTGCTCGGGGCAATGGACAAAGAAGCGTCTTGGGTCTAAGCACCACAGAGATTTAAGATGAGCAGTAAGTGTGCAGCAGGTGGCAGGACTAGAGCAGCAAGCAATGCCAGACTCTTTCCGAAGCCTGATCCGGGGAAACCGACCACTCCAGCCACGCACACTGGCACCAACAGCCAAAGGTAACTCACTTCTGCAGGAGAGAAGGGGAGAATCTTACACATAGTCCAGGCAGATAGCAAACAGCCCCTCTTCCCTGTGGGAATTCACCTACCTCTGCGTGAATGGAACTGGGGCCAGTGTGTCATGCTACATCAGGAATGGCCTCAATTATTGGTAACATTAGCAACAGGCAAACACTACCTGCTCCTCACCCACCTGAGCCACATGGGAGTGGCTCAAAGAACTGTACACTGCAACTCCACAGCTCACCCAGCAATGTGACAAGAGAAAAACAGATGTGAGGAGGGGGAGAGAATTAAGAACCAGTTGGAGAGCAAAAGACAGTCAGCTGGATGTAACATTACAGAGCAATGGGGTGGACGGACGGACGGGGAAGTGGTGAGTTACCTGCACGTCTGATGTATTGATACCCAGAGAGTGGATGATGGAGAGGGTTTGGGTGTGCTGCGGGGTGCAGGGGGGGGGGGATACTCGTACCTGTCGGCTAAAGAGCCGCTGCAGCAGACCCCGCTTGGGTGGGGCTGAGGGCTGTCCCCTCCAGTCCAGGTCTGGGGTCACTGTTCCATCTGTGCTGAATACGTTCAGCTCCTTAAAGCACTCCGTCTCGATCATCTGTAAGTCAACCGGACACTCGTCAAAGAAAGTGAGAAAAAGAGAGCAAGAGAGAGAGAGAGGGAAAACTCAGTTGTTTGGATGCGGACTGCCCTGTTAAGTTAGGTGATGGAGGCAGAACCCACTGTGAGTTGCAAGACAAAAGCAGACAGGTATGTGACAGATAGATGCTTGATGGGGTTTGGAGTAAGGCAGGGCAGTGGGACTGAATGAATACATTGCCACGAGAGCTGGCGCAGACTTAATGACTCAATGGCCTCCTTCTGTGCTGTAAATTTCTATGATTCTATGAATGTGAGGGGGATTTGAGATGGGGAAGGGTAGTTTTAGGATTAAGCAGCATAGAGCTGCGATACATGGCACAGAGCCGTCCCTGCACCACCCCCCCACCCCCACAAACACAGCCGTGAACCCCCCCCCCACCCCGTGCATGCGGCACACAGCTGCCCACCCCCCCCCACCCCGGGTGCATATCAAACAGCAGCCTTCCTGCAGCACAAACATGTGTGTCACGGCTCTTACCTCATTCTGCCAGGGGATGGACACACAACCGGTGGCAAATGTCTTGTAGAAATCATTGTCGGAAGGATCCAGCTCCACGCCCTTCACAGTGGAAAACTGCTCGATATCCAATACGTCCTTGCAGTAGATTGCTTGTGGCTGTAAGTACCCAGACACTGGCTCAACAATGAGGGATGGCAGTCTTTCTAACAAGCAGCTATGAGAGTTCCCCATTAGACAGCTTCATGTGGCTCCCGGTGCTATTACCCCTGGAGCTCGTGATATTATGGAACTGTCCTGGGACCACCTGCGTTATCAGGCTAAACATGTCAGCGTGTCAGTCTAGCTCAGTTGGTAGCATTCTTGGGAATCAGAAGGTTGTGGTTAAAGCTCCACATTGCTACTAGGAACTCATAGTTTAGGCTGACACTCCAATGCAGTGCTGGAGTGAGGTGTATTGTTGGAGGTGCCATCCTTCAGATGAGACATCAAAACAAGGTCTGTTCTGCCTGTTCAGTTGGATATTAAAGTGCCATCCCATGGCACTGTTCGGAAAGAGAGGGAGTTTTTGCCAGTGTCCTGACCAACAGTCCCCAAATAAAATTGGTCATTCACTTCATGGCTGTTTGTGGTCATTGCTATGCACAATTTAACTACAACATTTTTCCTACAAAATAGTTTGAAATATATTTTGTCAGATGCCCTCTCAACGTGAAACACTATATAAAATGTAAGGATTTATTATTTTTATTAAGCAACTCCCAGCCAATGTGTTACTGGATCTATACTGATGTTGCTCCAGTTCTCACGTGCTCAGGCTAAATAAATCCTTGCCCCATGTTATTAATATCTTTGCAAAGCCATTCATTGCACTCATCCACAGCTGTTAAGATGCATATCAGGTACTTACGTCAGGTACAAATGACGGACACACCATTCCTGCCTCCAGCCTCTTAAAGTTGATGTTGTGGAAGCAGGGATGCTGTTTCACCTCTTGGGCACCACCCTCAGAGCCCAGACGCAGCTGAGGGCACTTATTCAGGAGCTGTTATAGACAAGAAAAAGAGCATTAGCACATTCCAGGAGTATTAACTCACGCAGGTGACACTTCCTGGAATATAATAATAATAATAATCCTTGTATTTGATACAGCACCTTATCACGTCTTCGAGACATCTCAAAGTGCTTCACAGAATATTCTGTAAAGTGAATTGACTATATATTTTGTGGGCGAAACGCAGCAGACAATTGCACACAGCAGTGTCCCACAAACAGTCGTGGAATGAGTGACCAAATTTTTTTTTTTGAAGGATCTATTACCTCCGGAAAAGTAATCTGCCAATAGTCTAACAACCAGGTTCCTACTTACTGCTAGGTAAACAGAGGTGTGTGGAGTAAGGAAATTTGCCCAACGTTTCACCCTGCCGAGAATCGAATCCAGGTCTCTCGCTTGCAAGGCGAGTGCTCTAACTACGGAGCTACAGGACTTGAAGCTAAGTGTGATTCTTTTTGATCTCAAGTCATTACTATCTGACACTGTACATCTTGACAAAGCGCACTTATATGAGCTGGCTCTGCTATACCCCTAAGTCATCTCCATACTCCCCCACCCACTTATACTTCTACCAACTCCCACCCACACCCAAAGTTAACCTGGCATTCCCCTCGCTCAGCTCTGCATCCACACTGCGATAGACTGCTTCTCACCAAGACACAGAGGGAACGGACTTCTGTCGAGAACTTCTCAGAGTATGTCTCCCGTACTTCCCGCACCAGCCTCTCCACCTGCTCCCGTTTGATCTTCTTCTTGCGCTGCTGAAAGGGTGACTGTCCTTCGATCATCTCATACAGGAGGCAGCCCAAGCCCCACCAGTCAGGACTGAATGTATAGTGCTCGTTCTTCACAACTTCAGGAGCTGAGGGGGCAAAATCATGTCAGCAACAGCCTACACCATCCATCAGCTGCCCTCACAACAGGTTTAACCCAACTGCCCTCCCGACAAAGGGACTGTCTGAAAACTGCCCCCGCCCCCAATAGCAGGACACTTGTGACAATTATCACACCAGACAGTGTAACCTTGTAGGATCTTTCTCTTTCAGAATCCTCCACATATGTGGAGGGTGACTATTCTCCTGGAGCTGAACTTGCTCCAAGGTAACATGTTTAGCAACGGAGTGTCAGACTCAAGTCAATCCTCTATGTTTGATCTCAGTAATGCAGTTCCTGGGCCGGGTGGGTCCACAGAATTCCAGGGCACCGCTGATGACAGCACAGCCAGCCCGGCTCATCGGCAGGACTTTCAATTCAGTGCTATACTGTACAGCAATACCATGCTTCCATCTGTCCTGCTATTTCGAAAAATCATGTCACTCACCCATATATCCCACAGTGCCCACTCTGCCCTTGATGGTCTGCCCTTCAGGAATGTAGACTGCAAGGCCCAGGTCTGAGATCCGGATATGACCTACAAATTGAATTTCAACACTATTAACCTGACACAGTACCTTCATTACCCACAGCTTCATCCTGTTACCCCGCACTGCAGAGCTATATTGCTGCACCACTTCCTCACACTGTTTCAGGGTTAATTATATCTAATAAGATGCTCACCTTGGTCATCTAGTAGAAGGTTCTCTGGCTTCAGATCCCTGAAGAGAAGAGAAGTTTAGAGTGGAGCATGAGAGCTCAGAATGATACAGATTACCATTACCGCACAGTGTGCCCCACTGTGCCTCTGCACAGACTAACATTGTTTGGTTTGATAACGTGAAATCTGTAATAATATTTGGGGAAACATGACCCATGGCGCAGGTTGTCACAGGAGAGTAAGATTGCATGGAGATTGGAAGAGCTGACAGAAGATATGGAATAGATTAAGGCCTATATGATCCGGTCAATTGGGAGTATGGGGGTGGACTTTGAACTGCGTCGCTTGCAAAGGGGGAACGTAAAGAATGGGGGGGAGAGGGTGCGTGGAAATCAATTCAGGGGAAAGAAAGGAGAGGGAAGAGAGAGGACACATAGTGTCATAGCTGAGAGGGGAACAATTTAGAGCCTATAATGTCAAAATGTTTCAAAGCTTTTCATTGGGAAATAATAAAAATATTTGCATTTGCAGTTAACATTTTTCACGTCAGTGTAACGGTTGAAAGCTCTTCACGGGATGTGAAGTGTATATTTTGAGCTCACAGTCCAGACAGTCACTCCAGAGCAGTACAGGGGAAATGGATCCCACAATTGTCTAAACTAAGGCAAGAATGCGATTGACTCAGGAAAACTCACCTTAGTTTAGCAACTTTTATGTATTGCTAACATCTCAAAGTGCCTCGCAGCACTGAGAAAAGAAAAGTAGCAAAAGGGAGTGTCCAGGAGTTTATACGTACAGTCTATACAAAGTATTTAGTGCACGCTCAATGCACTATCCATTCATCCCTTACCTGTACACGATCCTCTCTCGATGCAAGTCCTCCAGCGCACAACAGATCTCTGCTGTATAAAATGTTGCTCTCTTCTCATCAAAGCCAGTCTCACCCATGTGATAGATGTGAAACTTTAGGTCTCCACCATTCATCAGGGTAAGAATCAAACACAGCTCATCTTTTGTTTCATAAGCATAGGCCAAACTGACCTACACGAGAGCACAGAGGAAATACTCTGAAATGTTTGGTAAAATTACTTGCAACAATTTTCAGAGTTCCAGAGAGAGAGGCTAAATGCTTCTCCAGTCACCTTCCTTGTTATTCCTTTGAAGAATTTGATTGGAAAAAAACTTCTCTTATAAAACACAGATTACACATTCAAGAAGAGGGCATTAGGTTTGACACTCAAAGATGTTCACTAGGTACTGATACACCTGTGTGAAGATCGTGGTGGTATGACACAGTCGGGGGAAGGTCACAGGGCTAAAATGCTGATTTTTGGCAATATTAAATTGGAACAATGGTTTTCTCTTGGTACTTACTACAAACCTACTGTTCACTTTTTCCAAAATTTGCTTCTCATTAAGTGCCATGGCCTCTCCTTTTCGCTTCTTGATGCGTTTCTTCTCCAGTTTTTTGCAGGCGTACATCTTTCCTGTTGCCCGTACCTGACAAGCGCACACCTGCAGGGAGTACAAGCCAGATATAGACACTCGTTTTATACATCGGTGGGACATCATTGCCTGGGCGTGCAACTCACACACACGCACACACACCTCTGCCTGTCTAGGATGTAACACACACACAAGCAGTGCTGTCTGGGGGTGTACCAAACACATACGCAGTGCTGTTCAAGGCGCAGTACATATCTGCGCTCGTACCTCTCCAAATCCACCCTTCCCCAGGACTCGGTATTGTCGGAACGTGTTCTTTGTCACAGGCTGCCTGCAAAGAGATGGAGTGTGGTCATTGGGTATCAAGCGCAAAACATAGACATGGATTCAGAATTGATTGAACGGAAGCAAACAAAAATCTGTTAGGGGAGGTGGTTCAAAAATTGGCGGTGGGGAGAATATTAACCAGAGAGTCTCAGGAGTCCTATTTCTTACATATATTAATGACCAGGATTTGCAGACCCATTGGAAGATAATTAAATTTGCAAATGATATCAAGTTGGGGGGAACTGTGGCATCATGTAGGCCCAAAGGGGTCCTACAAACAGAGCTTGATTATACACGTGGGCTGATAATCAATGTGAAGGGCACGATATAAAAGTAACTTGTTATAAATAATAATCCGTACATTTGGTTATAGCGCCTGTCATGTTAAGAGACTATCTCAAAAGTGCTTTACCAGATATGTTTGATAAGATGCCACATAATAGATTCGTTAGCAAAATTGAAGCCCATGGGATAAAAGGGACAGTGGCAGCATGGATGCAAAATTGGATACAAAATTGGCTGGGAGTCAGAAAGCAGAGGACAGTGGTGAATGGATGTTTTTCAGACTGGAGATACAGTGGTGTCCCCCAGGAGTCAGTATTACATCCACTGCTCTTTTTGATATACATAAATGACTTGGATTTGGGTAGAGAGCAAAGTTTAAAAGTTTGCAGAGGACACAAAACTTGGGAACGTAGTAAACAGTGAGGAAGATGGTAGCAGGCTGCAGGTGGACATAGACTGACTGGTGAAATGGGTAGACACATGATAGATGAAGTTTAATACAGAGAAGTGTGAGGTGATGCATTTTGAGAAGAATGAAGAGAGCCAATATACAGTAAACGGTAGTTTTAAAGGGGGTACAGGAGCAGAGAAACCGGGGGGTTCACATACACAGGTCTTTGAAGGTGGCAGGACAGGTTGATCGAGCTGTTAAAAAAGCATATGGGATCCTTGGCTTTATAAATAGATGCATAGAGTACAAAAGCAAGGAAGTTCTGCTAAACCTTTATAAGTTACTGGTTAGGCCTCAGCTGGAGTACTGTGCCCAATTCTGGGCACCACACTTTAGGAAGAATATCAAGGCCTTGGAGATGGTGCAGAGGAGATTTGCCAGAATGGTAGCAAGAATGAGCTTCCCTTCCCAGGAGTAATGCCTTGATGGCAAAGATGAAGAGATGTGAATCTACCTGCTAGGTTTTCTTGCCTATGTGTGGAGGCACTTAGAAGACTTGAGCTACCTTAAGGTTAAATGACTTGATGCCTGCCTGTGTGTCTACCGTGGTGAATTACGACTGGTCTGGAATGGAAGAGGTGTATGGTTGTTCCTCATCCTCACTAAGCTGTAATGACTTGATCTCTCACATATCATCAACTAGGATGGGATCTTCTGCCTCTGTTGAAAGTGATAGACACAGAAAGAGTGCGCCACTGAGTCTAGTTTATTATACTAGTTTATTATGGATGCAGCGTAACTCCTGCTACTAGATGATGGAGGAGCTTGGTAAAGGGAAGCAACATATTTAAGAAAGAAGTTATTGTTTTGACAAGTTATAAGGAAGGTTCTTAAGAAATGGGAACGATATAAAATTTAAACCTGAGACTTTCTGAAAAACAGAATTATGTCTTAGAGAAGCTGTTTTCCGAATTGTGGAAAAATGAAGATTGAGGAGTATGATACCTCTGCTGGTCATATAAAAGGAACGGCAGATAACTATCACCTAACCAGAAGCCTTAAATTTCCTAAACAGAAAGGAAACCTTTTTCAATTTTTTTTGCCTGTGTCAGAAGCATCAAGATGCCAAATGAGGCAAAATGTACGATAATTATGTATTTTAGCTTTGAGACCAGATGGACTGCAAAGGTATTTTCTAATTATGCATATGTCAATGCTCCTCGTTACCAATTCACCAGTTCACCAGGAATAATCTCGGACTATCTATTCCCTCCAAGCCTCTTAGAATTTTGAATACGTCTATTCTCTGCGTCCTTATAACCTTCTCTGTGCCAGTGACAACAACTTTAATAATTTGAGATTTTAAACTATAATCCCTGGTATTATCTGTGTGAACCTAAACCACATCTGCTCCATAATTCTGATGTTCTTTCTGTAATGAGGAACCTAGTCATGTGTCAGCCTGGCTCAGTTGGTAGACTTCTCGCCGCCGAGTCAGTAAGTTGTAGGTTCAAGTCCATGTTGGAACTTTGAGCTCAACAGTGTAGGTGAACACTCCAATACAGTACTCGGGGAGAACTGTATCATCAGAGATTTTGTCCTTTCGATGAGATTTTAAACCACGCTCCCTTATGCCTGTTCAGGTGGATATTAGAGATCCTATGACTGGTTGAAAGAGAAAATTCATACAAATTCATAGACATTATGGCAAAATCCTGAAGTGTTTGAGACATTTCAGTGTGTTAAGGTCCTAGGTGAAACGCAAGCATTGTTATACAATTGTCTCTACTCGTCCGATTGTGTTTGAGCTCACATGGTTTATGTTTAATTAGCCTCACCTTACCTCCTCTCTATAATTTATTTCATGCCTTACCTGGACAGCTGCACAGAGCTGACACCTCATTGCAGGCCCTGTTCCTATCATTGCACTCACCTTTCTAGCCATTTCCACTGCAGAAAGCGGTTAAAGTATGGACTGTCCAGGTAGTCGGCAAAAGGAGCCACACTCAGATAGTCATGGACCAGCCTATCAGGAGAACATAGAGCAGATCACACTGATGCACCATAACCATTCTTCCACCCAATCCACAAGTACACCTACCTAAACACCCTCACAACCATTAAAACTTACACAACCCCATCTACATCTTATCATAGCCCCACCTATACCAATTACCCCTCCATTGCGATTTGAAGACGTGATAAGGCGTATATCGAATGCAAGGATTATTATTATTAATACTCACATGTTGCATTCATAGAACAACTCCTTGCAAGCACCTTGGTTCAATTGTTGTGAACATTTACTGACCAGTTCACAGGGGATCTCAGGTATATAGTCTGGAGACTAAGAGAGAAACGACATCAATAGACACTGAAACAACACAGGGTGTCAGCCATATCTCAAACTCCAGCAGGACCCAAAGCCTTAGCTCTTGCCAACCTGCACCTAATAGTTTCCAGAATTCAGTAACCCGGGAGAGAGTGTGCATTCCAATAAACATCTTTGAATTTCCATGTGTAGGTGGGATGAAAGGAAATCTCAGTTTGGTTTGCATACTCTTAAGCAACGTTGATGGGTTTCCACATGTGTCAGACACGCGGCTAAAAAAAAAGTACAGACAACTGTACAAAAGGCACGTGCACACTGCACATCTACCTGGCACAAGGCATATGTCACGTGCACAACCCCCCACCCCCCCCCCCCCCCACACACACACACACAGAAGAAAAGAAGCACAAACTGGAAAATGTCTTGCATTATATACACCAGTCAATGTGGCAAAACCAAGTTTTGTTGCCCCAGTTCAGGCTGTTTTATTCCACAGTGGAAAGACGCTGTAGATCCTGTACCTTTTGGCTTAGGAACAGGTCAATCAGGAGTTGACCACAATCTTTTCGTTTTTCATCCGGAGTCACCCCATAGTTTTCCTGAGGATAAATCATTGAGAGGGAGGTGAAATGCTGCAGTCGGGCAGAGCCAACCAGACCACAATGTACATCAACGGTTTCCATGCAGAGAAGACCGAGGCTGCCTTCCAGAATATGTTACATGTCATTTGAAGGATGATTTGATTCAATTATTTAGGATAATGAGGAGTCTGACAAGATAAACTGAGCGACTTTTTCCACTGGTGGTTGAATCAACACCACCACCTATTTATCACCAATATATATTTGGCCACCTTTCCTAGCCCTCCCTCCCTCCCCACCTGCAATCATCTTCACTCACCTCCTGCTCCTATCATCCCCCAACTCTGCCAGCATGCTGCCCCGTTGCCCCCCATCGCCAATCCCCTGCCCCCACAACAACATTCCATTTATAGAGCGCCTTTCACGTCGGGAGGACGTCCCAAGGCGGTGTACAGGACCCGAGCATTGGGGGGAAATGGTCAGGGTGAGGGGAGGGAAGGGAGGGAGCGAGGAGGGGGTAGAGAGTCGAGAGGGGAGCTGAAGGCACGGTCAAAGAGAAAGGTCTTGAGACCGGTCTTGAAGGAGGAAAGGGAGGAAGCGGCGAAGGCACTGGAGGATGGAGTTCCAGAGCCTCAGGGCTGAGAGGCTGAGGCCGGCGAGGAGAGAGTTCCCATAGTCCAGCCTTGAGGTTATAAAGGCGTGGACCAGAGTTTCAGCAGCGATAGGGGTGAGGTAGTGTCGTAGTCTGGTGATGTTCCGGAGGTGATGGAAGGCGGTGCCAGTTGTGGCGCGGATATGAGGGAGAAAGGACAGCTCAGGGTCGAACAAAACCCCGAGGTTCCTGATGGCTTTGAGAGGTGGAGAGTGCAGCCTTGGATGTTGATGCTGTCAGCGCCTGAGGTGCGGAGGCGCTGACGTGAGCCAATCAGGAGGGCCTCAGTTTTGCGCACGTTGAGCTGAAGAAAGTTGTCTCTCGTCCAACAACAACAAGATTCCATTTATAGAGCGCCTTTCACGTCGGGAGGACGTCCCAAGGCGCTGAAAGGCGCGTCCAGGACTCGATGTCGGACAGACAGCTGTCAGGACATCGGTGGTTGTGGAGTTGAGGGTAGAGGAGGAAAGGTAGAGTTGGGTGTCATCCGCATACATGTGGAAGTTAACCCCATGTCTGCGGATGATGTCACCGAGGGGGAGCATATAGAGGGTGAAGAGGAGGGGACCGAGGACAGAGCCCTGAGGGACACCGCACAAGACAGTGCGGGAGCTGGAAGAAAAGCCATTCGTGGAAACAAAGTGAAGACGGTGGGAGAGGTACAACCTAAACCACTCAAGGACAGGGCCTTGAAGGTTGAGGTGGAAGAACAAGCGGTGGAGGAGGATTGAGTGGTCGACCGTATCGAATGCTGCCGATAGGTCGAGGAGGACGAGGAGGCAGAGGGAGCCCGGGTCGCAGATGGTCAGGATGTCATTGGTGACCTTGACCAGGGCAGTTTCTGTGCTATGGGCAGCACGGAAACCCGACTGAAGGGGTTCGAATAATGAATGGGTGGAGAGGAAAGAGCGCAGCTGGGAGGCCACAACTCTTTCAAGGACCTTGGACAGGAAGGGGAGGTTGGAGATGGGCCGGTAGCTTGATAGCTGCGACGCATCAAGGGAGGGTTTTTTCAAGGTGGGAGTGATGGTGGCAGTTTTTAAGGGAATGGGAACAGAGCCAGAGGAGAGGGACAGGTTGACGATGTCTGTGATATGTGGGGCAAGGAGGTGGAGCTGGGAGATAAGGAGTGGAGTGGGGATGGGGTCAAGGGAGCAGGTGGTGGGTTTCAGGGATAGGATGAGTTTGGTGACAGAGGGTGGGGAAACGGGTACGAAAGTGTGTAGGGGAGGATGGGTAGGAGTCGGAGTGTGGGAGGGAAGGGGTGGGGGGTGGGTGGAGGTTGGAGGGGAAGTGACCGCGGAGCGGATTCCCTTGATTTTGGATTCAAGGAAATCCAGCATCTCCTCACAGTGAAGGTTGGAGGAGATAATCTGCTCGGGGTGGCGGGGGGGACGGAGGAGTCGGGATGTGGTAGAGAACAGAAGCCTGGGGTTGTTCTTCACCTTCAGGATTATCCTGGAGTAGAAGGACGACTTGGCTGAGGCTAAAGTGGAGTGGTAGGTTTTGAGGAGGTCCAGCCAGATTTGTCGGTGGACCGTTAGGCCAGATTTGAGGCAGGTGCGTTCAGCGGCCCACACCTGGCTCTTCAGTGAGCGGAGGTGGGTGGTGAACCAGGGGGAGGAGCGAGAGTAGGAGACAGTACGGAAGATGATGGGGGCAAGAGTGTCGAGTGTGGAGGAGAGAGTGTTGTGGAGGAGGGTGAGAGGAGAAGAGGGGTCAGTGAGGGTTGAAGGCCAGAGGGAGAGGAGTTCAGAGGACTCCAAGGCAGCGGTTAGGGATTGTGGGCGTAACTTCTTCCAGGGGCAGTAGAAGATGGTGGTGGGTCTGGTGGAGGTGGGGAGGGGGGTGGAGGTGGTGAAGGAGATGAAGTGGTGATCGGAGACAGCCTTGTCGGTGATAGTGACCCACACGCCAGCTTCGCCTGCTGCCCCTAGGGACATCTTCTGAATGTGAAAGGCATTATATAAAAGTAAATTTGTCGTTGTTGTTGCCACCCTGTCATCAGCACATACGTCTGACCAACTGCACACACTCAAAACAATCTTCTGTGCCCAGTAAACAGCTGCCAACAGCACATTTGACCAGTCGAAAAAAATCCTCCCGTTGCGCTCCTACACCAACTGCCCCACACATTCCCCCATTGGCCTGCGCATTCCTTGCTAACCACCCAACCCTGGCACCCTTGTGCTCCACCATCATACACTCATCACTAGCACCTCGTTCGCCATGGATGGCCGGAGAACTGACTTACCACTGAATCCAGGAACCTTACGCAGCGCAATAGCTCAGGCCAAGAATCACAGAACTGGCGGAAGAGGAGACGCCCAATGGGCTGTCTGATACACAGGTTGTTGTAGTCCTTGTCTGTAACATAACAATGGAATGCAGCTCAGCTCCCAGTTACAACCAACTGTACATATTGGTTTCACACACACACACACACTCACCCCCATATGGATACACACCTATTTGCACACAAATCTTCCTGTCAACAATACAGCTTAAAAGAGGCCTTTAATCAATACGAGACACAGAACACAGGGAAAAATTGGACGAAGAGAACTGGATTCCTGCACCAGTACTGCAGACCCTAACTCGCACGACTGATTCAGGCTTCACTAGGACCTCTTCACCTTCACCTCTACCTTGGATTTTCTGCACCGGTACTGCTCTGAGCTTTTCCTTGAGATTGGGGTTCAGGAGGAGATGGAAGCTTGTGCCCTCAACGTCCTTCAGACTGTAGGACGCGAGCACAGATGGTATGTGCGCCCAGCTGGATGCAAACACTCTTCAACCTGCTTCGAGAGTCTCACCACATCAAAATCATAAGAACACCTCTCAGAGGCTCGAGCTCTCCTCTGCCACATATCGGCTCAGCTTGTCTGGCCGAAGATGTGCCTTAGAGGTTCTGCACCTTGGCTTTATGGGTGGTGGCGGGGCGGGGGGGCTCAGCAGGACTCACTCTGAGGCATGCAGCCTGTCAGTGTTCCAGAGTGCAATTGTGGTTTCTGTCCACAGAAAGAGTGACACGAGCAAGACCGAGAATTACAGAGGGATCTCACTGATTTCAGTAATTCTCAAAGTGATGCTTCTGGTAGTCACTGCACGTGTATGGCATGCATGCGTTGGAGGCTCGTGACTTGATCAAGAAGGAGCAGTGTGGCTTCCCTTCTCGTGAGGAATGTATGGGACAGTGTGACGGGAGGATAAACCCTGCCATTGACTTTTATGGTTATTGGTGCTTCACTTGCACGTAAAGGGAGCTAACAAGGATGGATTGCAATCAGACACGATTGGAGTTCTAGTCATAATTGGGCACCAGTATTTTGCTGGGTGCTAGAGAGAAGTGAGGAGAGTCTGAAGAAGACGGATTTACAGAAATAAGTTACTCCATAATACAAAGCTGATATTCATTGCGCCAGTGCAGAATTCTACAGCATCCTTTCCTGAGCATAACCTTGCCCACCATAAGACGAGACCGAGCTCATGCTTGCATAATAAGTGTCAGCACTCACCAATTGTTAGCCTCAGCTCCTCACACAGACTGATATGGGGGAACTGCAACATCTGCTGCCATTTCTTACTCTTCCCTTTCCGCTTTCCACCTCCTCCTGCAAAGCACAGCAAACCATTAGAGACAGGGTACCACTGTATTGCCAGATGCACTCACTCCCTGCAACCTGCAACGCCCCACACAAGACTGTCACACCCATGCAGTCGTCATTTCTGAGTGTACAGAAATATCACACATATGTAGTTCAGGAGTATCACAACCCTGTAACACAAGAATGTACAACGTAGGACCATTGAAATGTACGGCACAGTTGGAGGCCATTTTGTTTGAGTCAACGTTAACAGCAACTGCGCTGCCACATTTGCCTACAAATACAGTCACTCCATTTCACAGTAAATCCCGTGAAGCGCTTTGAGACTTCCTTCTGACGTGATAAGGCATTCTACCAAATGCAAGGAATATTATTATACCTGTAGTTTTCAGTGACATCTTCTTTAAGGTGTCAAAAGTAAACTGAACTTGGACTGGAACAGACTATGAGATTGGAAATGGAAATTAAAGGAAGTAAAATGCATTCTTGAGCAAGAAGAGTGTAAGATCCTTATCCTCACCTTTAAAGCCTTTCGCGATCTTGCTCCTCCCTACCTCTGCAATCTACTAAAAGTTTGCCAACCTGTCCGCTCCCTCAGCTCCACATCCCCCGCCTGCTCACTCCACCATTGGCAGCCTTTCTGCCCACACCCTCTGGAACCCACCCCGAAGCTCCTCGAACTTGACACCCTCCCTTGCCTGCTTCAAGGCAACAACGACGACAAATTACATTTGTACAGTGCCTTTCAGGTCGGGAGGACATTCCAAGTCCAGTCTCAAGACCTTCCTCTTCGACTGTGCCTTCGGTCATCTTCCCAATCCCACCCCTCTTTCCCTCAATTCCAAACTCCAGCTCAGGTCCAAATCATTCACTGTCCTTGGGATGTCCTCCCGATGGGGAAGATAATAATAATAATAATCCTTGCATTTGATACAGCGCTTTTCACGTCTTCCAGACATCTCAAAGAGCTTCACAGAATATACTGTAAAGTGAATTGACTGCATATTTGTGAGCGAAAGATGCTATATAAATGCAACTTGTTTTTATGTATCAGAGGGACTGAGTTGAGCCGTTAGACTACAAAAAGTGACCGTGCAAACAATGTCAAGACGGTTAAGACACACTACCAATATGCAGAAAGAAAAAATTAAAATTCTGGTACAGCGACAATGAATAGAAATAGAATATCAAAATGGAAAGGGAAGAGAAGTTTGGGAAAAAGATAGAAAATATGGTTCGTGAAAAAAGACATCAGAGGATGGACAAATATGAAGAGCGGTTGAAAATCCGAGATCCTGTTGGATAAAAGACAAAAAAAGGAAAGATTTACAGAAGAAACTCTGAGATATACNAAAAAAAAGTAAGAGGAGGAAGTACAAAGGGAAGAACAGAGTGAGGAAGAAAAACAAAAAAAAAATCATGAACAAGACGATCTGAAAGACTAATTGAAAAGGAGTAAAGACTGGAGAGAAGATGTGAGATACCCCTTTAAGAGTGACGGCCAATTTCTGAAAAGAGTATTAAACTGAAAACAGGAAGTATAAAAGGGACACTGGGAAGGATGTCAGTGGGTATGAGTTATGGTTAGAGCAGAGATGTCACACGGAAGGCCTGGGTGAATTGGCAGCCCACCCATCAGCTTCTAACATCGCGTTGATATAATGCACTATATTGGAATTTCTCTTTGAATCAAATCCTCCTCTTTTTAATATAAAATATATATTCAAAGCGATACCTTCTACAATACATGAGTGACATTGCCATTAAGCCGATGGCAGCTCACAGTGTTAGTTAAAAAAAAAGCCAATCAGGTGTACATGTACACATGTAATGTTACAGAACTGGACTTGAGTAGTCCAGTGATGTAAAGTCATATTAAAACTGTTTTTCTTTTACATCTGTTAATATTAAATTTACATGAACTGGAAAGAGGAAGTATAAAAGGGTCACTGGGAAGGACGACAGTGTGTAGGGTTTTGGGTTATTTTAAATTTAAAATAAATTGCCAAATCATAGTCCTAGATGTCACGGAAGTGAAAGATCGTTGGGACAGCAGATTATGTTTTTCATTGAATGTTACAGCAAGGCAACACGTCTGCTTTGCAATGCAACGGTTGCAGCTATGAAACGTTTTGAAGACGTGATGAGGTGCTGCATCAAATGTAAGGATTACTATTATTATTACTACATGCAACGGCACTGTGACACTGTACAAAGCAAAGAATGCAGAGTTTCAGTGTCAAGTATCTCTATACAAATCTTAGAAAGGTAAATTTCACAGTGATATTGAATGGCATTTAGCAGACTGCCATTATTTCTTGTTTCAATGATTAGGTGACATCTTACACCGTGTCTGATGTCACGCCTGATGTCTTTTCCCGAACCATATTGTCTAATATTTTCCAAAATGTTATATTCTGTAATTGAGACTTGGCATTAGCCTGCATACTGTTTTGATGACTAGGAATTGTGCAGTGGGGAGAACGTTTTGGTATTTAATTGGTATATTTAAATAGATATGCACACAATCACTATAGACATTTTCAGGTTTATTGTTATGTACATTGTTACCCAAACAATGGCAACTTAAATGACCCTCGTGGTTGCGTCCAGATGAGTTTGACACCCCTCAGTTAGAGAATCGGATAGCTTTGAATTGCTAATAAAGAAACTACCTCACACACCCACGCTTTGGGATGCATCTTCTTAAGAGTGGCCGTGCAGGGGCAGGAGGAAAAACTGCTGAAGTGATGGTGGTGGTTCAAGTAGGACAGAAACCAGGAGAGTGCGGTCCCACCGAGGCGAATGAGAGAGGAGCGGCCATCAAGGAGGATGGCACAGTCAACTGTGTCAAAGGCAGCGGAGAGGTTCAGGAGGACAAGGAGGCGGAGGGAGCCCTTGTCACAGGACGAGGACATCGTTTGTGACTCTGGCGCACTCTGTCTCAATGCTATGGACACCATACTGGAGAGGAGAGCAAAGGTGTTTGGCAACAAGATGTTCCAGGACTTTGGGGATGAAGGACATGGCTGGTAATTTGAGAACTATGAAGGGTGTTTTTTTCCCCCACACAAGGTTTCAGAAGGGCAATGATTAGGTAGAAAAACCGTCAGACAAATGATGATGCAGTTTTAAATCATAAAAGTAGGTACCATATTGCAAGAAAAAATACAGTGGAACTCACGTACTCATGTCAACCTTGGCCTCCCAGTACAGTCACTATGCTTCACGGCAAATACAGTCAAAGTGCTTTTGAGATGTCCTCCAAGTGTGAAAGGTGCCACACAATATCATTTACATCCTCCCCACCCTCCAAATTTATTTACAGCTCATGTCTTCAAGGGTAACCAGGAGGGGAAAACCCAGAGGAAGCCCCAATCTGCAGCACCCCCTCCTCTCCCACTCACCACTTTTGGGCACCAATGGGGACATCCTCCCCCAACCTGCGCCTACTACTCTCCAGAATTAGGTGAGCAGGGTGACTCCCTCCAGGGAGAGAGAGAGTGAGAGAGAGAGTGCGCATTCCATTCCAATAAACATCTCTGGAATTCCCATGTGTGGGTGGGATGGATGCGACCCGGTGTTAGGGTGGGGATGATCCTGAAGGCTGGTGATGGCCAAGTAGTCGACTCTTCCCCCGACTCGCACCACCACCGCCAGCCACTGCCTCACTCACTCACTCAAAAAAAACCATAATAATAAATTTAATCAATCAATCAATCAATCACACAAAAATCTGCAATGGCTTTTTTTAAAGACACTTTTGTGTGCCATTGATCAATCAGAGCTCGGGCGTGACCGGAAAGTCTGAGTGAGTGAGTGAGTGAATGGAGTGAGAGTGAGTGAGTGAGTGGAGAGAGAGTGAGTGATTGAGAGAGAGAGTGAGTGGAGTGAATGGAGAGAGTGAGTGAGTGAGTGGAGAGAGAGTGGAGAGAGTGAGAGTGAGTGGAGTGAGAGTGTGAGTGAGTGGAGAGAGTGAGTGAGTGGAGAGAGAGTGAGTGAATGGAGAGTGAGTGGAGAGTGAGTGAGTGAGAGTGAGTGGAGTGAGAGAATTGAGTGAGTGAGTGGAGATAGAGTGAGTGAATGGAGAGAGAGTGAGTGAGTGAGCGAGTGAGTGGAGAGTGAGTGAGTGAATGGAGTGAGAGAGTGAGTGGAGTGCGTGAGTGAATGGAGAGAGTGTGAGTGAGTGAGAGAGTGAGTGAGTGAGTGAGTGGAGAGTGAGTGAGTGAGTGAGTGAGTGAGTGAGTGAGTGAGAGAATGGAGTGAGTGAGAGAGTGAGTGAGTGAGTGGAGAGTGAGTGAGTGAGTGGAGAGTGAGTGATTGAATGGAGTGAGAGAGTGAGTGAGTGAATGGAGAGAGAGAGAGTGAATGGAGTGAGTGAGTGAATGGAGAGAGAGAGAGTGAGTGAGTGAATGGAGAGAGAGAGAGTGAATGGAGTGAGTGAGTGAGTGAGAGAATGGAGTGAGAGAGAGAGAGAGAGAGAGTGGAGTGAGTGAGTGAGTGAGTGAATGGAGAGAGAGAGAGTGAATGGAGTGAGTGAGTGAGTGAATGGAGAGAGAGTGAGTGAATGGAGAGAGAGTGAGTGAGTGAGTGAGAGAATGGAGTGAGAGAGAGAGAGAGAGTGAGTGAATGGAGAGAGAGTGAATGGAGTGAGTGAGTGAGTGAGAGAATGGAGTGAGAGAGAGTGAGAGAGTGGAGAGAGAGAGAGTGAGTGCACGGAGCGCCGTACCTTCCCGCGCCTTCAGCAGCACTGTGTTGGCCACAATGTTCTCCAACTCCATGAGAAGCCGCGAGTGTCCGCTCCGCTCCGCTCCGCACCGCCGCCGCCCCTCTCCCGTTAGCTCTCCGCTGCACCTGCCGCTCGGCCGCCCGTTGGCTGCGCCGCCCGTCCGTCATCCCAGCGCCCCGCCCACCCCCCCACAGCTGATTGGCTGTCAGCCCCCCACACACGCACACCCCGCCCCCCAGCCCCGCCCCCCCCCGCCTGCCCACCGGCGATTGGTTGGCCTCTCTGACGGGCGGTCCCGGTCCGCCAATCAGGAGACGGCCGGAGCCGCGAGTCCCCGCCTCTTCCAGGAAGAGGGAAGTCACTTGAAAGGGTCTCAAGAGGGAATGGGGCCCCAATGGTGCAGATGATGATGAGGATGATGATGAATGATGATGATATGATAATGATGATGATGATGATCCTTGCACTTGATGTCGCGCCTTACACCGGGTCCTCGAGACCCCGCAAAGCGCTTCGCGGAAGCGTTTCGCGGAAGGATGCCGTTGAAGAAGTGTAGTGACTGTACGCTTTGTGGGGGGGGGGGGGGGGGGTGGGGGGCGAGACGCAGCCGCGTTCCCACAAACAGCGGCGGCTTGAAGTGTCCGCGTTTTTCTCTTCTCTCTCTCTCTCTCTCTCTCTCTCCGAAGGCATTGTTGCCCCCCGGGAAAGGGGTTCCGACAGTCGACCCAACAACCAGGTTCCTGCTTACTGTTCGGTAAACAGAGGCGCGTGTGCGTGGAGCAAGGAAACCCGCCCAACGATTGGCCGAGTGCTCTAACCTCCCCCCCGGCTCGGTCCCGGGATCCGTTACCGTAAAGCGTTCTGAGACGCCGTCCGGCGTGGAGGGCGCTATGTAGATCCGAGTTGTTGTTGTTGTTGTTGTTGCAACCGCTGAGCTACAGGACTGTGCTGGAAATCTGGAATAAAAACAGACGTCACTGGGAACACTCAGGAGGTCAGGCAGCATCCATGCAGAGACGAAAGTGATTTACCTGAAAGGTCATCGACCCGAAACGTTAACTCACTCTCCTCTCTCCATAGATGTTGAGTATTTCCAGTGATTTCTATTTTTATCTCGAGGGGGAATGCCACCTCCTACATGGAGATTGGTGAAGCGCTCAATAAATGATACACATCACATGAGCCCAACATCTCCCAACATATGTCAGAAGTTGGCACCCACACAGTCCAGTGCAGGGCAGGGTGTCACTTCAAATACGGGGAGAAGGCAATGCATTGGTTATTTGTGGGACGTTTCTATACGCAATTTGGTTGCCATGTTCGCCCATCATCCACACCAGTCTTTTTACAGTAAATCCTGTGAAGCATTTTGGGATATCCTTCCAATATGAAAGGTGCAATATAAGGACTTATTTATTTACTTTTATCAAAGTGCAAGGATTATGCAGGTGGAGAAAGGATAATTGAGGATGTGGACTTGAAGCAGAAGTTGGGTTTGCTGAGAATTAGGTCCGAGGATACGTTGGAACAATAAAGGAAGGGAAGTGGGTGACTATCCACAGAGGTAGGGAAAATGCAAAGGAGACGGTGCAGAGATACACTCGGGAAGTGTCCATGTCAAACAGGCATTAGGGACTGATCCCATGACAAGGACAGCACCTTAGTGGAAGGCAACTGTGAGCAATGTCTTGACACCATGGTGCAAGTGACTGTTAAAGGGGGGAAAATGCAGGTCAGGAGTATACCAGTGATCGAGGGCTCCATAGACAGTGGAAGTTTCTGTATTTGAGTCCCGAATAATTTTTCCCAGGTGCCAGGATAAGGGACATAATGGAGCAACAATAACAACAACAAATTACATCCGTATAGCACCTTTCACGAGCAGGTGCAAAAGATTTGGGGAGAACAGCCAGAAGTCGTGGTTCATGCGAGAACAAATGACATAGAAAATAGTAGGTTTCAGGTCATTCAGATGGAGTTTCAGGAATTAGGACATAGATTGAGGCAAAGTATCTCCAGGGTTTTTGTATTTTCAGGATTACTCCCTGTGTCACGTCCCCTGTGACAGTCACCATAATAATAGAAAGATATGGCAGGTAAATGTGAGGGTGGAATAGAGGTGTTGAAGAGAAAGATTCAGAATTCTTGTGAGATTGAAAGCATTCCTGGGGCAGGTATGATCTAAACAGGAAGATGGACTACACCTGAGCAGGGCTAGGACCCATCTCCTTGCTTGGAAAATAAATAGTGCTGTGGCAAGGATTTAAACTAATAAATTGAGGGGTGGGGGGGAGAGAAAGAAGGTTAGAAATTAAAGAAAACAGCATGGGAAATGGTTGTACGAAAAAGTAGAAAAAGAGGACATCAGATTGCTAATGGGGAATATATCAAGAGGGCAAGATTATAAAGGAACATAAAGAGTCAGAGACAGATTCATGTTAATGCAAAGTATAAGGTGTATCCAGGAGTATGGGGAAAGGGCAGGTAAATGAGATTGAAAGAATTGCTCTCAATTGCTCTCAAAGAACCTGCCACAAACACAATGGGTCGAATAATCCTTTTCTGTGCTGTAAATTTCTATGGTTCCAAGTTGGATCAGGATAATAATCTTTGCATTTGATATTGCATCATACCGCTTCTTCAAAACTCAGGACTGGTGAAGGAGTTTGGGCCATTGGTGAGAGATGGGGAGTTGGAGATGCTGTTTCAAATGCAATTGTTGATTCTTATCGGTACCTCGGGGTTGTGGTGAACACTATTATACAGTCAATTCACTTTACAGCCTATTCTATGAAGCGCTTTGAGATGTCTAGAAGACATAAAAAGCGCTATATTAAGTGCAAAGATTATTATTATTACTACTAATTTCAGCCTGGACACTATCCTGAGGGACCACAGTGACTCTGGTCATGCTCATCCCTCTTCAAGGACAACAAGGTCCCAATGGAGTCCTGTAGCTCAGTGGTTAGAGCACTCGCTTTGCAAGTGAGAGACCTGAGTTCAATTCCAGGCAGGGCGAAACCTTGGGCAAGTTTCCTTACTCCACACGCCTAATAATAATCCCTCCAATGTTTGTGGATCAAGCTTGTGACATACAAGACCTGTATGCAAACAGTCTTCCTTTATGGGAGTTCCTGGTACCTATCATCCTGCTAGTGAGGGCTCAAACCCGCATTAGTTGGATGTCGAGCAGCCAACTAGTGACTATCCTCCTTAAGGGTAGGTAAGTGGGGTCTCCTTGGAGCTGAACTGGCTCCAAGCTGATATGCTTGCCAACGGAGTGTTGGAATCAAGCCGGTCTTCTGTGGTGGTTTCAGTAGTCTGGTTCCTGAGCCAGGCAGGTCCTCAGTACTCCAGGGCACTGCTATTGGCAGTTCAGCTATAGTCTGGTTCATCGGCAGGACTTGGAAGGGCAGATAAGTGACTGGGGGCAGAGAATCATCTCACTCAGCTCCTGTTAATCCTGCAAGCCAAAGCCCTAGGGTGGGGGAGAATCCTAGCTGGACAACCTTACATCTCAATCTCTTTTTAACTCTGACTCAATCGCTCTGCCTTCCCCACTCTTTCCCCAAATTCAGATTGCACTTGAAGTCCTTCCTCTTCAACCGTGTCTCCAGTCACCTCCCTTTTCTCCCCGGCTCTGCATCAAGCTTCTTCTTGTTATGAGTAATGTTAAGTTCTCCCATTTGAAGGGAGCTGTATAAATGTAAGTTGTTGTTGTTGTACCTGTGGGGTGGCCAACTACTGGAGTGTGCACTTCAGGAACCCCTCCATCCCACCTATGTGACAGAGAGTCACTGCTCCTCAATGTCAGATATTTTGAACTTGACGGTGAGGAGCCAGAAATAACTGCCACATGTGTGGTCCTCCTGGATTGAAGAAGCATCTTCTGATAATTGCTCCCACGTCATGCAGATTCAGCATAACACGATCATCAGCCAATCATTCACTTTAACTAATTTAGCTTGTAAAAATAAAATGTTGCGTCTCACCAGTATGGAAACCCTAATTCCCTCGGTTCCCTATTCCCTCTTGGAAATTTTTAATTTGTGTTCCGTGTTATTCTAACGCCTCCACATCCCAACTCACAACACTCTGCTGAAGCTCACTCCACTGAAGACTTTGTTTTCCATTTTTAATTATACACAGTATTTTGCAACTAGCACAACACAATGGCTGCTCTGCTGCACTGATGTATTTATTACTATTACTGATAATCATCATCATCATTCCTACTCCTGCTCCTAATTCTTATGTTCGTATGTTCTTTCCATTTAGTATAATGCCTTTCATGTCAGGACATCTCAAAATGCTTTGCAGGATTTTATTGTGTAATGTAGTTACTGTGTATTTGTAGGTAAACACAGCAGCTGGTTGTGGGACACTGCTGTGCGTTATTGGTTGCCCAATAAATATACAGTCAATTCACTTTACAGTATATTCTGTGAAGCATTTTGAAAAGACTCATGATGTGATAAGGCACTATATCAAATGCAAATAATATTATTGTTACTATTATATATTTGTGTTACTTGCTTTCTTAAAATCCCCAAATACTTTCCTGTTCACATTTCTTGTCATATTTCTCAACAGAAATGCTAAACATCATTATGAATATTATCCGACAATAAATTCTCATTAGCTTAGAACTGAAATGTTTCTGGCTACTGGAGAATTGAAGCTGTATTGTAGCTTTTTCTGCCTCACAGCCCTAAGTAGGTTGTGTTATGTAAGGTCTGCAGTAGCTGCATGTTATTAGCACGGTGTCTCCTGCACTGCGCAGGGATCCACGTTCCTCGGTGCTGCAGTTTCTATCCAAGAAAGTACAGGGAATGTCCTTCTGTCAGAGATCAGGGGAGGAGCAAAATGCCTTATCACAGGGAAAGAAAAAGAAGAATTGTAGGAGAGACCTGCTGCTGGGCTCTGACGTCAAGGAGATACCCATTATATAAGCGTTGCTAGAATGTTAAACACAAACTGCAGCTCTTGTTAGCTAGGAACTACAGGTTCTGGTTGATAGAATCTCTCATGGGATCTCTGGCCAGTCAGCACTTGGAGCGGGTATCCATTGCGTTAGCTCTGACACATGTTCCTTGTTCAATGCAAAAAGGTGAGGGGCAT